ACAGCACTGTTATTTGTTACATCTGCTTGCCAGACTTGTTGGTGCTGTCCATTAATATTACTCATAAACACACCCGCTCAATTTCTAGCAGACTTACTCAAACAAAAATTGCATTCAGGTTGTTTTGAAGACCACAAACGTTTTAGGGGGTTTTCTCCTCGTATTGGTGTAAGAAACAGCCATCCCCTCTGATATTTTCATCTTCCTGAGGCAGGAATTTTCAGACCCTCTGTTGTTATATCACAGTGTAACCTTTGGCAAAAGACTTTAAAGACAACAGCCTCCTGGGCAGCCCTCCCACTAATCCCATCATGAGCTGACTATTTCAAGGTCTTGTATTTTTAACCTCCTGTCGAGTCTACCTTTAATCTCTTTTGATTTCTCAAATAATGACCCACCTGCTTTCTTTGCTCAGCGTTACTATTAAATTTGACAGGGTGAATTTTTCTTTAGTCATGCATTTTTCGTGAAGGTGTTTTTTTTTAAGCTGTGATTATGTTGACAGTATAAGCTGATCATCTTTTGTATACTATAACTGTCAACAGTGCTTTAAAGGGATATTCCGGCGTAAAATTAAGTTAGGGTCAAACAAACACAAACACCGAGTTAGACACCCCGTCGAGAGATGAATGTTGCCGACTGCTTGCTCCTCTAGTTATACCAACTTTAGTGACGACCGCACAATAGCAATACACGGTGGTCTGAGGAGTCATAAACAAACCTTAACCAAAATGCCACTCTATAGCCACAAATAATGCTCAGAACAGCACCTAACTTCATCAACAGTACATATAGGGTCCCAGCCATAGTACTAGCCACCAAACATCTTTTTAGCTTTGTCTGATTTGTTTGGCAAAGAGACTAAACACAACTCACCCACTCAACTTCCAGCAGCCGCTTGTTTGTAGCGAGACCTCTGGGCGAATCCATCAACTGCAGCGGGGGGGGGGGGGGGCAGCTCAAGGAAGAACATTTATTATCACTACTTTATCATTTCCTTGAAGTAATAATCACCATAATAATCTTTTTGCACTGCAGACACGGTAGTTCTTCTGCCGTAGCGTCTCGGTCTAATTGCATTTCCATGAAGAAATTATCATAAATCTTCTTCCTTGAGCTGTGTCACCCCGCCCGGAGGTCTCCGTACAAACAAGCGGCTGCTGTAAGAGAGAAGGTGAGCTGTGTTTAGTACTATGGCTGGGACCCTATATGTATTGTTGATGAAGTTAGGTGCTGTTCTGAGCATTATTTGTGGCTACAGAGTGGCTTTTTGGTTGACCGCGTGGCTCTCTGTATTGTTATCTGCGGTCGCTACAAAGTTGGTATAACTAGAGAAGCAAGCGATCTGCAACATTCATCTTTCAACAGGGTGTCTTACTCAGCGTTACGGTGTGTTTGATCTTAACTTAGTTTTACCCCGGAATATCCCTTTAACTTAAGGTGTTATTATAACGTTACTGTTATTGATTGGATTGATTAATGTTTTTGTCCAATTGTCATTGCCTGTATGTTGTTTTTTTATGATACCTGCCTTAGAACAACAGAAGAAATTTAGCAACTGTGCTACCTCCGGCATATTTACTTTGAAGCTTTTGCTGATAGGTTGATCGATGTGCATTGTCCTAATCCAATAAATAAATAAATAATAAATGACAGCAGAAAAAATGCCTCATTTCTAGATTTGATCATTTTGACAGAAGTTATCTTTCAGGAATTGATGAAAACTTCAGAAGGCTTTTAGAAACTTAGAATTTGATACCAGATTTTTTCCCCCTTGTTTCAAGCTGATATATGTGTTATCAAAAACTTGCTGACTTTGCTTTTAGGAGGTCTTATGAGTTCACTCCCTTTTCTTTCTGACATGTAGCTGTGTGAATCTTTTGTTTGTAGGTGTCTTTCTGCTTTCATGTTCTGAATCCTTTTTTTTTTTAAATCTCTTTGCAAGTTCAAATCAGTCTGGCAGATGAGAGGCAGCTGTGTCAGCTCATGTCTCCATCTAAGAGAACAGTGACTGCCCCTGAACACACACCTCACATCAAAGGGGCACACACACACACACACACACACACACACACACACACACACACACACACACACACACACACACACACACATACTCAACTCAACCAACCAACACAGACACTAGCATATGGGATAATGCAAGGGAAAAACATCTGGCCAGATGTGTTCATGGAGAAAATCGGCACCTTCATTAATAACAGCTCAAACAAAACCAGCACTCATATATATGGTTCTACGTAAGCCTGTGTGTTGTAACACCAGCTGACACTGAGCCAGAGCATGCTGATCTGTAAACTCCAGAGTAATTAATGAGCCCACTGTGCATCACAGAGACGTGAGAGGGAGGAGAGGAAGAACGAGGGATGAGAGGAAGGAGGGGCGCCGATGAAAAAGCTGTGTTTAATTAGACTCATACAGCGGACTGGCTGTCCTATGGGATCTGCCAGTCCTTCATAAAGTCTAACGCAAATTACCATTCTGCTGAGAGTTAACATGCACAGCCAAAGACTGGGCAAGTTAACCCTGCAGGAAGGTAGAAGGCAGAGTAATTGGCAGGTGCCGGCTATCCCACTGGCCCAGTACAGAGAGCACATACTGTACTACGCATTCACAAAACCTCATATGTAAGATGACTGTTTTCATTTGTTTGTTCTCATTGTAAATGGAACTTGCTGTCACTTTAACTCCCATTCATCTGAAGCATAATTTACTGCAAGTGTTGCAAAAATGATTTACAAGGATGTCAGTGAAATAAACATAAGTTTCGCAAAGTGAAACAGAGAAGTACTGCAGCCAGCAGGACCCCAGAGAGGAGTATCAACCGCAGTGCACACAGTTCCAGCTGGTTAGCTGTGAGTTTAGGTCTGTGTTCCTCTGATATGGGCTGGGCAGCATCCATCTGGCAGCAAAGCACACACAGATGGCAGGGAGTGAGGAGGGAGGGGGGGGGGGGGACTCAGAGACCATCACTCCTGGATCAGGATTTCCTGGAGCTTTACGAAAAGGTGCAACTCTGAACTCAAACCGTGACATCAACTCTTCTCTTCCTCAATTCCTAGGACGCAATTATCCGCAGAAGTTTGCCTCACTTTCAAAAATAGCAGTCTCACTGCTGTCTGCAGATGTTCGGGTCAGGGATCTGTCAGTACCCAAGCCCTGGAATCATTTCTCTCTGTCTGTGGTACGATTTCTCTCTGTATTTTGTACTTCTAGTAAAGCACTGTGCAGAGGAAGGACAGAGGTTGACACAAATGATGCAGCTTCCAGGATGAGAAAACATGATGGAGCTCTGATGACTGTACAAACAGGAAGAGTTTAGGGAGGGTTTATTTCTCATACTCTGATGCAATCACTCCCCATATATCGGCTTGTATTTTATCAGCTGCTCCCATCACTCTTACACATTTAATACCTTCAAACACTCCCTCACTGTTGGCCTGTCATCTTACTGCTGCCATTCTAAATGTTTTTTCCTCAGCCTCCCGTCCATTCATGCACCCTCCGCCTTCCCACCGCCATCCTGTCTCTGCAATTTCACCAGCTTCATCATCTCATCATCCTCAGACATCACTGTCCAACACCATCAGCACTGTCTCTCTCTATGGGGGGCAGACATCCTTCAATCATTTCATTTCCCTGTGGAGCTCAAGTGCCAAAGACTCTGACAATAATGCATCATCACATATATAAAAGCAGTGTTTACTCCTCATTCACGTACTTGTCTCTCCTGATGATATGTTTATATTGAACAGGTGATCAACTCTTCTATGTCAAAGGCAAAACCCACCCTAAGAGAGAGGAAGAACTGTTTTTGCAGTTCAAATGAATCATTATGGAAGATGAGAGCGGCCATATTTTTTTGTTTTTTTATGCACTGTTGCCTCATGATAACAACTTATTGTCTTGTTATCTCAATATAACAAAGTTTGTTTTTCTTGTTTTTCTCACAACAACGATTTTAGTATCAAGGTATTGTTGCGTTTTGGTCTCCCATTTACACAGAAATGGTGTTTTAGCTGACCTAAAACGGAACTTTTAAAACGCCCTACAAAGTGGGATATTTCTGAAACGCTGTGGTCACTGTTGTCAACAGCAAGCCAGGGTTTTCACACTTTCACGTAGGATCATTCCCCCACATGGGGAATCAGACAATAGCAGTTATTACTAATTTATTTGTTACCATGAGAAAACTATTTTTGTTATGTCGAGATAATGAGATAATAAGTTGTTATCAAGAGATAACAGTGCATAAAAAAAGAAAAATCCATGGCCGTTATTGTCTTGTCCGTAAATTATAGTGTCATCAGTGCAGCTTTTTCTGTTTCTTTTCAAATATAATACCTCCATATGTGTATTGGAAAAAAGGTCAATGGGAACATGACTTGTGAGGTTTTTTTTCTTTTTTCTGTGATGCTGCATACACACAGCCTCCATCATCCTGATTCTTCTCCAGTTGTGATTATGGCCAACTCCCATCTAAGTCAGGCCATGTCTATTTCAATGCAATTTCTCTGATACCGCCGAAGCAATTTATTCCCACTCTATATTTCACCTCCTACAGATGAGAAGAAATGAACACCGAGGAAAAGGGGGAAGAAGAAAAGAAAAAAATGAAGAGACAATGAGGCTAAAGAGATGGAGCGGGGCTGTATGGAAATGTGTAAGGTAATGGAAGATTCAACGAAGCAAGCAAAGATTGATGTTACGATAGGAGAAACATGGCGACAAAGAAGGAAATAACAGCAAAGGATGAAAAGGTTAATGGAAAGAAGATGGAAGAACATGAGGGAAATGGTGAATGGAGGAGCGCAGAAGGCAGAGAGAAATGAATGAGTAGGGGATAAAAATGGAAAAGAAACCTGTTGAGAGGGAAAAGGGTTGAAGAAATTAAAAACAGCACAAAGTAAAACAAAGGAAAGAAGGATGGGAGGTGAATTAGGAGTACCGCTGTCTTCTCAGCTTTGACAGACTCGTTGTGAGCTGCTGCAACAGATTGGCATCACAGTCCATCACCAGGGGAGACAGTAGCCACCCTGCGTGACTGATAACACAAACACGTTGTTACTGACTCACACGCACCAGCATACAGTTATACACACCCACAGACATACGCAAACAGACGTGTCCATAGAGACACACGCACAGACAGACGGACGGATGCAGAATCGAGAAGTTTGCGTGCCCTTGCCCTTTGAAAAGAAAGAAATGAGGAAAGTGTGGGAGAGTCAGAGCGCAGCAGAGAGTGGAGAGCGGCAGGAAGCCAATGAGAACAGGAGGTGACAGAGGGCGGTTACCTTGGCAACCAGGCCTCTGGTGACAACTGCCTAATCAGTGGGTGGACAGTCACATACCCAGGGTGATTCCCATGAGATGTCTGCTCATTTCCCCTGTGGATCACAGAAACTCTTTTACATTAACGGACAAGATGCAACTTTTCTCTTGAACCCTTTGAGAAAAGAGTTCTGGCCACAGTGTTTAAAATCAGCTTTGAACTTGTTTTTACGCCACCTTTAGAGATAGGCTGTAAATACAGAGGTGTTTCCACTCAACGTTGGCAGTGAATGTCAAAGCAAAAGAGAAGAAACTTGACTCTGTTAAGTGATTGAAATTGTGTCACTGTGTGATTAAGAATAGAAAAGTCAGAAGTGTTTCTAATAGAAATTTTTCTCTAAACTCAACTCAAAACGACGGTGCCAGAGTTGATAAAACTTTTCCAGAGAAGAGCAAATTTGACCACCATTTGGTATTCGCACTATTTTTTAAAGAAGGGAAACCATCCCCCCCGAATCTAACTTATTTAATGCTTTATTCTTAATTTCCCTGATGTTAATTTTATGTGAGGATACAAAGGTTCTGATTGCCAGTCAGGTTTTAAATGTGGTTCTTAGAAACAAGATTAATGTCTTCAGTTGCTGTGGGGATTTGGCTAAAAACTATGTGAAATGAATGTGGTTGTGTTACTTTTACTCTCTTTAAATATTATTGTTGTCATTGCACTTTATACTTAAAGCACTGACTGAAAATCCATATAGACAAAGCACTTCCATCTCCTCATATTGTGAAACATGCAGGCATAATATCACCTCCAGGGGCATGGCATATTACACTAGTAGAGCCGCGGCACACACAGATGCAGTGTGACTGGTGGAAACGTTAAATTGTCATCAGACCAAAACATAGAGTTAACTTAATGATAAAATACCAATAAGTCCTTTAGTATAGCCCACAAGGGGAAAGGGGTTCTTGTATTTATTTGAGGCAAACTCTCATGGCTACTGAGAGTTTGTCACCTTTTTTTTTCAGTGTTTTTTACACGTTATCTCACCATTCCTCCACTCTGATCTCATAAGCAACAGCTGCATTTGCCAATCATGATGTCCCATTCCCACTTTGAAACATGAAATAACTAATTAAAACTAAACTCAGAAAAATGAACACCTGCAAGATAATCAGTGTGACGAGAACTAACTGCTCTGACAGACAGCTTGTGTGAGAAAACTTTGACATGTATTTTAAGTTAAAAGGTTTGATCCAAGTTTTATCTGTAAAAATGGAGGAGGGCTAAAGAGCTATACTAACAGTCTCCACAGGTAATTCTGCAGGTTTTGGCTTCACCATCCCTGATGGTTTGTAAGTGATTGATTCAGACTAAAAATATCAGTGTGTACAACAGGTGATGCCTTTAATTGGAGGGTTAAAGATTTGATCCCAGGTCTTTCTGCCCAAGTGTCCTTAGCTAAAAACGTAACCCCCAAACTGCCCCCTATGGCTGTGTCCGAATGAGACGAGTCGATGCTGATGGTGCTTTACATCTGCCAGTAGACAAATGTGGGTAAAAGGGTGAATGTGACATACACTGTAAAGCATGATGAGTGATCAGAAAACTAGAGAAAGCACTGAACACATCTGTTATAACATTAGAACATGAGGCCCAGGCTTCAGTGCTTGATTGATAAACAGAGCTGATCATCATGGCAGCAACATGACGCCTGAAGTGTAGTAAAAAAAGGTCCCCAATACACTATGCAGGTGTTCACAGATGAAAAAATGAAACAGACAGCTTTGCTACTGGCTCATATTAATATACATTACAATGTGTTTGGCCTCTCCTCAAGCAGCTGGTTATCATGAACTGACTCATGACCCTCAATTGGTGAACTGGTCTTTTGCACCACCACCTCAACCAGAGTAGCTGTTGTTCTGTCCATTATTTTACACAGCCTATGTTTTAAAGTCACTGATATATCAATCCTTTATCTTTATGAGAGTGACTTGAAGTAAACTTCTTTTAAACATTATGTGGCCATTTTACTGTGTTTATGTTTAACTTTAATTTTGGCCACAAAAGCTGATTGGTTATGTTCGTTGTGTGTTCACACATTATTGGTTTGTTTCATCTTAAGCTGTCATTTTACCGGATGATGTAAAACTCCCTCAATGCCCCTGGGTCAGGCTGCTATAATGACCTTATTTTCAAATCAATTAATCAATAGGTCAATGGAGGCCTGTCACCGGTGGAAACCAGGAAATATGTCTGATAGGGGAAAGGGGGACTTAAGGATTTCAATGAGCTGACCTTGCAAACATATAATGTACAATGAAATGCTAACTTATATCAGCTGAGATTCAAAATAAACTACAGGGCTCTTGGGGGCTTTCATTTGATCATAATGGGATATGATGTATGGGACAGGTTTGAGACTGTATTAAAATTTTCAGAGGTTAGAGGTCACAGCAGAGGTGGGCACATCTTCTCAAAAATGTAATTCTGCTATCCATGTAGCTGTTAACAAAGACAATAACTTTGATAATAGTTAATCAGTTAATTTCATTAAATTAAGGTAAAAACCTGCTCTAAGTTTGGCTTTCGTCCTCCCAAATCAAAGGTTGTATGCAGCAAGAAAGATCCTCTAAGGCACATCTATCTGGTGCTTATGCTCGAGTGTTACAGGGTCTCAATCAACCATACATGCCAACATTTGGGTTATAAAATCGTGACTGTGGACCATGCAACTACAGGAGATTCCCGGGAGAAATGACAATACGGGAGGTGGGCGGGAGATAGGTCTGGAATACGGTAGAGTCCCAGGAAAAACGGGAGTGTTACAGGCTCTCAATCAACACATGATAAAAACTATAGCAGGGCTCTCAAGTCTCACGCATTCAGCGTGAGACACACGCATTCCCACCTATTCACACGCTCACACGCCACACATTGTATTTCTCACGCATTTAAATGAACATGGTGATGTCCACCAAGTTGCACCTCTTTAACTATGGAACAGGTAGAAATCAACGGAGTTTCTCCGAGAGTTCAGAAGCTGCGTGCCACGCGCAAGCCAATCAAATAAAGTATATCTACTGAACAGCCAATCAAAAAGCAGCATTGCTGTATCTGGGTAGATTTTGATATCTTGCGGTTTGACTACAGAAGAAGACAGACACTCGCTGAAATAGAGCAGGTTTTTATAAGGACGAGATAGACCCGATGATTACAGTAAGTCAGTAACCTACACATGCAGAGACCTCAACACCTCATGGCAGATAAACTCATATGATAAACTAAAGCCCTATGCTATTGCTATTAACAGCTGCATTGATGAATTTAGCCTCTGTACAGCCATTTCCCCTCCACAAAAGCAGCATTTCTCATATATTCTTTTTAAAGTTCTGATACTCGTGACAGTGTAATGCTGATATACAAAAGGATTAAGTATCTCCATGTCTGTGAAACCTATACTAAAGTACAATTCATCTAAATGCTCCTCAGTGCTGATTTTAACAACTCTCCTCCACAACAGGTAACTTTACTACTTTATTCTTAAAGTCATTAATGACTTTATTCTCCTAAATAATAACTTTAATCTCAAAGATTTAAAAATGTTTTTTTCTTTCTTAATGTGGCCCTCATACTCCATTGTATTTATTAGATTATTATACTAATAATTATCTTCAATCATTCTTCCCCCCCCCCCCCCCCCAGGGAATCTCACTCTAAGCTTAGTTCAAAACTTGAGAGCCCTGCTATAGTATACACACTTTCCACACACATCACCACGACTTTTGTTCACAACAGGGCAACTCAAATTCATCTCACAACCCAGCAATGATGTATGCAGCAGCACAAAGTCCTCCCAGGATCCCAAACCACCACACATACCTGTTGCTGGGCTTGGCTACCTGTGCCAGTCCGACGTCATTAATCCATTTCCCGTCAGGTGTACCAGCTCAATTTCAAAGATTTTAGCTTGTCTACAAACTAGAAAACTTAACTTTCCACTCCTAATGTCCAGCTTAAGGTGTTTTCTTCGCTGCCATCTTCCTGCTTCGTTGTCGACTCGGCCCAATCCAGGGTCTCTGTCGTCCTGAGCGGAGCCCGAATCCTCAACCTGACGGTGACCCCCAGATTGTTAGCTACTATCCGCGTTAGCTCCTGTTGTCTCTACTTCGTCTCTGTCGTTGTTCCGGTCCGCCATTTTAGAAGGAAGTCCAAAATTGTCAAGTAATGGACTTTGCTTTCTGTTGACATATTTTCCCGTATGGAGCCCGCTGTGTATGAACCCCGAGAAAAAGAAGAGTCTGTTAGCATCAGGCTACCTAGAAACGGCGGGGTTACCTTAGGTCATAATTAGAAAACTAATTGGAACAGTGCCACCGATGGAGGGAGGCTTTCCCACAACCACGGTTTGTTGCATTAGATTTGTGCAAAATACCCTGCGCAGATATTTCTATTTCTATATTTCTATTTAAATATTTAATACGTCCTCTTTCACACGGATATGTCCTCATTTGGGGGGGCTGTCCGGGCTGCGTTTTTTTTTTTTTTTTTTTTTTTTGTAGGATAGTAGGAGAAGGTCCCGCCCTGCTTTGCCTCTGATTGTCTAGAAGTGATGGGCTCCGATTGGTTACTCAGCATGGCTATGAAACGTTAGGTTTAGGTTTAAGGTTGGGGTTAGGAGATACAGAATTGCGATCATTTTCTCTAACGTTCTGTTATATTCTGTACAATGTACAGAGCCGACAGCCCGCGCTCGGGTTGAGCGTGTGAAGACGTTTCACAGCCATTCAGAGGAGAAGGAGGCGGGACCTTCCCCTACCGTTCTACAAAAAAATATCGCGGGGGAGTGATATATATTTTGTAGGATGGTAGGGGAAGGTCCCGCCCCTCTTTGCCTCTGATTGGCTAGAAGTGCAGGGCTCCAATTGGGTTAGGGTTAGGGATAGGGTAATGGTTAGGGGTTAGGGTTATGCTAGGGTTAGGGTTAGGGTTAGGGTTAGGGCTAGGGTTGAGGCTAGGGTTAAAGTTGGGGCTAGGTTTAGGGTTGGGATAGGGTTAGGGTTGAGGCTAGGGTTAGGAGATTCAGAAGTGCAATAATGTTCTGTCCGATGTACAGAGCCAACAGCCCATGCTCGGCTTGGGCGTGTGATGACGTTTCCAGCTTTCCTAGCCAATCAGAGGCAACGGAGGCGGGACCTTCCCCTACCATCCTCCAAAAAAATATTTCGTCCGGGGAAGTTCATAAAATCATTCAAATGTCCTTGGAGTTTCGATTTTGTGTCATGTGGATGCACTGAGTAAGAAACGCGTAAAACATACTCGATGTAACCCGAAAAACTCTCATATTTAACTTGGTGCGACTTTGTGACTCCGCCCCTGCGTAGTCGAGTCCTCTTTTTGAGAAGTCAGAATATGGTCACCCTAGATAAATATGAGTCCAGTAATGCAAAATAGTAACACACTGCACCACATATCATCAAACAAAATTTAAGGGTTTATTTACCGTTTTTGCAAATTAATGCCAGTTAACTTCATAATTACAATGCGATGGACAGAGGCATGCTCTTAATTCTGAGTAAGCTCCTTTTCTGTTGGAAGAGGTAAAATTGTGTGTGTATGTGCGGAGGGTCACACTGAACACTAAGAAAACAATCAGGACAAGGTAGCTATTTAAAGTTGGTGAAAGAGAAAGAGCAAACATATATTGCTTAGGTCTTAGATGCTTTTTTTGTAAATGCACCCATAACATTTAGTATAGGATGCATCATTAATGTGTTTTCTTTGTATAGTTTTTATCAAAATGTAATCAGAACCCAAACTCTCAACACAAAGCAGATTACTTGCTATTTATTTTCTACCAGCTGATAACATCCTCTCCTATCACTCTCTTTCCATTTCCTCTGCAGCTATTGTGTGTCTGGCAGACACAAACCACCATTACGACAGGAGGGGTATCTGATAACAAATTTAGCACCACAGAGCACACGCATAGCCTCAATTCACACACTAAACTTGTGTGGCAGGGCACATAACTGTCTCACATACAGTTCAGCCATGATTGATTAGCTGGTTGATTTAAGGTGTCAAACTCACTCATCTTTCTCTAATGATTTCTTTCCTGCTGCTACCTGTTAATGTCATGCTGATTAGTCTCACTGTAGAAAAATAGAAATAAAAAAACATGAATCTGCTCTAAACATTTGAGAGCAGATTCTACATCAGTGATCCACCTGATCATGCTCCAGATAAGCTGCTGCCTGCTGTGTTGTTGCAAGGCAGGTTCAGTTAAAGGATTTGTTCCCATTTGAACGGGCTTACTCACGGGTGATTCCCTAACAAAACCTTGCTGCGCTTCATGTTTGTTAAAGAGATTTTCTCAAAGGTGAATTTACTCAGACTCCAGTGTTGCCAAAATAGATAAGTATTAAAGGTAAAGGTCATTTTGCTGTAGTATTACATATTTTCATGGTTTTCCCAGCTCAGCAATAGACTAAATATTGGCCATTCAGCAGTGTTGTATTGTTGACTGTATTTTGCACTGTGTAAATCTCTTGTATAAGGCATAATTTGATGGCGCAATGGTATGCTGATTTTCAAACCATAAATAAGCAACAACCTTGTATGCAACATGCATATTTTCTGGCAGGAAAACTGATTGGAAGACTCTGCGCAGAGGCCGTCACTTTTGAGGGATTGCAGGCTGTGCCTGTAATTACAGTTTTGTGCTTTGAAGAATGAGGGAACAGTGACAATTTAGGGGAGTTTTTTACACTCTCTTGACAAGAGTTTGATGAATAAGTTGATACTACTATTATGTCTGCAAGCTCAATCTAAAGCTTGGCTTAGCATACAGATCTAAATGAAACAGTTACATAATAAAACTAAGTCTCACACCATCTGAGTCTCCCTCTTGCTTCTGAGTGGCCACCTCCTCCATGCTGATGGATGAAACATGAGCCTAAGTAGAAAATGCAAATACTGATGCTATGCATTTCCAAATACAAATTTTTCTCTGAAGTTTATTTTGATGATTAGATGCTAAAATTGGGTCTTTATTACCATGACTGACGGCTTTGTGCAGCTCTCACAATTCTGTGTGCACTTGATAAACAGAGAACAGAGAGCTGAAACACCAACAGAAGAGTCACTGAACTTCACTGAAGGAGTTTTCCTTCAAATGGATGCAAGAAGCTGTGCCAGGAAAGTCATTTTCTGTCATTTCCAGTGTTCATGCTGAGCTAAGCTAACAGGCTGCTGGCTGGATTCATAGTATGTGTATACTGTATGTATGGACCTTTTCACAAGCAGTTGGAAAGAGTCAGTTACAACATTTTTCATAAATTGTAAACCAATTTTATTTTTGTATCACTCTTTATAAGCAGAGCTCAAGTTCATACTCATTACACAGCATGTCGTACACTACTAATGCTGATTAGTCGCAAAGAAAAGCTTTGCAGTGCTGTTCAGATCCAAAGAGAAGTGCTGACTCTGATTGTAATTTGCTGCTTACCTTTGCACCAGGTAAAATGGATACCCTAGTACACATAAACATCAAAGTTGACAGAAAGGCAAACCCTTCTCCCAAACATCCTTTGTCATTCTCAAGCCTGTCTATACACAGTTTGAACTTTTTAAGCTTTTCTGCCAAAGTTTGTTTCTACAGTGGGTTTCTATGATGTGTTTAAAGTGGAATTAATGCTATTAAGACCCCTGGACTCGCACTATTTCTGCGGCTACTTCACTCTTGCACACAGATAGAATGTCCATGTACATGTTACAGCCCAGCCCAGCCCCTTTACCATTGGAATTATACAAAAGAGCTGCCTGTGACACTACATTATCAATGGAATATAAAGTAGATTAACAGTAAACATACCTGGAACAGACAGACTGAACCTCCATGTACAGAATATTCTCCTAATCTAACAACACAAGTATGCAGCACATACAGTATGTCATCTTAACTGCTGTGCACATTCATTGGGTTCACAGACTATTAAAGTAATGATTTTCGAGTCCAAAGTCCAAATCAAAATATTATATCAGCCAACGGTTACAACTCTAAAACATTGTAGGGAACAAAAGAATACATAAAAATAAAATAAGAGCATAGACTGAGATAAAAACAAAGGCTAAACACACTCTATCCTCTATTACAGGTGAATCATACATAAGTATAAAAGGGGAAGGGGGTAGGAAGTGACGCCCAATGACATTAAAAGTTGGCAGTTCAGGCAGGCCTGTTGTGGTAAATAACAGATAGGAAGTGTGTAACACGACTGGGTCTGTATGAATTGTCCATTCATCTATAAAATTTAATTTGAAAAGCACTATCAGGAAATAGTATTCAGGTGTTTTTTATTCTTATAGTTTTGGCTGTATGGCACTGTGAGGTAATTGGGTGAAACAACTGAACGCTGCAGGGAACAAAAGAATATTTCAATTTGTTCTCAATTAAAGCCTGAAGACTGAACTTTTATTAACCTGACACAAATACAAAGTCTGCCTTTCCTGACAAAATTCATATTTCGAAAAACTGACAATGACACACAGTTATCAGTAAGAAGGCAAACATTCAGACCTTGATGTTTGTGTTTACTGTCATTATAATTATCGTCAGATTAAAGTGTGTAACTCCTTCATTAGTTCTGCATTGTGAAACCTTTCATCTTCTACAAGTCGTTACCCAACGACACATACAAGCACCCTATCATTAGAAATTTCACAATTCTAAGCCGGATCCCTGTGCTATGGTGAATTATACAGTATATGTGTGCCCCAGGGTATTAAACATATACATAATCCAAACTCTGTGGGCACAGATTACACATGGTACATTACACTCACATGCAGCTCACTCTGCTGTGATGAGCTGTCAGATTAAGGATAACCGAGGAGCACCATAAAAACTCACAGCACAACTGTTCCGCATCCTGCTCCCTCGTCAGCTGTTTGAAAACCTATCAGAGAGATACCAGCAGAGCATCAGAAGTATTACAGAGAGAGTATAACCATCTAGAAAGAGTGAAGATGAAAATAGAAGGCATACTATTGCAACAAGAAGAGGAAAGAGGAATGAAAAAATAATAATGATAAGTGAAGAGTGGATGGAGGAGACGGAAGAGTGATAAGTGGCACATCATCAGACTTGATGCACAGAGTGGATTCGACTATTCAACAGCTTATGTCTCAAAAACATCCGCTTCCTGCATCAGCAGGAGTGAGATATCACTGCTGGGACATCTCAATGCTGCTCTCTACAGGCCAGAGCTTGAACTTAGATTTTCAGAATGAAAGGAAGGAAAGTGACAGTGTTAGAAAGAACAAATCAGCTGACATCAGAGGATCCTAAGAGTTGTAGCTTTCAAGCATGTCAGTGACTGCAGAGCTGCCATGTGGTCCAACAGCGTTGAAGATAATCTCAGAGTATCTTCAAGAGCTGCATTTTGTTACTCTCTTTTTTGATCAGTGTCGCAAAAAACAACACCAGTACTCATTATCATGGAAACTGTTGTGTTATAAGTACAGTAGGAAAGTTTAAACACTGCCTGTGAAACAGTGTGGAAATGAAACTGAGCCCACGAGAAGTTGTGATTTCTGTGTGTGAGTGATTAAAAAGGAAAAAAGAATCTGAGATAGCTTATTTGGGACAAGTCATCTGGTTATTAAGAAAACTCTACAGAAAAAGTGGTTGATTTATTAAAGCATAGTAAAAGAGGAACATGAGAGGAAAGAGAATAAATGTCACCTTGCACAGTACAGCACAATGTTTTTTTCAGCCTTTTTCATCCCTCTGCTATTATAACCCCATTCCAAGGACACCCTAAATATTCATAGAGTCCGCTACCCCCAAACTGCTGCTCTCAAACAAACACTTAAATCTACTGGATTCAATTTAAAGACCTTGGCTGGAAAAAGGAAGCATAAATCAAAACACTGCTGACCACATGAAAACTGCTGAAATGAGAAAATTGTCCTTTTGTATAAGTTCAACTTTGGAGCAACAAAGGCCAAAATCACAGATGATGGTGCATAAATCAAACACAAGGGGCAAAACTCTCAGCAATGTTTGTTCCCATCTGAACTCGAAGAACAAATCTGATTTTATATAGAAAAACACCTGTCACACCTGTAAACATGCTGTGGCAGCATAAGTCTAAATTAGTGTGTCTTCAGATGTGTGGGTGTTTAATGGTTAACAGGAGGTCAACATGGTAAAAACAATTAAGGACAAAGCCAATGAACAATATGCTTGACATTATGTTGTATCTGACATAGTAAAAATCACTCACATGCAAATCTAACAAAGCTTTTTCATATTCAGTTCATTTTCGTATGACAGCCTTACCTCATAATGTTCAAAAAAAATCTATAAGTTTACAGTTTTTACTTCCTCTTTGTTTTTATATGGAGTCACTTTACTGATTCAGTTTTGATGCCAGGAAACATTGATGTTTTACTGCCCCCTCCTGGACAAAAATAATAATCACGCCTCATAAGGATCCAGGCGCTGTTATCACATCACAATGTAGGGTCTCCACTGTCACACTTTGAATATTTACAACAAAGTTTGTGTGAAAGTTTCTGATGCTGATCTGTAATTAGCTTAAAACGAGCTGTTAATGAGCTGGCTTCCATTCTGCTGGGTTTTAGTACCACTGTTTTCATTTTACCACCTTTATTACTGTGCCATTGACTACTTATAATTGAACAAACTATAAATTCAGGCAGAGTGAAGCTGCTCAGCCGTGTCTATCATCGTGCAGTCAGGCTGATTTAGAGCAGAGCTGCAGCACAAAGCAGCTTGAAGGTTTCATGCATTTGAGGGAAATGTGCAGCTGTGCTCAGTCCAGATAGATACTGAGAAGCCCAGAGTTTGAGCATGTATAATTCATTGACCATTTTGCTCAATCCTAAATGAATAAACTAAGCTTTAGAAACGTCATTTAAATTCCAGGGATGTAAAGTACAGAAATTCACTCCTTAAGTTTCTGGAGTGTTTCGAGCAAAGAGTTATGTTGCTACTTTTTTATGCATAGGTCATAGGATAGGTTTTTAGTGCTGTTATTGCCTCTGCCTCCTGAACAATGAGGTTTTTGTGGGACATGATATATCAAACCTGAATGAAGGACAGTGTCTATCTAAACAGTGATTTACTTAGAAATAGGCAGCTACATCCTCAAATTAAATGCTGATCAGATAGTTCAAGTTTAAAGCTCCTGTGAACAACTTTTGGTTTGTATTGATTTTGGCGCCCCCTGTGGACAAAGCAGTCTTTGCTGATATCTGATGCAAAAGTGGTAAATAGCTGCATCAGCATACTGGTAAATAGGTTCTCCTTCATAGAATCGCAGAGGCTATCTACTTGGGTTTTTCAGATGGGAGTTTGATTCCTATGAGGACAATCTGCCACAGGCACCACACATGCTGATCTAACATCCTGCCTGATTAAGCAAAATCTGTTTCTGAATGGATGTGCATTTGGTTATTTTCAACATAACTTTTTTACACTGGAAATAATTGTGTTTTTAACAGTTTCCAGTAGTGATCACAAAGGAATTAATTCACAAAGTTTACTAGTTGATGCTTTAGGTGTAGACAGAAGATATTTAGAAACTGTATCTACCCTATTGGACTGGCACAGGATTCATGATTTTTGCAAAGAGGCAGAGCGCTAACTAAACTCAATATCAAGCAAATTCAAAACTGCAACATTAAAAAAGCAGCCTGATCAGCTGAGTCGCACCTACGCCTAGCTGATTAAAAATGCAGTAATGTTGGATAGAATGAAAAGCCTTAAAGGACAGAGCACCAAACCAAATGACAGCTCCAATAAAGGCTTCAAACTTAGTGACAGGAATCTGACTCATCTTTAGAGGCTTAAAGCCACACTGATAATGATCGCTGGAGCCGTGTGTGTGTTTGTCTAGAAAGAAGCCACAGAGCTGGATCACCGACACTGAAAGAAATATGATTAACATAGCCATGAGCGACTCATAATGACCCCTGTTTTTGAATACATTTGGACGTGAACCAACGATAGCTGAGATGAGCAGCCCTCTACAGCTTACATACTCTGAATCCTAATGTATTTATGATGCAATATTTTTCACATTTCTCCCTTTACACACCAGAGATTTTATCAATCACAATTTTGGTAGATCGTCACACTTTACAGGCCTGCCGTGATATTTTAAATGGGAATGATTCTGTTGGTAAGTCAAGCATTGCAGGGCCTTCATTCCCTGTGAGAATGTACTGCATATCATTTCACTCCGCTATCACCTCCAGCCATCTTCTTTTTGCAAAAGTGAGATAAATGTCTGCTGGCTGAAACGGGCTCTGTGGTCACGGAGGGATGGTTTAATCAGGCGACCTGTACTCCTGGTTGAAACACTGCAGAACAAGTCTTTGAATGAGTTTTAAAAGGGCTGGTGTGCAACTTTAAATCGGCTGTAGAAAAGCCTGGTGGTCAATGTGGCATCAGATAATGGCAGTATTAATAAAAATAGAAAGGAGGAACGTCCCCACTGTTCTCATCCACCCTCTGACTGTCTGAGCTCCCCTCAGTACAGTGAAACCAGCTCTGAATAAATGAGAGGAGTTCATCCTGTACTATGAATCATTAAAGAAGCCTAAATTTAAATCAGATTTTCTAACATAATGACCTTTTGCACATTTAGGTAATATATTCAAACTGTCATTGACTCCTCTGGCTCCTAATTTACACTCATCATTAACAACAGTCTGTCTGCTTTTAACAACAGATTTCAATACCAATCAGTCATGAACATTTCATTTAAGTCAATAAAACTCAATCTCAGCTACCTCACTTCCTGGCTGTCTTTAACGGCCCTAAAGCAACTAGTTGTGAGGATTCAGAAAGATAAAGTCCTACAGGGCTGAAGGCTGCAATGCCTCAGCTACTGGAGGAAACAGAAATTCAGCTCAGTTTGTTTTTCCTCCAAACCTAAAGAGTTTGACAGAGTCAGGCAGCCGCACAGACACTGTCCTTGCAGATCTGTCTATCCTGGATTTATTTTCCATTATTCACGCTCTCTCTCTCTTAGAGCAGATTTATTGGGGAACATCAGCAAGGATTACAAATCTTTTTGAAAGTCAAGTATCAAATCAAGTGGGATGGACCTCCCACTTCAAGGGATGTGTGCTCCCATGACAAGAGCAGAGATGTACGGCATCAATTTTAATTCTATTTACATAAAGATGGATATTGAAAGTACTAGGGGAGCTTTAGAGATATGCATTTAGTTCTTTTTTGATCATGCGTAATAAATCCAGGTGCTTATGTTTTAGGTTACTTTTCAGCAGGTCAATGATTACTTCTACTTTTGCTCTGACTTTGGCATCACTTTGGTCTCTACTCAAGTTTTTGGTGTAACAAATGAATAATACTTCAAAACCCTTGGTTGCTTTACACAGCCCTTGCTATAAATTGGAGTTGGAGTATATCTGTTTAATCTGTACGAAGACAACATACAAAACCAAGCTAGAGTTTCACAGTAGAGCTAGAGACTGCGATTATTTTAACATCAGTCAACTTTTAGTGCTTTCACGTGTGCAAAAGAAGGTATATTTTATTCAAACATGTTTACTTCTAAGGCTTGAAATGTTGACGATAATTAACAAATGCAAAGCTGGGTTTTCAAATCAAGCAAAATATGAAGCATTTTTATACCTGAAAAAGCACATTAAACTCACTCAGTTTCCTCTGAACTCTTGCGCACACACAATATAAGCTTGTTTTGTAGGCTTCACAGTTTCTCGCTCCCCATTAAGTTTGAATTTATTAGACCTTCTTGTTTGTTGCATCAGCGCCAAAGCTTTTTGGCAGCATGTTCCTGTTTCAGGTCCTCTGGGAGAACACAGTAACCTTTGTGCTTTATCAAATTATTATTTTCCCATTAACTTCAGTCAGACACAACAACACCCAAACTGTATAATAAGAAGCTTTTTAATCAAGCACGTCGGCAGGATGGTTTGTGTTTGCTTATTCTTGTAGAAGCACAATTGATTGAAAAGCCGTAAGATGACATTTGGCTTTCCTGCAAATCATTTGAATTACCTGCAAAAAGGTCAGGGCTCCAAAATAGCCTTTATTAACAGGTAAAATCAATTATAGTAGGCAAGAGCAACACTCAGACTGACAGGCAAACTGAGACCGGCAGAGGATGCGTAATTTGTTTTTCCTTGCAGGCCTAATCAGACTACTTTGTAATACAAATGTATAAAAATATGTGAAGGTAAAATGAAATTAAACTGAAGGATTTCAGAAGTGATTTCCACTGTCCTTGGATGAATCACTGGGCTTCACATCCTCTGATTTGGAGCTCTGTCAAAACACAAACACGCTAAATGTAAACAGAAAGTTTGCTCTCAGGTGCAGAAATAACCTACAGGATATTTGAAATTTATCATAAACTTTATGTTGATGTAAAAATCACTACTGTGTTAAACCAACAGCAGTCCTATTCATGGTATCTATTTAACTCATTTATTTCCTCCTGTTTTTTCAGTTTAATCAGTGTGTTTTGAAATAAATGAAAAATTTGCTTGGTTGTCCTTGGAAATGAGGGAGGAAAGGATCACTATTATGTAGGGCTGTCAAAAGACTAATCTTTTTAATCGCAGTTGAACACATGGTAGTCCAGTTAACTCACGATTAATCACAAAAGATTAATCTTTTGACAGCCCTACTGTGCTGGGCTAGTTATAACATCATGCTAAGCTTACACACACAAGAGCGTCATCTCGCATTCTGAATTGAAGTATGACAAATCCACGACAAGAGCAGAACCTGTGTGTCTCACCTTAGACTTGAAGAGCAGATTAATGACGCCCTTTGAGCGTCTGTCTGCTGTTCGGTCAGAGGGCCCTGAGACAGACATGCTTTTACTGTCCCTCCTCGCTCTGGCAGAGTCCACCTCCTCTGTGGCCCCCACCACCGTCAAGGACAGACCTACACATGTAAACAACTTTAGTGTTTGTTTTGCACTGATAACTGCATTACAACAAAACCTCTGACACTCCCTGCTGCCAGGATTTGTTTTGACTAATTGTGTTCCTGCATCTGTTCCACTGATTTACTATTGGAAATGTCAACATCCCTTTTTATGTGTGCGTGAGTGTGTGTGTGTGTTCAGTGAGGCTGTGGTCAGTGGAGCTAATCAAAGGAGTCTATTAAAACAACAATCAATGCTGGCTCAGCTGGCTTGTTCCAACATGGCGGCTGGCCAGAGAGATGGTAGTGAGTTGTGGTCCAATGTGCGATTTTGAAGAGCAGGGTTATGATCCCGAACTGATGGGACATAAACTGGACATTTTTCAAAAAATTACGACCAGTATGATTACTTTGCTACTTTACAACAGAGTTCGTGTCGGGCCAGGCTATTCCTGCAAATTTCCAAATCCTGCCAAGATTTTTTACAACCCACTAGAGTCCAAAATGCTTGATGTGGTATTTTATTGTCAGCTCCACAGGAAAGGACCAAAAACACAATCTCAGGGTATAACTTTTACATGTCCACTCAATCACAGTGGTAAAAATGTGCGTAAATTAGTCACCTGTGATGGCAGGCAGGGATCTGGAGTTGACGTTTCTCAGCGACATGTTTCCCTCATTTGGATCAGATAAGTTGGTGTCACTGCGGAACTCCTGTTTCTTGGACAGCTAGAGGGAGACAGAGCACAGCAAAATCTGAGACGTCTCTTTACTGCCCGCCTCCCTTCTCTTAACAACATCTACCTTTCCTCATATTGTCTCTGTCCTCCTCATTCTCACCCGTTTGCAGTCCAGCGTACTCGTCCTCTCTCTTTCCTCTGTGATGAAGATCATGCTACTCCTCTTCTTTTTCTTCTTACTCTTCCTCAGTTTGACTTCTGCATCCCCCACTGTCACCACATCCTCCCCAGTCGTTGTACTTACACTTCCACTAGAGCGCGGCAGGGTGGAGGACCAGGAGTTGGGGGACTCAGGAGGGGGATCCCTAAGAGAAACAGGTCAAGTTAATAAAAAAGGTTTGCTATTTGTTTACATTTGCGAAAAGTTTTGGGGTTATTGTTGAAGAATTGAAAAGTACACACAGGTTACTGAATTATGTGTCCAGTAGATTCGACTTTTGCCTGTTTCTTCTTCTCGTTATGCAGATTTTTGCAGAGAAATGAAAAATCTTTCCTCATAAATTCGAGTCATGATTTTGTTTTTTGTGGTTCACATAAAAGTTAATCACAGTAAAATTCTGCTTCTTGGGGCCATAGTGCCAAACTTAAGTAAGCTAGAGTGAAGCCACCGTGTAATTAACTATCTACCACTGAACTGAGACTCACTAAAATCAGACGAATGAGCATTACTCAGGAGGGAGAAATAAAGCAAGAAATGTCAAATGGCATCTGTTCCTGAAAGTATACAGCCTGTGATCATTTCAGTATGATGATTGCTTATCGGTTTTGAAATTGACTTTCTCTCGTCCAAACACGCTCAGGTCATATGTTGAATCAATCTGTCAATACACTATCAAAACAACATGTGTGTATGCTACCTGTCTGCATTGAGCTTTGTTGGAGTCCCACATTCAGATCCCTGCAGCGAGGAGATGGAGATGATGGACTGGCGAAAAGAGCGCAGCATGGAACGGGGACGAGTGGATTTCCTCTCATCCAAATCCGGCTGGAAAAAGAGAGTCGAACTTTTGATTATCCAGTTATAGACAAGAGCACTTAGATTGTAAAGTTCACAGACAGTGATTATGAAAAAGCAGAAGTTCATAATCAGAGAAGTGTAAAAAATCAAAAGGAAGTAAAGTTAAAAGGAGAGTGAAATCACTCCCTCTCTCCATTAGTTTAATCTCTCCTGAAGGGCAGAGTCGTTTAACAAGTTAATGACCGTTTTCAGCCCCAATGCAATCACACTGTGTTGTAGTTAGTGAAAATGTAAAGGTACAGATCCCAAGAGGATGCCTAACTCAGACATGTTTGTGAGTACTTTGAAATCCATCCAGTTCAGCTCAATAATGGCTAATTATGGCAGACCTCCAAACAGGAAGAGTCCATGAACACAGAACAGAGAATTTACTGTTTTCTTTCCCTTACCAACTCTCTCACTCCGTACTCCTTCTCCACCTTCTTCTTCAGCTGTTTGAAACACTCCTCCATGCGCTCGTGGAAAGGACGCAGGTCATCCGTCACTCTCTTCCCATGCAGAGAGATCCCACCGCCCAGTAATGGGATCTATAAAACCACATTTACAATGTCAACAGAACATCCACATAAAAGTGGCACCGCTTTATGTGGTGTGTTCACTAAAGTGTGTTACTGCGTTCAGTACCTGCCACGCAATGAGGTCTTTGAGGCGCAGCAGTTTGTCTCTGTCCTCTGGGTGCTGCTGGGTGTACTCCTCAGTAAAGAAGGCCTGGTAAACACAAAATAATAACGCTCATTTAAGGGATCAAGGCTTTAATTTCACTTTGGTCAGGCAATTTGCTAATTGATATCAGGGTTTTCCGCTGGTATGTGCACTTAATGAGTTCACTGATCTGATTCTATATGAGAAATTAATAAACTGAATGGTGTTTAAGGATGACCTTAAAGCTATAAAACACCAGAATTTAATCAGTTCATTGCACTCAGTGGCTTTCACACCGATAATTCAGAGAGACTCAAAAGATGATACAGATTTTTTAGCGACCAAACTGGTGCTATTCATCATGAGAGACAGCACTTATATTAAAGCAATCTCACAGGTTTGGATAAGATTAAGGGGCTTTATAATAAGAATCATGGTTTTAGTCACATTCAAAGGCTTTGCTAAAAAAAAGGAAGGAAAAAAAGTGATGATGAATCTTAGTTATGATGTCTTAAGATTCATCAATCAGGGCTGCAGAGAACAGAAAAGTTTAACAAAAGTTGTGGATTTTTAAATTCTCTTTTCCTTTATGTCTGTTTTTGGCTTCAATTGTCATAACCTAACTTTAAATAACAACACTCTTTAAATAATCTTGAGGGTGTAATTGTGACAACCTAAAAAATTGGGTGAACCACGGGAGGAATCTTACAGTTTACCTTTTCATACTTGGCGAAGCCCCCCATCACGGCTGGATCCACAATGCCGTTGAGCAGCATGGAGAGGGGGTTGATGGGAAGGGTCCAGTCGGCCTGATACTGGTTTATCATGGTCAGAATCTTCTCGTTTGTGGACTCCATGGTCTCGATGGCATTTTCCAGTGGAGACAGGGTGGTCTGGGTGAAATATAATGAGCAGCCATGAAAGAATGACAGTAACAGGAAAATGGAGAGGATGTGATCAGCTGGACTTGTGACACTGAAGCAAAATTAAGCTCCAAGTTACATGTTTGACGTCAGTGGCCTCAAACCAGCGTAGGATCCCTGGCAGCTTGTACACAGTGGTGAAGGTGGTGCGTTCAATCCACATCGACTAAAACACCAGAGGAATAAAGGAAAGACAAGAAAGCAGTCAGATTAGCCTCTGCCCCTCGTGGAAACTCAAAACATGATTTTATATCCTTCATGAAAGATGGCAGGATTTGTACAACAGCAGTAAGTGGATGAAAATAGTTCAAAGTTCTCTTTGAGAGCTAAAGTGAGTTCACAGACAAGAGAGGGGTTGAGTTACAGAGAATAAATACACAGTGCCACATATGCAAAGTGGGTCAAAGAGTAGTGATAAGACAGTTTTAATCAATGAGTCAAGCTGTCAGCACGTATGGTTAATAGTGAAAAGGTTCCATTTAGGTTAAAAACAGCAAAAAATGTGTTTTCTTCAACATGGAGCCCTGTATTCATCGATCTATGGAATTACAGCAAAACTCTGTGGAATAACATCATCCTCCAGGTCAATAAAATCATCTGTCAGACTAATAAACAAGGATGTAAAAAAGACGCTCTTAAAATAAGACTTTAATGGTCCCTGCAGCCGTTCATCGTTCATAAAATCTTTCATAAAATCACTCACAGCAAACTCATTGTTTGGGTCCACAGGTCCTTTCCTCACAGGTCTGGAGTAGTGAAAACGCTGCACATAGTTGGACTTGTAGAAGCTGTGTGAGATGTGAACAGAAACCAAAATAAAAGAATATCTCTCACAACGAGAAAAAATGTGACGTTATCAGCAGTGAAGTGGAAACATCATATTTGACTGACTTGATAATCTGGTCAGGAACAGGTTTGTTCTTCAGGCGGGGAGGGATCTCCAGGACTGGCTGCACCGTGAAACACTGGATGTCTGGTTGAGATCATTGAGGTTAAAACTTCACATGATCATTGAGAGAGTTTTCACATCTCTGTGGCAGTAAGTACAAACAAACTCATGAACTACAAACTGATATTTTGAGAGTTGTCTAAGAGCACCAGTAAGTGGCTTTTGACATACAAAGTTATACCAAAAGACAAGAAAATCAAAGTTTGATGACTTCATGAACTCAGATCTACATGCACTGATATCTGAGCTGAATAACTTCTCCAGGAATAATAGATATTAGGTGCTTTTATCTTTTCTATATTTATATCATATTTCATTTTTATCTTTGCATTTACTTCAAAAACCCAAATATCAATCACTCTCAAAGGTTACTGATGTAAATTATTGCATATTCACAAAATTACCCTTTACAGTGCTTAAATAATCCTCACATCTGTGTGTCTGTGTGTCAGTGTATGTGTTTGTGTGTGTGTGGTGCTAACAGAAGGATACACTGAAGTGGAGAGTTCCTGATGTCGTCTGCCGGCATGGTGGTTGTCTTGAGGGCCACGGCGCTGGGGAACTGGCTCATCAGATGGTTCTGGAAGTCCTCTCTGCGTTCATACTCTTTGCCGCGGTGGATAAACACTTTGTTCTGAAGTCATAGATCATACAATAATGTTAAAAAGATGTGAATTGGAGAATCCTTGTGAACAGCAGGGCACTTAAGTTCATATTTTGTCATTCTCCAGTGGGACACTGAAGTTTGGCTTTGTCAAACTCTTTAGAGTACATTTAATGAATACAGAAGCAACAAGAGTGGAATATTTTACTCTGCAATTTGCTGAAATCCACAGATCTACAATGCTCCCATAAGGTACTATTATATCTTATTCTGTTAACAGTCTTGCTCCTGTGCTCGGAAAGTTGTCTACTGCTGCAGCTTTGAAAAGCTCTGCTCTTAAGAATAAAGGAATATTATTCACCTCATGTACCATACACAGTAGGAGATCAGTCTTGCTTTTGTGTTTGTTTGTTTTTTTAGCACATACTGTGAATCTGTACTGTACAAAGTGAGAATATCATCTCTATCACACTGTTCACTATCACTCTCCACCAACAGTGACAAACTAAAACCTTGAGGAATGGAGGAAAGCCTTGTCCATAGTAGCCCACTGCGAAGTAGTCCGGCTTTGGCCTCAGGATCTTCATAATGTTCTCATAGAACTTGGCTTGCTTCTCCTGCAGAGAGAGACAGAGGGTGGTTTTTAGAGGAGACTTTTAGATGTGCACCACATGCAGCTGGAGCAGTTTTATCATCTGGTGCCATTGACACAGCTACCCTCAGCAGAATGCCGGGCCTATGAGGGTGATAGATGTAGAAAAAAAATGAAGTGCAAAGCATCCAAGGGCAATGTCTGTCATTTATATAACCACATAAATTCAGCATAAGCCCACAGAGCGACTACTGCACTCATATAAAGGGAGATTTTTTTCATCGTTGCTTAAAGTGTCATGTTCTTTAGGGAGAGAAAAAAGGAGCTGAGTGAAGGGGAGACAGAGGAGAGGGTGGTGCTCAAGAACAAGTCAGGATTTGGAAATGGAGAGAATCACTTGTGCTGTGATCAGGGGTAAGTGAGAAGGGTTCTGAGGAGATTAAAGTTTCTGATGGCTGGAAAAAAGGAGCCAAATATTTGGCATCATCTTGTAATTACAGAAGCTCAAACTACGTTTTTTCCTCATTTGAAGAGAATTTGTGTCAAGGCGGTGTACAGTAGGCTTTCTTTTTAAAGAGGGATGAGTTATTGTGCTAAGCTGTTGGTAATGTACAAGTGCAGATGGCTAATTAAGTGAAGTAACAGCTTACTGGAGACAATATGCTCCAAGTGCACATCTTCCAAAAGACCTAAATAAAACTTTCAACCAGAATTCATATGACTTGTGTTTTATATTTATCCACAAAAGCTGGAAATTTATATCCAACACTTTGTGAGAATTTACTTCTTTATCCAAAGGCAACCAAAACATCTACACAAAGATTTCAAACTAGAGGGCTGAAGAAGTGTAAAGAAGAAAAGCTCACGAGGGGAACAGATAAACATAAAAATATACAATAATTGTGTATTACCAGTCGCTTGCTGAGTAATTCATAGTCAAAGATCTCGTTTTCGTACTGTTCAGCGAGTTCCTTGCACAGAGTGATGGCCTCCTCCCACATCTAGACACACAAACACACACACACATATAAGGAAAGAGAACATGTCCTTCATTACACCATCTGCTAATAAATCTGCCACAGCTGTCCTGGTGAAAAGTCAGTTTGTGAAAATCTCAGTTTCCAGGACTCTGGAGAGTAGAGGGAAATGTCTCTTTCACTGCATCAGAGGATACAAAACGCACTCATGGAGAACACAAAAGATAACGTGACACCAACGTGCCGCTCACAGACTGTGACTGCACGATTGCAAAACGGTCTCATCTTTAGCAGACACTGAGTGGAAAAGAAAAGGCACATCCTCCAGAATGAAGGACTGTGCACTGAATTCTGATTTTACCCTCTCATGCCTGTCCCAAAGTTGAGGGATTATTTTGCATCGTTTTGTGTTCACTTTATCCTTTTGTGGAAAGAATACAGAAGGTTACTGCCGTGCAATTCTAAGGGTACGATCTCTAAGGTGAAAACTCAAAGTACAATTGATTATTCAGGCACACTTTTCAAAACATCACATTATTCTTTAAGAGCAAATAAAAAGAAACAAGAGTTATATCAAAGTCTTCGAAAATGCTGACCTTGCCCTTATCAAAGTAGTCAATGATGGTGTCGTAAAGCGTTTCTTTGAGCTGCCGCTGGGTTTGGGAGCCGTGGGACTCAAACTGGGGGCTGCACATCTCATCCAGCCACTAAAGGAAAACAGGACGGAGATTAAAATGAAGCATTAGTTCTTTATGTTGGATGTGGTCTATGTGAAACAAAGAGAAAAGTCACAGTCAGAACAACTGTTGTGTTACAGTCCATTCATCATGGTATTAAAATATGAGAGCAGAGCTTAGAGCTTTTCTTTGATATTATAAATCAGTCAAGGTCTTGAACACACTCTTCAAGAAACAATGGGCTAATTTAATTCACAAATGAGACAATGACAAATTCCATTACACAGATATTCTTTGTGAAACTTACTTGAGCGTTCAAAAGTGAATTATATTTGAAAAACGGTTCTATCTGCTCTGGAATATGGTTAGGAATAGGATTAGAGGAAACTTTGTATGACAGCCTGCTCTTTGCAACAATGTGGAGGGAGGATGGCAGAACTGAGGATGGAAATAACTGAGGAGATTATAAAAAACCATTAAAGGGTTCAACTGCTTTGATGTGATGATACTAGACGGAGAGAGAGGTCGAGAAAGAGAGGAAGAGATGCCCTTATTCCTTTGTCTGTCTCTGTGAGCCTCTGAGTGTCCCATAAAAGAAATAAAGAGACAAAAGAGGTCAAACTCACCCAGACACACACACATATCCACACACACACACTCTCACTACATCAATCACAATAGTGATGAGGCCACAGAGGCCGATGCTGTGCCATAAACTAACCTCGCAGCTTCATCATTTAGAAGCTGGAGACATAGCAACCATTATTCATTTGATTAAAAAAAACTGTTTCCTTTACTGCAAGTGATTAGGTGACTGAGACCCTGAGGAAACATTTAACCACAGGATATCTCCTCAGAAGTGTGCGAAAGTTTCCTAAGAGTCCTACCTTGAGCAAGCGAGAGTGGAGCAGCAGTGTGTATGCAGCCTCGGTGTAGTTTTCACCCTCAAGGTGAAGGTCTCTCAGCTTGTAAAGGTACCTGTGAACACACAAGCACACACACACACACACACACACACACACACACACACACACACACACACACACACACACACACACACACACACACACACACACACACACCACATACACACAAGCGCACAAAGTCATAGAGGTCAAATGGATTCTGCATGCAATAGACACGTCCCTCCACAAGATGCCACTGTAGTGCAACTAGAAGACAACTCAAAGACATTCATCACTCTTTGGTTGCTCAATTTGTATTCCATACACACACACACTCACACACACACACACACACTCCCCCATAGTTTTTCTGAAATATGTAGAAAATGCAGATGTAATCATATGTAAGGCGAGAACACAAAAACACGAGTAAATGACTGTCTTAAATGAGCTGACTGACTGTATGACTCAGTGCTGTTTTCACAGCCAGATAAAGAGGAAAATTTGGACTCTGGGCTGCTGAACAACCAACTACTACTTCTTTTGCTTTTACTTTTGATCCCTCCTTCTATCTGTCTCCTTCTGTCTGGAGGAAATGTTCTGCATCATGGTTTGAGGTTGGGCTTGCATTAATGAAGGAGCAGAAAAACAGCCCCGCTGTGTAATATGTGCAGGCAGCAATTCTGTCAGACTAAAATTTGATTTAATATCCAATGTTTCTTCTCAGTCTCATATCTCTGTCTTGATCTCACCTTGTTTCATATTAAATCACAGTTTAAACTAGCTGCTGTATTTGTTGTAATTGTTTGCTGTTTTTTTCAGGTAATCAACAAATACAAATATTCAGATCCTCTTTTACTTTCCTGAGTGCTTGTTCATCTACTTTGAAACTTCCTGTTCTCTTTTTTACCCCCTCTGACTCTGTAATTCTCTTCCTTCCTTCCTTCGTTACAAAAGTGATGGGGTTTCAGAGCCAAGATAATCAAAAGGTATCTTAATTCTTTGCCACAGGGTTAGGGCACATATTATAATTTACAAATATTTCATTTCATCATAAGTCTATGTCATGTCGGCCCCTTAATTAGCTAAGATAAAGGTTATATCAAGACTGAGCAGACTATGCAGTAAACACAACCGATGTAGCACCCATAAATGTAGAAAACTTATATTATTTTAAGGTGTAACATAAGCATTTCTCTTTGTCAAGGATGGCTTTTGGTGCACAGTGTGTTATAATAAAAAGTTAGTGTGGGTTTTCTATTCTCCTCTGCTCCCATAGCCAAGTCACAGAGGCATCTGGCTGAGCGAGTTGCCCCAGACATCCCGGGGTAAGCATATGTTTATGTTTACTATAAAATGTTAATTTTCTTGGACAGCAACTAAGGAACTGTTTAGCTGCTCTATGCACAAACAGGAAAGGCGGTGGTAATAAAATGATACCGTATAATGTTTCATTTTGTGTCTTTGAGGCACAGCATTAAAAAAGAGAGAGATAAGTTAGAAAAAGAGAGTTCTGTTTTATGAAACCATTTAGATTTTCTGTAAATGTCAGTTTGATTTTGTAGAAGTGTCCTGCATACTGTCCTGGCCAAAATAGAAGATGGACCTGCATGGTTATAAGTCGACTCAGGCTTTTCAAGACCAATTTAGGAGAAGACTTTTCAAAGACTGAATCTTGTTTCAAGTGTTAACTACGTCAAAACAAACTCTCTGAATAATACAGAGCAGTAAAACACCATCTCAGTAAAATCATGTTTTAGTACCTTTGGAAACTGTCGGATCACATATGTTCACACGCTCTGTTGCTACAGGCACAGGAATGAGATTACTGCCTCAGTGTCAGTAACTCACCTCTCTCTTGCACCTCTCAACACTTCTCTCCATATTTCAGCCAATAATGTAGCTCAATAGGACTGACTTCATTTAATGAAGTGAGTTTTGATATGGACAGTTTATTTTTATTGGATCGGGTAACTACAATGCAGAATTCTCCATGGGAAACTCAAAGCACCGCGAGTTTCATTATATTTCTGAACACTGTTTTACGACATGCTGTGAAATATGTGTCAGGACTCTTTTGTGAGTTTCAGCACAAAAGATATTTCTGATTTGAGAGGGACATCAAAACACTGTTTCTTTAGTCAGTCTTAGGTTTAGTATCAAAGTGCTTGACTTGATCAATGAATGGTAATGTTCAGGATGAGTTGATATTCAGTAGTCATGTGGCATTAGCTGCTCAGGATCGTTTCCAATAGTTGTAGGCAGTTGAGCTGCAAATTTAATGATCCATAATTCAAGAACTGCAATAACATAATTAGTTTAGGGTTTATTATCCATGCAGGGTCTGTCGTAGCAGCGAACATTTGGCTCGTTATATAACAGACAGAGAGTGCTTAAATGTCTATTTACATGAAACTAGGTGAGTTCGCCAACATTAACTATGGAGGCGGCCAAATGTTACCATACTCTCCACAAGACAGACGGAGGCAGGGGATCAACTACAGAGCCAAGCTCATATTTACTCTTTCAGATAACTAATTATGTCTATAAGCTATTAACAGAAATGCACCATGGGACCTGACGGGATCTGCACCACCACAACCACAACCGCTCTCTCCTCATCCTGTTTTCCTCCACCTCTCCCTCCCTCTACTCGTGCCCATCATGCCTCTCTTCCCCTCTGCTCTCCCTCCAGTCAGACCAAGAGCTGATCCTGTGGATTTTGACATTAATTCAGTGGGACTCATATAATCCCTTGTCAGATTATGGACCAGCACACACTCACACAGACACGTACACACATTCCAACACACACATATTTGCACATAGAACACAGACGCGCACTAACTAAATGCATATGGTGTCAAATTCAACATATAATGACGTACCTGATATACATCCCTTCACGGTTGATGTCTTTGTAAAAGTTCTGCAAAATCAAGAAAAGGAACAGAGTCGGTGTCAGTCTACAAGAGTGTGTGCGTGTGTGTATGTGTGAGAGAGATTTCCAAATCATTCTGAAGCTTTGCACTGACTGCAAGTTTGTAATTCGGAGTCTGTGTGGTCAAGCATTCCTCTAAATGTTTGTGTTATGTGTGTGTAATGCTGTCGACCTCTGATTGCTTTGCTGTGTGAATGTGTAGGAGTGTGTGCATGCGCATTTGTTAGATTAGCAGCACAAACTCCCAGCTTAATGAAGTTTAATGACGTCTACAGAGAACAGAGGAGAGGAACGAACTGATGTAACCCCACCTCCCATCACCAGCATGAGCCGGATGACACAATAACACGCTCGAACACACTCATACTTACAAAGACCATCACAAGTATGCATAAAAATGAGCTCAATTACTTTTAGATCCGCCAGTGCATACTTTATGCATATTTAGAAGTAGTTGCTCTATTTTCTGCAAAAGGTCAGATACATCAGTGTTTGTATCAGTGGGTTATATCGTAAATCAGCCAATATCCTGCAGGAAGCAGCCTGTCTCTATGAAGGTCAGATGCTTATGCACATAGCTGTCAACTTGGACAAATTGTCCAAAACAAATAATTTAACAAGCTTTAGTGGAACTTTAACTTCCTCTTATACGTCCATTAAAAATCCAGGTACATGGGATGTGAATGTAGAGATACCTGCGAAACAAGCATGCTTTGGTGAGCATGAGGATAGAAGTTTTAGTGGAAATCCTTTTTGCTTCATTTACATGAGCCTGGTGTTGGCTGTATGTTTCAGAATGTATATTTGTGCTTCTTTGAAAGTGCATTTGCATGAAGAAGCATAACAAATACTTGTGATTGTGCTTGTGAGGGATTGTGTGCGAATATGTGTGTGCAGTGCCTCAGTGAAATTAGCCTAGAGGGGTATGGGCAGGAGACTGCACAGCAGCTTGTTCACAAGCAGAGGGGATTTTTTTTAGTCAGCCAAACAAATGAAAGAGACTAGCTAATGGGCAGCTGCTACAGGCAACAAGCTTAACACCTCTGCCATGTGCGAGCACCCTTTGGTCCTCAGGGAGAAAACGGCACAGTGGAGTTAGAGACTGAAGCATTTATTTAACATGTAATATCCAACTTTGAACCAAAAGTGTCCTCAGAAAAGAAGGAAGGCAGCATTTAGAAGAGGAATTATATGATCTAATCTGCTGTGGCGACAGTCTCAAGGGAGGCTAGATGGGGTCCATTACCGAACCTGAGAATACTGTGGGGGAGAATCTGATTAGAAGATCACATAGGAGAAAGGATGTGGAACAGACAGAAGCTGACGCAACGCTCTGCAAACAGTCACAGACCAGACACAGAGATGAATGTTTTCCTGCAGATCAATCAGCACACAAATTAAATGTGGAAAAGATTTACAAAGACCTTGGCACCAAAGACAAGACATAAAACCGGTGTTTTTTAATGAACTCTTCAATCAGTTGGGCTCTTTTGCATTGGATGAGATTATTTCCCGAGGTCTATGTGGAACAACCTCTCTCGCTACTCTCTCTTCTTACTTTTGTCCTTCAATTTATAATAATTCTAATGATGTGCATGTGTTTGTGCGTCACTGTGTGTGTGACTGAGATCAGCACCTCTTTGCTGAGAGGTTCAATACAACGACTACAAAGCACAGAGCGTGAATCAAAAGGTCAGTGTCAATAAATGCAAATCTGTGGTGAAGCTGGCCACATTCAAAGCATACGGGGGTTTTTGAAAGATTCACATGGGGTCAGTAAAACACGCACACAACAAAACAATAATGAAATTCTAATGGGAAAAAGGCTCAAAGCAAAATGGAGATATTTGATGAAGCCACTTCTTTCCAAGCTTTGTAACCAAGCTGAAAGTGGCCTTCAAAAATGCCCACTAGAACACCTTTACTGCAGAGGTGGAATTTTTAAAGATAATTAAGGCTGCGGGAATTCAAAGAGTGAGACGCCAATAACTCGGCTGCTTACCAGAAGATTGACAGTGCAGCTCATGCGGTTGTTTCGGCTGTCATCACTCATCACGGTGCGGTAGTCAAGGAGACGAATGAGGAGTCCCTTCACCAAGGCGACAAAGTGCTGCACCTGTGGCTTCAAGGTGGCTTTCTCTGCAGCACAGTCCAGCAGGCTGGCAGACAGGCAACAACAAGTTCAAGAAAGGAGGAAATTACTAAACACTCAGCACTTGAAGTTTCAGCCTTTCAGGAAGGGGGGGGGGGGGTAGGGAGTTTTGCCAAAGGACCTTAAGTACGAGTTAAATGTTTGGACGGTTTGTGGAAAATAACTCTGAGTTATATTCATATCAAACCCTTTGGCTGGGAACCGGACAAATCTATCCGCTTATTTTTTATTTGCAGATCTGTTTGTTTCCACCCACGCAGACATAACTCTATTTGACCTGCACTCTAACAACAGTTTATCTCTGGTGAAGTGGGATTTATATGACTGTACACCAGAGAGCTTGGAAGGCATTGTCACAAACAACCTTGAGGGCTCCAGCAAAAGCAAAAGTTCTGACTCTGTTTTTATTGGCTTTATGTGTGCACCCACTGATGACACCAACAGTGTAATCAAAATATAATGAACAGTTTCTGACTGAACTAGTCTGTGGATTCCACGTTTTCAAACCCATGCTATTTTAACAGTTTAGTACTATCGAAAATGTTATAAATGTTATTGGAAACACTCATCAGGTGTTACTGGCTGTATAGTATAATACTTCTGCTTACATAGTCTCGAACAGCTGCATGTATCGTTCATCTCCTCCCCCTCCCTCAACCTCATGGTCCAACTTCAGAATGATCTCATTCTCAAACTGCGGAAGAAAAGAAAAGAGAAGAAGAGGGAAGACAAAGAGTCAAAGTCATGAGTTTACTTTTGTCTGTATTCTCCCAGGGAACTCATGCAGGAGCACAATGTCTGAGTGTGCCATTGTTTCTGGCATATGGTACGTGGGTGTTTTTACCTTGCTGAAGTTTCCAGAGTGTGTGTGCTCACAGGTGATCATGTCGAAGAAGATGGGAATGGTGGCCCTTCTCAACTCTTCCTCTGGGATCAAAGTCATTTCCAGGATTGGACCCACCATTCCAGGGATGAAGCAGATCTTGTGACTTCCTATGGGATTTAAATGTAATTACAATAATTATATTTGACCCATCTACGCCCACTTCTCTATGTCTGTCTTCAGCGAGAAGTCACAAGACTGTCAGCACTGAAGCATCGGTAACACTTGACTTGATGCCTATCTCTATAACACATTCTAAATATATGCATAATGCATTATAATCACATTTGTATAACTATAGTTATAAACACTCATAAATGATCATAATCCTCTATAGAAATAATCATAACACATTTTGAAGCATTTTATCATGACTTGCAAGGTCAGGTATTGTGATGTGTTATAATTGTTAACAACTCACTGACAATGCCGATATAGATAATGCATAATACATATATTTATGATATGTTATAATTTGCTTATAAACTTGTATAACTATAGTTATAAACACTCATAAATGATCATAATGCTTTATAGCAATAATCATAACTCATTATAAAGCATTTTATCATGACTTACAAGTTCAGTTATTATAATGTGTTATGGTTATAGCTATAAAGCCTTATGATCATTTATGAGTGTTTAAAATTATAGTTATACAGTGCTATAACATGATTATAATGCATTATACATATATTTATAATGCGTTATAGAGATAGGCGTCAAGTAAAGTGTTACCGAAACATCTATTTTCAGTCAGTTTTTCCATCAGGAAGGAGTGTTTTACTCTTCACATTTATTCTCATAACACAACCCTACATTCTCAAAATGCACCACCAACTACCCAGGGATACTGTGGATGTGATTTTAAAAGTGATACGTTAAGTAACCCTGAGGTCTGGTCCATGCAAAATAGTGTTGACATTGTGGGCCCTTATTTCCATGCCGTGCAGAAAACAAATTCCACCGGCACATTCCCCTGGCTGTACTGCAAACTCAAGGTGAAAGGACTCCCGCATCCACCGGCACATGTGTGGGTGTGTTGAAATGAGGGTAAAAACACATTTTTCACCCAAGTGTTGTCGGGTAACCCACACTTACGCGAACCCGATTTCTTACCTAGCTTGTACCACATATCTCGTATAGCAAAGCCGATGAGCCTTCTCATGTCTCCGTATCTAACACAACACAGACACAGAGAAACACAAAGAATTAGCACCTTAGTCTGGAAACAATGTCTTGATCAATATTGTTTTCCCCCCTGCAGACCCTGATCAGGCTAGTGGAAAAGATAACGCTGTTCTAATCTGCCCCAACATGAGCTCAATTGAACGTGTATCTACGAGCACCAAGGGGTTTTAATAGGCAGTGGGAGTGTAAACAGTAAATGCAGACTCCAAAGTAGACGACAAATCACTGAGTGTTTCATTTGAGCAGGGGGAGTAGGTGTGGTAAATAAGGACATTATACGGCCCCGCTCTCACTTGGCCAGAATCTTGTTCCTCTTGGTTGGTGAGAAGTGCTGAAGCTGCAGGGACTCCTGGGTAATAAAGGCCACCGCCAAGTGGAAGTAGTTATTCCACAACTAGACAGAGCAGGGAGGAAAGGGAGTAATGTAGAAGAATTCATATGAATCACAGTTCGAAGTGGGACAAAGAAAGACAAAAGAGACCTTCAATATCAGAGAAAGCCTGTAAATACACACGCTCACCTGCACTTCAAAGTCGTCATTATTCAGAAACTTCTGGTTCATTGTGTCTGCGTAGGTATTGATGGCTCGAAGGAACACTCTAATGAAAAGAAACACAGACATTTATCATATACACACAAATAAAATATACCAGCAAAGTAGAATGGTTCCAAGGGAAATAAGAAAAATATGAAAAAAAAAAATCCTCATGCAATGGTCTGGTTGTAAAAATAAACGCAAAAACAACCTTAGGGTGGAAGAAAGTTATGTCTAAAAACAAATACAAGTGATGACACCTCCACAATGATCACAAGTACAACTTGTTTGTTGTTTATCAAGGTATGACAGATGCTCTAACTCATAGCTTTTTATGGCTTTTCTACCATTCCTTCATATACAAAACTTCTGTCACGATGACAGATCAAGACAGCAACTTCACAAGTGAATATCAGTAAGTTGTGACTTTGTATATTTCCAGAGTTTAGAGGCAAATCTGCTGCTTGTGTCTCCGCTCCAGCACTATCTGTCATCATTATTCAGAGCTTACTCCTCTCCCTCCTTTATTTTTCGATTCCTCTCTCTCTACCTGCACATCTCTGCCCAAATCCCAGACTACTTATCCACCTGTCTTTTTCTCTCCCTCACCCTCACTTTCACCTATTTACCTCTTCTCTCTGTAACACAGCTGTAGCCTCTCTTACAGCTTATATCACAAAAAGTTCACTACTGCCATTCTCCCCATCTGCTCACGCACACACACACACACACGCACACACACACACACACACAAGCACAGACGCACACTAGCCACCTCAGCTTTTTGCTGTCCTGATCCCGGCTTTGCCATCTTTAACTTTTCCCTGTGTGGGTTTCTGTGGGTGTCAACAGTTTTTAATAACTCACATAGACAAAGTCGCAATGTCACAATATGAGGTCATGCTGGGGCCTGTTCGGTGAGAAAAGCAGGCCGGCGGATGCTGGATGCTCTGGGGTGTACTGTACCTGTTCTGTACCATAATCATGGCCATCCAGTCAGAGGGATACACATGCTTCCCAATCAAGTCCTTAAAAAGGAGGAAGGACTCCATCAGAAAGTCCTGTGGGCAAAAACAAACAAAGGTTTGAGTATTTATAAGCACTTACTTTTAAATGTCTGTAACCATCAGTGTGTGTTTAAGAGACATATTTGCTTACCACCAGATCCGAGTTCCCAGTGAAGGTTTCGATGTATAGAACATAGTGTTGGTCATCCATCTGGCTGAGGATAGCTGTCATGCAGGCCACAACCCTGGACTACAAAGGTAAAACATGAGCGAGACAGGAGGGGAGAGAGAGAGAGAGAGAGAGAGAGGGAGAGAGAGGGAGGGAGGGAGAGAGAGAGAAAGAGAGAGAAACACCATTTCATTTCACGTTCTGTGCAGCTGCTCTTAAACTAAGTACTACAACTTAAGCCAAAGACATTTAAATCTCTTAATGTAATTTGTTTCAGAGGTTGCCAAAAATGAATGTTAAAGAAAACCTCAGACCTGCTCTGTCACTTGCTAATTTGATCAGCCTCGTGAGATATTGCCTGCAACACCTGGAACAGCGGGGCAGCACTCGAAGCAATCTGTCGTTATTTTAGAGATGCTGCATAAGCAGGTTGTTAAGATATTCACAGATTAGCATAGTTATTTTGAACACATCTTATAATTGCCAGAAAGTTCTGGCAGCCTCACTAGTTTCTAATTTTATTCAATGATTTACATTGTGGACTACTACCTAAGGTATGATTTCCAAAACTAAATTCAGACTGTTGTACAATACTGTGTTTAAATGAAAAGCTGTCAAAAGGTTATTGTGGCGGAAAAGGGTGTAACCATACAGAAAAACCTCTTCAAGATACTCAATGTGTGCTCAATGTGGACAGGGTAATGAAATGGAAACGATTCAGCTTCTTATTGTCTTGAAAAACCTGTCAGATCATACCAAAACACAACCAATACATGTCCTGATTTAAACAAAAAAACGTCATCTTTAAATATTACTCTGCTTTAACTTTGGAGTCTATTTTACACATCACAAGTTTAGAGTTTTTAATGAGGGAGTAACTGCTCAAAGTAAGCATTTCACTGTGAAAATGACTCCCCTCGAGTTCACAAAAACTCTGCAACAGACAGAGGAAACAGGGAGAATTTAGGATGAAAAGTGAAAATGAAGGCAAGCCGAAAGACAGAAGGAGTAGCGAGAAAAGATAAAAGATGAGGATAGCAGAAAAGAAAGTTCAAATCACAGTCTAAGCTCAAAATGAATGTTAAGACTAGTCATGCTAAAAGAAACTCCTTCAGCTGGATTAAAGCACAGAATTCATGGAAAATTTAGTGTGGACCTCCCACACAGAGGCTGATAAGAGGGCACAGAGGTGCAGCATCCAACAAAGGAGAAGAAAAGGAAGAGAACGATAAAGCCTGAACCCAAGAGAGGGACGAAATAACCAATGACACGAACATGGACACAGACTGCATGCTGTAAATTACATATAAATGACACTGTCATAGCTCTTGGAAACGGAAAGGTCAGAAAAGCAGTTGGGGTTCTTATCTTTCTCAAATTTGGGCAGATTTTATGTTTTCTTTATTATTCTTTATTTCTTTGTTTCTTTTGTGAGTTATAAACATAGTCTATATATATATACTATGGACAACTTGGTTCCGCCAGTATACGAATTTGAAGCCGAAAAAGTTCTCGGTAATTCTGCATTTTCTCTCCATTTCCTGAAACCAACATTGCGCAGTAGCATTGTGCGCATTCGGCAGGAGAGTCGCTGAGAGTTGCTGTGATGACACCCAGCTCAAACTAAGCACATACCAGTCTTACAGTAACTACATGTCAACATCACAAGCTGAGGGGAGAAAAATCTATATTCTGTGTAATAAATTTCTAAACTTTGTCCACAGCTCCATAAGCTTTGCTGGCGGAGGCGGGATTTATGACCTATACTGCAGCCCGTCAACAGAGGGTGCTGTTCTCGGAGTGGCTTCACCCAGCAAGGAGGCAGATGGCGTCCATTCTATATACAAACTCTGGTTATAAAACAAACTGATATTAGTGCTTATGCATCCACTATGTTTCTTACAAAAGGCAATGAAGGTCTTCAAAGGAACTTTAATTGAATGCTTTTCAGCAAAAGAAGAAAATAATTTCAACAGCTGCTGAAAATGAAAACGATTTTCAATAAAAAAAAGTCTGTTAAATCAGTTTTTCTCTCTTTTTACTTTCCCAACTCCTTATTTTCCATTTTCGTTTTAATTTCTTGAACTGCTCATGAACGCATTACACGTATTATACTGATGGTAATGAGAGCCAGCAGGGGAAGCCAGAAATGGGTCAGGGCGCCACATGGACACCAGTCAGACTGGTAAAGACCACAGTGGTAATATCCAGTGAGCATCTGGGTGTTTTGGCTTATCCCCCAGTACAGCGTCTCTGTCAGTTTGTTTTGTTCTGCATCTGCATTGATGTTTTCTGATTGATTCTCCTCTGCTCCCTCGGCTTAATTGCTGGCATGAAGTTCACAAACCTTTTCAACAGAGACGTGGCAGATGCACAGGTATTTACGCCAGGGTTTGAGTGAAATTATCCTCTCGAGTCAGTGGCAGAAGAGGGGAACGTGACAGAAATAAAGGATGATGGATGGCTAATTGAAGATGAAAGATGAAGAGCTTCTCATGTGGTGGCAGCGCACATCTGATCAAAACGAGCTGTGTGTTTGTGTGAACATGTACGTATGTGTGGGGTTTTTCCTCTCTACCTTCTAATTTAAACACTTTTTCTAGCATTAATAAAGAGTCAGGCGTAACTCACGATTTCCCAGCAAATATACCCAACAGCAAGACGCACACTGACGCGCAAATGATTAAAGATGTGCCCCCAGCTGGACTCGATACTTTATTACAGAGATGCGTCACCGAGGATGAGTACTGTGTGGTTTTGTGCGTAAAACCTCCTCCTCCTCTACCCAACCTCCTTTTTGCAGTGACACCAGAGACCCTGTCAGCACACTCCCTCCTTTAATCTCAGTTTCCTTCTCTTCTCTCGCCATCAGAGTTTCCCCTAAAAGTGCCGGGAGAATTACACTGTGAAACTCACGCATGAGTAAGTCATGAGGTTGCCTCTTAACTATTTACTTCAGCTAATATAGACTCCTGTTACCAAAAGTTTTCCTGACATAATAGCAAGAGTTTTAATATTGTATTTATAAAAGATGTAGAGCATGTAAAATGAGTCAATTAATTATGAACAGACATTAATGATACCATCCGTCTTTGCTAGAGTTGCAAATATTTGAGTCATTGGATATCTTTCCTGTATCAGGCATTAAGGGCAGGTAATCATAGGTTATGTCAGCTAAAGAAAATCCATATTGCACATCCTCAGTAATTATACTAAAGCAAATGACCAGAAAACCGAAAATAACTTCCCCAAAGGCAGACACAACAAGAAAACAAACTCTGAATCATTAGTTCTACCTCTGATGTTCCCTCTCAGCCTCCTTCCTCCTCAGAGCCTGATGGTTAATCAGTGATAAAATTAGAAATACACACATTTACATACACTAGACTTTCTCTTTGGTTTGGTTCTTATCTCCTGGTCTGTGTGTGTGCGCTGCTGTGCATGCAGCCACATGTTGTGTTGCCCTACTTCAGACTAATTGGTGAGAAACTTCCACTTTCTCTTACTTTAAAGCCATCTCAGACACTCAAATCCTCAGAGGGCCAACTATCGACCATCAGCTGCCTGTGTCCTCACTCGCCAAAGTGTTTCATCAACACATTTCTTGACCTGCAAAGACATACAGGAGGCAAATATGTGTTGTCCTTATTAAAATTACTGACATCTGCAGTGTGTTGAGCAGGCAGAGATGCAGAGAGAGCTCAGGGCTTGTTGGGGCGAAAGCCTTATGCAACAGAGAAGAGATTACTGACAAAACAGAACACAGATGCTGGTGAGTTCTGGGATTTCTCTCCTGTCTTTCCCCTCCTTCACTGTCACTCCATTTATCTATCAGTTATCTCTCACTCGGACCAATCCCATTAATAATGTATCAGGAGCTGTAATTTCAGAGTTGCATCAAAATGGCAGTTATCTGGAGAGGCACCTGCACCACATGAAATACTCATGAAGCCCCCGGATGCTGCAGTGTTCATTAAACTCCTCTGCAGATGAACAAACAGCATCAATATTGATCACAGAAGAGTGTTTGGTGTATTCATAAAGTTCCTCGACACAGTAAGACTTATGTGACATTTCTATTAACGGCTGGTCAAAGTAAGGCTGTAGCAACAAATGGCCTGACTGTACTCAACAGACCAAGACTGCATTTCATTACTTACTTTAAACTTTGGTTTAAAGGAGAGAAAAAAAAGCTGCACTTTATACTTGAAGTGTTACACAGGCACACCTTAAGTTATAAGTCAAATTCCCTGCTTCAAATGCATAAACCCCAAGAGATGCCCAGTGGGATAAACACTAAGATACAAGCGATGCAATTAAATATAATTAACATCTAATTTATTTTAAATTGAGACAGCGCATTAAAGCATTAACTTTGACAGACAGACTTAATTTAAATGCATAAAGAGGTAGAGTTTAATCCGTCAAAGGGACACAAGGAAATGTTTTATTCAAATGTGTGGCACTCGACAGGCCCAGAGTGAGACTCATTTTCAGACTGAGAGTTTCATGATTTAGACCAGCCCATTTCTGTTCACCACCATTACTGGAGGTGAATAATTTTACCTCACTGGAGTACAACTCCAAAATTCATGGTGTATTTTGTTAAAAATCAAACCTCACCAACCCTGACTCGACAACAACGCCATATTCCAAGATGGCAGCACAGTGCATCAACAGTAAAGAGTAACAGTGAAAGCTCTTGTAATGTATCTTTTATTAGCACTTCTGTTTTGTTTTTGTGATATTAAATAAGTGGTATATGTTGTACTGCACAATGTCTAACTGTGAACACATGCTATGGTGTTTGTAAGAGTAAAATACTGTGTTATGAGATGTTTACAACTGGTACGGCTAACAACCGCTGACAACTGCTAACAAAAACTGACAAGGCAAACGACAGCTGACAATTGAAAACAACAGCTAACAATGGGTAACAGTAGGCGTCCATCTTGGTTTTCCGACTTGTTAACCGGAACGCTGTCAACTCGGGTGTAACGTCATTCCCAGCTCCGACATCCTGGACAACTGGAATGCAGCATAAGTATATGACTTAAATAAGTCACATGACTTCCATAATTATGACTCGTTATCTCAGTATAACTACCTCACAGGTATGGGTTATTGTGGGATCAGTTCAGTTATGGCTAAAATTATGTTTTTACAAGTCTTACAGTTCGACAGTTTCCTTACAAAGGTTCTTTTCAACCATCATCAAGTTAAGCAGTTTTATTCTATTTTATTTCAGGATGAATGTTTTTTCTGAATAGTTTTCATATAGAGCAGATGTAGATGGTACTCTTTGTCACATGAAAACTGACTGAATCCAACCCGCCCACTCTGGAGCTATAGGTTCATGTCTTAGAGTAAGAAGTGTCTCTTCCTCACTTTGACTGTCAGCCGCTGAGGGGCTACATGGCAGTGCTTTAAAGTGAGTTCTTACTGTACTTGTTAAGTACTTATTCATATTACTGTATATACATTAGTCTATATGACACCACACCATTCACTGACTCCACTCATTAACGTGGACGTGATTTGATCGTTTTATGTCAAGTTTTATGCACATCTGTTTACTTGAATCAGCCCCATTTGACTGTATATGCCAGTACTCTTTACTCGGGATGCTTGGGTCGTGATGTGTGACTCAGCTTTAAGAACCAGGTCTTGCCCGTGAACAATATGAGTTTCCATTTCAGAGCTAGTTTCTTTTCCCCTTTTTCTGTTATTTACTACACCATAGAATATAAGGATCTTCTCTTCACACTGCTTGGCCACAGGCACACTCAAATGGTTCTATGTAGAGCCATTTGGGAGCTGAAGGAGTGGGCTGTTATCGCTTACCTGAGCCAAATGATCTGGATCACTATAAAGAGCCGGAATTCCTATGAATACTCTGAATACTGTTGGAGCCAAGGCGAAGAGATCAATCACTGAAGAGGAACACAAATGTTAGCCTGCACTCCTGGTCAGATATGGACCTCCCCAATGATATCTATTGTTGTAGAGGAACTTCAGTCATGTTGGCATTTTACACATAGACAAAGAGTATGACCACACAGCAACAACACAGAAAAATATAAAGTGGGAACACCTCAACTGGAAAATGATGCACCTCTTTTCAGAGTCCATCACTGATCAAAGAGGGTTAGAGGAAGGTAATACTGTCCTTCTCCGTCACAAAAACTGTCAATTTCTCCCGTGTTTTTGCAAAGGTTGCTCTTTTGAGTCTCAAAATGAAGGTCATTCCTCCATTGCAAAGATTTTATTTGACCATGTCCAACCATTACCACACTCAGACTGAAATCACACTAAATCAAACTTCTCATATTCATACTAACATAACTAGAAAATGTGGATGGGGATTGATTTTCTCTGTCACGTAAACAGCACAATCAAACGGTAATTAAACCAAGAGTTCTGCGCATGCCCCATGCAGTGTTCGCACGCCAGGCTCTGAGCCAGATGTTAAATAGCACAAGGAAGCCAGGTAGTAAATTAAAAAAAAAAATGAAACTCTCTTAACAAACAGCACAGATCTGTGAAAGTGACAGTGTTTTCATTGTTACACATCCATCCTGTTAGCGTCTTGTTAATGCATTTCACAGTTTTGGTACATAAAACATCAAATGGGTGACGACCAGATAGTAACAAGCTGAAAGGGGAGCATGTTGCCAACTACTCTAGCAGACATGCTCCTGTTAGCTATGACCATAGCACGACTTCCCTGTGCATGTAAACATACTGAATGTAACCATCTTAGATACATTTTTTAAAGCTGCTGGAAAAATACCACCACATAATGTCGATAAAATTGCTTGATAATGACTCACAAAAGTTTAACAGCCTGAAAAGGGTTATTTTGTAGGTTTGCTATTATGAGTTTTACTGATGGCTGTTTATGATTCCCATCTGTACATTTTATTGAAACTTTTATTTTTTTAACACTGTGCTCAGTTTTTACCCTGTTTTTGGACTATTAGCTCACTGGAAGTAAAACCTCTGTTTTATCTGCTTAGACATTAGTCTCTTAAAAAATACCTTGAAGTGATATTTGACAGTTAGTCAGAAAAACATAGTAAGTACGACTGGAAACTTGGGAATTCTGTAAGTCCCCTGCAATCCCATCAGTGTCTTTACACAGAACTTGACTAACAGCAGGTCCATGTCCCTCCTGTGCCGATCTCACACCCCTTTCCTTTTTCTCTTCATATCCCCGCTCTTCTTTTGAGATGTCCCACCAGGTGAGTTGTCATTACACTGCTCTCAACTGTGATTTTTCATCATCTTTCAAAATAAAAGACCTCAAAAACACAGTCTCTTTGGCAGCCTCCGGTGTTCCTCACTGTTTCTTCACAGGCACATGCTCATCTTTGACCCCCCTCTATTACACGAAACACACACACTCAATTACACGCATTTTCTGGTACCCGGGGGCTGATGCTGTGGAGTAGCGGGTTGCTGTAAGAGAGAGGTGGATCGTGTGGAGGTGTAATTTGAGTTGTTGTTGTTGTTGTGTGTCGGGATGATGTGGCTGTGTGTTTGTCTAAGGGGAGACAAAATGTGGCGACAGGGATGTTTATGTGTTTGCATGTCAGCATGAATGTGAACATGACCAGAAAACAGATCAACGTGTCCTCAGAATGTGTGTTTTTGTCAAGTGCAAAGACATACAATCAGCTGATACAAGCAAGGATGAGAGAGCAGGGGAGGAAAAGAGGTCAAGGATAGAGGAATTATACGAAGGAAAAAAAAAAAAGGAGGGGAAATACAGGCAAATACATGCTTCTCTTTTCATCCCCTCCAAAGTAAAATCCCTGCAATGCCACAGCTTCAGTAAATCTCTCTCATGCTGTCAGCCTTGCATGTTTCTGTGGCCTGGCATCATCAGACTGACTCAACATGGTGAATCAGTCTGTTCGATTCATTACCTTTTCTGAGGGGGCTTTAACAACCACAGCATGCAGGAGTGTGACTAAGAGCAACCCAGTGTGACGTAGTGTATAGCATAAGGAATGTAAACAGACGGTGGCATGTAGAGGAAACACACACAGGTTTATTACCAATGAATGACGAATGCTCTTATTAAAAAAAAGAAAAATCACAAACAACAGACCCTCTGTTCACAGAAACTGTCTCCCTGGTGAACAAATACGCTGATGCAGCCCTCCTGTGCCGTCATCCCAGAGAATCCATTTATAAATAAAGGACTGTGATTGATTTACTGTATCTGACACCAAGTGGAAATTGTTAAGAATGAGCTGGCAGATGGCTCTAGTGGTGCCACACAAATGTTTTTGTCCACAGGTATGATGGTTGTGCAGGCTTCATGTGTGACTTGACTTGCGCCTGGCTGCTTACGTAATGTGAACCACCACACTCACACACACACACTCACACACTCACACACACACCTCAATGCTCGTCCCTCCAGAGGTCACTTGAAACACAACGCAAGGTGAGTCAACCACTTTGCTTTGGCGCATACATCACCGGTTATTTTAAGATGGGGGAGGGGTCAGAAAGGGACACGGCGTGGACGCTGCAGCAAGGGACTGTTACTAAAACACACACATACACACACAGATGGACATAGTCACTCCACACACACTCTACCTGGCAATCATAACTCAGATTGCAGTTACATAAGGCCTTGTGCTCATAGAAACAAACAGCTGTAGTCCATTTCTAAGAACATCTACTTCGTCATTGTAGATCTAATTCACGACCGTTTTCTCTCGCTAAAACTCGACCTGAATTTAATACCTCCTAATTTTACCTTCAAATAAAAATTTAGAATTTCCTCTAAGACAAACAACAGAAGGATATTTTCATCTTTCCTGATGCATGACGGACAAGGAAATTAATTTGCAAACACAAATTCCAGCTGCGCACAAAGCGCGGGTAATTAAGCTTGATTAGAACCTGATATCACGCAGCATTTAATCTCACTTTTTGTCAATTTATCTCACTTTTTTGTCTCATTTGCCTCAAGAAAAGAGAAAGCAGTGTCATCCTCGGCTGGTGTGTGCAGGAGCAGGGAAAGAAAGAGAATCAGATAGCAGGAGGGTGGGAGGTGGAACAGTCATGCATGGAGGGGACGAGCTGAGGATGAGAGATGGAGATAAAAGAAGAGGAGAGGGTACTGTGGTGTGAGGCTGAAGTGGGGCAAAGAAGAGGGAGGACAGGCGACAAAACCGCTCAAAGAGAGAGAGTGAGGTGAAGCTGCCGGGGGGGTAAAGCGACAGAGTAAGACAGCGAGAAAGAGAGAGGGAGAGAGAGAGAGCAAGAGATGCAGTTCACACAAAAAAGCAAAGATATAAATAAAGTGAATGATCGAAGCAAGAGTGTGTGCTTCTGTGTGTTCGTGTGCCTGTGTTTGTTTGTGTCCTGGCTTGGCTCCCAGCAGCAGACACTTGTATGCTGCCAAAGTTTCTCTAGGTCTACAGCCATGCCAGGGTCAATGCACACACACAAACACACACACACACACACACACACACACACACACACACACACACACACACACACACACACCGTACACACATGAGCAGAAACCAGGGCATGGGATTAACCAATGAAGGAAGACAGAAATGGAGAACAACATCTGGGAATAAATAAGACAGACAATAAAAACACTAGCTCTGACATGACATTTGAAGAAATATGAAAGTGCTAAAAAGAGAGGAGGGGCAGCAGGTAATGAAACAATAAAAGAGTAGAAAGAGAGGGAGGGAGCAAAAGAAGAGGGAGAGAGAGAGAGGAGAGAGAGAGAGAGAGAGAGAGAGAGAGAGAGAGAGAGAGGGAGGGAGGATCACTGAGCTCCGTGAGCATGCAAGGATCAGCAGCAACAGAAAGAGACGGAGAGAGAGATAGAGAGCGGCGAAGAGTGTGAGGAGAGCGCTACACTGGAGTACAGGACTATCAGGGACCAGAAGGAGACACCGAGAACAAGAAATAGAAGAGAAGCATGTGGACCAAAGAGGAGACTGAGAACAGGTGAGTGAATGAGAAAGTCGATGTGTTTGCAGTAAGTGTGTTTGTTTAAAAGCTTGTAATATTTCCCTCTGGGTAAAGATGCTCTGTGATGACCCTCTGAAGAATTTCTACAGCCTTGTCGCCCGCAGCCTATACTTTATCTTACTCATGCAATATTTAAGACACTGAACAGAATTTGACCAGGGGTAATGGTGATTGTATGGAAGCAAGAGCCAGAGAGCCAACCAGCCTAATAGATAAAATCCCAAGGTTTAAGCGCACGTCACAAACAAACAAATAAAATCCCAGCAGCTTCTGGCTTATCTGGTCATCTTCTCTCCTCCAAACTCAGTAGCTTTGTTTACACTTAAACTACAGAGAGACATCAGTATGTGTATTTTTTTTGGTTAAAAGGAGTAGTGTGACCACAGCATCGAAACTATGAGTGAACATGTGTGGGTATGTGTGTGTCTGTGTGTGTTTGTGTAGCAGGTGAGTAATCCTATCCATCTGTCACAGTGGGATTTGATGCATATGATTACGTCTGTGTGTTTGAGGTTAGTATGTGTGTGTGTGGCGCTTATTTTGTGCATGTTTTACCAAGCACTAAATACAATTACAATCACTTTACAACTTTTGCTTTCAGTAAAGATCTTAAAACGCTTTCAACAGTTCATGCATGAGTGTGTACGTGTGCATACATATGTGTGTGTGTTTGCTGACCGACCACTATTAAGAGCCTCTGAACCAATCATCAGAACAGCTCGTGTGGCTCTAATATGGGATTATATTGCAATAACCCTTCTCTTATACACTAATGCTGCCCCTGAGCATCTGTGTATGTGTGTGTGTGGCGGAGAGAGAGAGAGAGAGAGAGAGAGAGAGAGAGAGAGAGATGGAGAGGATAGAGAGAGAGAGATGGAGAGGATAGAGAGAGAGAGAGAGAGAGAGAGAGAGAGAGAGAGAGAGAGAGAGAGGGGAGAACAAGCACATAAGTAAAGGGATCTACATATAGGAAAGAAGTAGGTCTGCTATTTGTGCTCTACTTATGTAACCCCTTCAGGTAAAAACAATTTAAAATGACAGTTTGTGCTGATAAATAGGAGTGTGTGTATCTGTGTCACAGTATAAAATTGTCCGTTGCAGGCACAGTTAAACATTTCAACAAGTCAAAAAGCTGATTGAGAATCACCTCACTCTCTGTCATGTATTTGCTGGAGAGTATTTTCGGAAAGATTACTGTTTACTCTACTCCAGAGAAATTGAACACGTCAAAAATGTTAATCAGTTTACTCAGAGAATATATGAAGGGTTGATAGAGGTTGTTGTTTGTGGGAATAAATACAATAGAATAGAGTGGAGGCAAAGTGCTTGACTGTGGCGGGAGCATGTTGTGGCTTTGTGGTTATCTGTGATGCATTAGAATGATTTGTCTGTTTTCACCCTGGGATGAGTGAACGATGCACAGCCAATGTATGCTAGAAGAAATTCACTGAGGTAGTAATCTGATCTCTATAGATTGCTCTAATGTGCTCATGATTTTTCTCCACTGTTATGGTTATTGAAAACCCACTTTGATACTTAAGTTGATTACTTTTTTAAATCATCTAGTTGTTTTAAGCCAACTCAGGGAAATTAAAGACAAAATTCAGACTGAATTTAAGAACGCTGTGTAAAATGACCTCCAAAGCTTGTTTTATTTCTTATAATGAAAGCATGCAAGCAAAGATATCAGAAATAATGCTGAAAACAACAGGAAGATAACTTGCAGGCCTATAATGCAAATTACAGAGTAATAAAACTTGGTAACATTTTACTTGATGCCTATCTCTGTAACACATTATAAATATATGTATAATGCATTATAACCACATTATAAGCACTGTATAACTATAGTTATAAACACTCATAAATGATCATAATGCTTTATAACAATAATAATAACACATTATAAAGCATTTTGTCATGTCTTACAAGGTCAGGTATCATAATGTGTTATAACTGTTAACAACTCACTGATGATGCCCACATAGATAATGCATTAAACATATATTTATGATTTGTTATAATTTGCTTATAAACTTGTATAACTATCGTTATTAACACTCATTAATTATCATAAGGCTTTATAACAATAAGCATAACACATTATAATACCAGACCCTGCAAGTCATGATAAAATGCTTTATAATGTGTTATAATTATTGCTATAAAGTATTATGATCATTTATGAGTGATTATAACTATAGTTATACAGTGCTATAACGTAATTATACCGCATTATACATATATTTATAATGGGTTATAGAGATAGGCGTCAAATAAAGTGTTACCGAAAACTTCCTCCATAGGTTAAGATATTATACTACTCTGGTATTAATTACACCTTCTTCTTCTGAGAATGACGGATGATGCAGAGAAAAAGTTAAGGAAGACTGAGAGAGAGTGACAAAGTCAAAAGAAATATGTGTGTTTATGTGTGTATGTGTATGTGTGTGAATCACTGACACTTGAACCACTCAGCTAACCAGACGGACTGTGAACAAGTGATGAGAAGAAGATGAGATGGTGTGAAACAAAAAAAGGACTCGAGAGTCAGAAGGGCAGGAAGATGGATGAGGAAGGGGCGGGGAGCGCGACGGGGGCAGTAGGATAGAGAGATGAGAGAAGGAGCGATAGATTGTGGGTTAATGATGGAGAGATTGGATGGGACGTGTGGACAGAATGAGTGATATGAAGAGGGGAACCGAGATGAGATGATAGAGGGGGACAGCCAGATTAGGGACAGGATGAGGACGAGAGAAAAGGATGGTTTAAAAGATGAGGTGAGAGGAAAAAAACGGGATAAAGGAGGAAAAAGGGCAGTGTTAAAATGTAAGAGCCAAACAAATCAGTCTGTTTTAGTGGCGCTTCAAAGATGTGAGTGGTCATGGTCCTCCAGCTCCCGCTCTTAACTTTCCTGTTGGTTTACACAATCTAATTTTTCATTTTGATCCTTTTTATCTCCCATGATCAAATATTTGGTGGGAAATGTCTCATAAATATTCAGCTTCTCATTGTTTTCCATGGTCTGCTGCTTAACAAACATAAAATCCTCTTGCGTTCAAAACAAATAAATTAGGCTGGGGGATGGGATTGTCGATTCTCAGCTCAGTCTCCATATTTCACCCCTGTCTTCGTACAGCTACCTAAGTAGTTGTAAATAAGCTTGTTCTATACAACCAAACAGACTTTTCCCCCCAGAGATCCATCTGACAGCCCATTGCTCTGAATTATGGCCTATTTATCGCCCCATGCAAAGTTAAAGCGCTAAAAAGCATTTGAATGTTGGAGAAAAGCGAGATTCACAAAAGTGGGCTTAAGACAAGTTCAAACATCCTTAATTATTCATGTCAGCAGGGATTGTTTTAGATGAATATCTAAATTATTTGTATATCTTTAAACAGTCAGCCATCACCAAATGAAATACACTAATTTAATAACAGGCTGGTTGTTTGGCAGCTCCTAATTCCTCTCTCTGCGTCTCTGTTCAACACTTTTCTCTTTCTATCTTCAGGAGTGTTTTTTTCAGAAAAGGCAAGACCTTCAAATAATTATTTCAAACACTATAAAAAAAACCTGCAGGTATTACTCATAAGGTTTGTTCATATTGACCATGTATACAAAGCATAAGTGCAGAGCCTTCAGTTTTGCTTACAGGTCAGATAATGATTTAAGTGATGTATGAGTGGTTTTCTTGCTAATGTGTAATCTCACCCAAGCAAGGACACTTATTTGTACATGTTGGGAAGAACTGGTAGGAGGAGTTTGTCTGAAGAAAACACGCTTTAGCTTCAAGTATCTTGAGCTGTGACCCTGAAACTCACTCCTCATTGTATTCATCAGAAAATGAAGCACATGATGCAGAAACTCATAATCCTGATCCTCATGCGCGTTATGAGCAAAGTTAAATCAACCATAAAAAGAGCCAGACTAAAATGGGAACATACAGAATGGACTGTAGAGATGTGGTTCAGAAAGATGAGCCTGGAAAACTCGTAAGCATCTATGGGGCTAAGACTTCTCCATGAACCTGTTGTTGTTGTTTTATAATACACAAGTGTGCACAAAAACCTCTGGCTCTGTGTCTTCAAGGAGCGGCGTGACCAACAGAGTAAGCATGTAACAAGATTTGATGAGGTCCATACATTTAAGCCCAACAAAGTCTGAGATGACTGAGCCTGAGCCAGCTAACTTTCCTTTAATCATATCATGTTTGGGGTCGGCAGGCCTGAGGTGCTGGGCAAGAATTACTTTAAAGTTTGGCAACCACTGATGTAGAACACAGTTACTCCCATTATTCATTTTCTTGGACAACAACCACTTCCATTGTTCACGCTAGCTGATTTGGAGAGACACTTGAGTCCCTTACAATTACTCAGGTTAACACAATCAGCCCCAAATAATTCTTGAACGGATTATGCAGGGTTGGCTGAGATGCTTGGCTTTTGTAATGTACATTACATTAGCCTTCTCGGCTTGTGGCTCTTCAGTTTAAGTGCTTATTAAAGTGCCCTGTCCCTGAAAATACAGTTGTGTCTAATTAAAGTGTAAGAAAGAGTCTGCAGATGGCTGCGCACTCTTCCCATCCTTTGTGGTCATTATCAAAGGCTCCCTTCTGCCTGATGTGTTGTACAGTACACCATGATAATTCGGCACTGCTTTGTGGTCACACAGATCACAGTTGGTTGGTCATCCTTCAGACCAGCCCTCATTGTTCAGACTATGTGTGATCCACAGAAGTACAGAGGGCTTTTCATCATGGTGTACACAGACTGCAACTGGCTTTTCCTGTTTCCCTGAAGCACAGGCCCCTGCTTCAAACTGATACAAGCATGAGAAAGACAGCTGTCTCTCTACTAGCGCCACTCCGCAAATGAATTACATGTTAAGTCAGTGCAAAGACACAATTAGACGCTCCTATTATTGACACGAATTCGGTGGAAGCTGAAAATGTCTCAATTTGAGTAGATATTCGTGTCGTGATAACTAATCTGTACGAAGGTTGCCGGGTGACATATGAAAACGGACTGTTGTTCACTGGTATCTAAAAATGATACCTTTTCTTTCGAATACTGAAACCTGAATAAAAAGGAGCTCGTCTGGAGGCAAGTAAGTGAGGAGGTCGGATTACCTGGTAAATCGTAAAAGACCTTTATCCTTTACTTGATTCCGCCTAGCAGGGATTACCATTGAAATAACTGTTGACGTGTGAATGAAGCAAGTAAATACTATTCATTCACGCGTCTAGATTGGCACGAATTAAGTGAGTAGATGATTCTACTCGCAATGTTTTGTTATTAGTGTGTTTAGGCTACAAAATGGGTATGATCACAGGCTCCTTTTGATCATACTGGAAAAAACTGACAACATCACAATGCCCAAAGCTTTTTAAAAGTTTCCCTGTATAGACATTTATAGATGAAGTAAGCTAATGAGACTGACAGCTTCACTTTCACGGTACTATACTCCAGTACAAACAGCGTCTGTTTGTCCTGCCCTCCTCTGAGCCTCTGGTGAGGGACAAAACATCCACTTACACAAACACTGCTGTGAGGAAACAGGGACAATTGAATACCGTAAAGGGCATTTAATTTATCAAACAGAAACGAGAATGCACACAGCTGGATCACTGACAAACACACATCAGGAGGAGGGATCGATGCTGAACTGACTGCTGATTCGAGCAAAGTGATTTGCCCGCTTTGAGGAGTGTAACCTCTTTGAATAATTAAATGTGAAAGCAGTATCAGAATAATTCTTACATTTAGGGTTGCAAGTGGCCTTCAAAGGCTTTTGTAGAATAGTATTTGGGGAATGTCCAGTCACTGGAAAGCATGACGATGCTGAGATTTGTTGTGCCTTGAAATGTAGAGTGAGTCATGGTTTAAAGAAAAGTAGAAAAATTTAATTAGAAATGCCTCTTATTTTTTCCTTTGTTTTTTTGGCTGATCTATAAAATGAACAGATTGTGACCCTGAATAGTGAACCAAACCAAACTGTGAGATGTGTGATCTGTTGCACCCTCATTACCACTAAGGGTGAAGAGAGTACACAAATAATCTACGTAAGCAAAAGTTAAGTTGCTTTTACAGAATTTTTTAAAGTAGAAGTAAAACTACTTGTCTGGAAATCTACTCAAGTAAATATCATTTAAATTTGACCACAATCACTGAGGAATTACTCCGAACACATGCTGGTGGGGGTGGAGGAACAAGATATGCCATTTAACTTATGTAAAAGCATATTTCCCTAAACTAATTGTTTTAATAAAACCAGCACCATTCCTGCACAAAGTAATTTCAGCTCTGTGCCTATTCAGGGTGTAGCTATAAAATATATTTATAGCTTCTTTAGTCAGTATTGTTCTTTGTAAACTATTTCAGCACACTTATATCATCACTGGCTGTGCGGAGAGGCTCGTTATTATAAACCAGAAAAAGGACTTTATTGATTGAAATGATGTGCTTAGAAAATTTTATTTTTCAAGATAAGTTTCCTGAAAGAATAAGAAAACTTATTTTGAGGAACTCATCAAGAAAACAAATATGTGTTGGAAATATACATTTAAAGTTTAAATATACAGTTTAAGATGGAAGCTAATGTTTAATACATATTTGAAATAAAGTCATATTGAACCAAGAAGCCAGACAAAAAGAGAGTTATACTGACTACAACACCCAGAATGCTTTGAGCCTCATGGGCAATAATGTGCTGCATGTTTTGCAGTAGCTGTGAGTGGGCGATAGATAGTGAATGAGTGAAGCAATGTGATTACAGAGCAGTAAAGCAAGTCCCATACTCAGTGAAATGTGCACACACACACTCTCACACACACCAGAAGCAGGCCCATCAATTGGGGGTTGAAGAATGAGGCTCACCTTGAAACGACAGGGGACTCAATCCATTGGAGCATTCTGTTACCCCTGTAGAGACGCGGTTGCACACTAATTCACACAAATGTTACCGCACACACACACACACACACACGCACACACACACACACACACACACACACACACACACACACACACACACACAAGCCCATGCTGAGACTAGCTGAACCCACCAACTGGTAAATTAAAATCACTGCATGTATAAACAAATTTCATAAAAAGCTGCATCCTGTCAAGAAACTCCCTTTGGTCTTTAAAGGCTCCATGTGTGTGTTTGTGTGTGGATATGTTTGTGTTCGTAGATGTGATGACACATACTCAGGCACACTTCAGAGTGTATTGATTACTGGCAGACAGCGTGTTCAGCTCCCTCGTTCCCCTGCTTCCTCTTTAATGTCTCTTAACACATCTCTCTCTCTCTCTCTCTCTCTTCAGTGCCACTCTCTTTATTGTTTTACAAACTCTATCAGACACTTGTAGAGACTAAAGCTTCGAAAAAAAAAGCCTTTTACACCTCTCCCTTTGACACGCACTCATACTCAAGAATCCGTTTCATCTGCTCTGTACCATTTCTCCTTCATGCTGTCTCTGCCCCTTAACCCTTCTCCACCTTCTGCGCCTCCTTGTGCCGCCATCTTCATCTGTCCTCTCCCCTCACCTTCTTCTTCAATCCCCCCTGGGCTGACAGGGTTACCTCCCTCTCTCCTCCCCATTCATTTTGCACAGCCGGAGGTGTGAGAGACTTCGATTGAATATAGAGATGGAGGGAGGGGGAGAGAGCGAGACACATGCAGCAAATCAAAGACAGCATGACAGCAATGGGAAAGTGGGTGGTGGGAAGAAAAGTGCAACGGCAAACACAAGCAAAGATGAAAAACAAGATTGACAAGAAGGGAGTGATGTCCAATAAGATTTAGAGTGCGGGGGGTATAAACCAGAGGTACTTAATCCTGGCAAGTTGGTGTTACTTTTTCCTGACAGCATGTAGGTCAGGGGTGAGGCTTAAGATGCTAGGAACACACTTGAACACACAATCTAACACACAAACACAGACGGGGGGTAATTGTGCAGTGAAGTAGAGAGAGAGGAAGAGAAAGAGTGAAAGTTTGTTGCAGCAGGTGCTTTGGTGTCTGGTGTAGCTGCTGGTGGGAAAGACAAATGCTTGGAAATAAGCTGCAGTGAAATTACCTACAATTGACTTAGTCCGAATCCCAAGGCAAACTGCTTGACTACATACACTCATACACACAAACGCAAACACAGGTACTTATGCACGCTCATCTGCAGTCCTCCCTGTCTACATTGCACACACACTGGATTGTTCTCTCATTTTCTCTCCGTTTCTTTCAGGAAAAACATCATCATCATCTGCAATATCCTTCTGCAAACAACACTTCTTCTTCTCTCTCATCCGCGCAGTCGCCTGCTTTTGGAATTATTCTCTCAAACTCTCATTTTCTCTCCTCTATAAACACACATATATGAATATATAAAAACGTAATGAAAAAAAACCCACACAGATCTTGAAGTACGTGTGACCTCTGGATCGTGCTCTGTTGGCCCACGGTAATCAAAGTTACCATGGTAACCAATCATAAACAGTCTAGGCTGTCAATTACATGTGACCCTTCATGAGCTTCCAGGCAATGTGGCAGTCCTTGGGCCAGGAGGTCTGCCAAGATATCTGTAAAAATAGCAGCAGTAGGTCACCGAAGCAGAAACCCTTTGATAGTGCCGGATGTAGAGACCTTACATTTTAAGGCTCTTAGTGACATTTTCAAGAACAATGATGCACCTTCAGTCTTCAGCACAGACTGTACAAAGATGCAAAATAAAGCCTGTTTATTTATTTATTTATTTTTTAGCAAACTAGCTGACAAGTTTCACAAAAAAGGGACAAATGCTTATGGAAGTCTTACATAAAGAGCTGCCCCAGTTGTTAATGCGCCACATCAGAAGGTCCACCTGCATTACAAGCTGTATTCATTCAGTTTTAATATTTAATAATGTTAAATAAACACCTGAAGTTCCAAAGTGTCTGAAAATATCAACTACACTTTCTGTCAGGAGAAAGAGAATTAAAGACCCCAGATGACATTTTTTTAATCTGCTCAAGCTGTCAGAGGAGAGGGTGGCATCAGGTCTTAAGGTGACTCAATCCAGGTCACACAGAGCAGCTCCTGAATACATATGAACTGTAAGCACAGCAGTCAAGCTCGTCACGGTCAATATGAGTTGGTGACTGTCCATGAGTGCCAACAGTTTCAATTGTTAAAGGGCCAACATGTGCTGACGGGCGCATTTTCAAAACTTCAAACATTAGTCCGGTGTTTGTCTCTGCTTTGAGAGCTTCCAGCTTTTAAGATATATCTTCTTCTTAAAGAAGATATCCTTCTTAGATCTTCTTATAAAGATAACACTATAATGGAGGTGGCAAACAAAACAGAGCAATATACCTAACATATAAAATTAAAATTTAGAGCGGTTTAAAGAGTCTAATTTTCTCACAGACTTTTATTTAGAGGCAGTTTTGTTCATCATTGATCCTGAACGGACATCTATATCTGTTTGCCACTTACAATCAGATGGGCTGTACTCGCGTTTAGACATATGGAAGGATAGATTAGAAATGACTGAAAATGTCAGACTTTGATCTGGAACATGTTTTGTGTTGGTGCATGTGGCATTTGAAGTCACACTGCTACAAAGCAGAATGAAGTGGAGCACTTCCAAGCTTGATGTGTGTGATTAGAGACTCATCAGTAATTAAAGCAAGTATTTTACCTGGAATGATAAATGTCACACTGAAGTATCTGATAAACAGCATTTTTAGGCATAAACAACCTGAATTCACCCTTTTCAAGTATCTGCTTTTTTTGTGTGAGTATATGTGTGTATCCTGCCAATAGGGGCTGCTGCAATGACCCAAATTCCTCCTGAGGAAATTGGGTTATAATATCATCAATTTTATCAGCTCATAGTTTCATCGTGCAAAATCATTTGTAAAGTTATTTTGTGTGTTTGAAATTTCAAAATAAATTTGCTTGCTCTTGGAGAAATCATATTATTTTGGCAGAGCCTTTTAACGTACAAACAAATAAGCAGGAGAGCAAAGACTCAAACACAACAATAATCTTATGAATCTCATTGGAAAAACTGCTTCCATGAGACATGCCAAGACACGATGCCGCACATTGCTGTGTGAGGCAAACATAACACGATTTTAATGTGTTAATTGTGGCGTTGCTTAATAAAAAACAGTAATGACATCTGTAGTCCTGATTATGACACTTATTGACACAGCTCCTGGGCTGTGGGTGCAGCGAGCAACTTTATGGAGACATACACTATTAGCTTTAGTATACCTCTGGTCTTTTCACCACCTTGAAGAGAAACATCTTGATGAGATTTAGTGTTTTGCCTCCGTAACTCCAAACCTTTAGCTCTAATAAGAGGTTGATAGAGTTCTATCGATCTGGTCAATGCGTGCGTTCAGCCGAGGTCGAAGCTTTTATGTGGTACTTTACGTGTCTAATGTCTGTGTCTCCTTGCCAGTCTGACCGCTGATTCTCCGTCTCCCCCTTCTTCTGTCGTTTCTCTCATTTATTGCTTCTCTGTTTTTCCTCTCTCTCCAGAGCAAGCCTGCCATACCCGGAAAATCCTTCCAGCTCATCATCTCCAGCCCACTGGTTAGAGACTGAGAGAAGACTTGATCGTGATGTCCACTCAGAAGTAGACGAAGTAGTAAGGAGATCATTAACAAAGGGTCACTGAGAGTTTATTGGATATTGAGGTCTTGTCCCTAGCTTACACATATAAACCCTCTCTGTGCCGCAAACAAACAAATCTGTTTGTATAATTAAAAGCTGGAATCATTCACGCCCTCTTCAGCCCTGCAGACATCTGCTGATGTCACCGCTGGACTCCACCCCCTTCAGCTCTGCAGGGGGCTGAGGCGACCTGCAGAGGAGCATGGGCAGGAGAGTGGCTGATCCAACCAATCCAGTGCCTGCGCTGGGGGTCCCCCTGGCAGGGGGACGATGGGGCCCGTTGTGCAGCGTCGGGGTGCAAACGTCTCCCGGACTGCGGACTCTTCCTTCCATCAAAAGACACGGAAGCCAACTGGTCAACTCACAACGGCCAGCCGCCATGGCAACAGACAAAACAACACCAGTGAAGAAGGCTGGAGTGAGCAGGAGTGACAGCAGCAGTCTGCCGGTGTCCAAGGAAACATCTCAGAACGAGATCAACAGCCTGACGCAGGACGACATGGGGTCACAGGGGTCGGGTAGCGGAATATACTGCCAGATCAAAACTATACGGACAAACCCAAAGGAGATACGAGTGAAAAGGACAGCTCGGTACACAAATGGCAGTGTGGTTGCCTCTGATGCAGTGGGAGGGGTTTGCTCTGAGGCAGCTGAAGGTCTAGATCAACCTCAGGAGAGGAGGAGGGTGCAGTCCTTACGTGGGGAGGGCCATCGCTCAGTTTTAAAGACTGGAAGTGTGTGTACAACTGTGCACGCCACTCCACCACGGCCCTGTCGAATGATGGCCACTTCTCCACCAAGCCTCTGTGGCACATGTGGGAGGAGACGATCCCAGATTACACCGTGCACAGGTGCATGTCGGAGGAGGGCTGTCAATCAAATAACAGCCAGCCAGACTTTACCTAATCCACTGCGGAAGCCGTCTGTGGCTCACAACCAGTCAAGAAAAGAGACTTCTGTGGACTCTAAGCCTCAAGTAAAGAACACGGACACAGCAAACACCTCAACAAACACATCGGTAAAGACTGGTCAAATACCACAGCTTTCTCATACTATACCAAAAACCCACAGCTCACATTCCAACAGTATAGCACATACCCAAAACAAAAGTAAAAACTCAAAGCCTCAGACAAGGCCACATTCAGCAGAATTCACACATTATAGAGACTCAGCCACACAAACAACAGAAACACTCATGCACAGCAGCACTGAGAAAACCGCAGCTACTGCTCACATACAACGAGCACATACACCATCTGCAGAAGTGCCAGAACAACATTCAACTGACTCACACAAGCATGAGGAGCACAGTGATGAACACACACATCAGTACACATCTGTTGATATCACTTCGAAACCTCCTCCCCTTTCCAGTGACTCAAAACCTTCTAACACCCCAACACTCCCACCAAAAAACTCTCCCAAACTCACTTTTTCTAAACCATCCTCACCTGTAGCTCAAACCAAAAACACCCTGCAGACTGCAAACAATCCCCAACAAACATCCTCAGAGCGGTCCAGACTCAAGGGCTACGCCAAACAGAAGAGCAAATCATTTGACGACCACACTCTGCCTTGTACAACTCATCTGAAAGCACAATGTAATGGGGCTCCGGGAGGATTGCTGACTGGACGCGGGGTAAACGCACCGCTGGAGAGGCAGTTACAGAGCGTGGAGGAGAACCTGATGTCCAACCAGGAGAAGATCAAGGTGCTTCTCAATGTGATTCAGGACCTGGAGAAGAGCAAGGCACTCAGCGAAGGGTAAGAGACGGGGTCTAGAGGGGAACTTGTAAGGGAGAGAATGGGAAGAGTCGATGGTGTTGGAGGAGGAAAGGAGAGCTGATCTTATCCAGTAACAGAGAGCAGTGGTTTTTGATACAACTTTCCATACAGTGTTGAATATTGAAAAGTAAAAAAAGTCAATTCACCAATGTACTAATCAATCAGGGCAAAATAATCCCCTCATTTTGAGTGATTCATCATGCTAGAGTAAAAGTGCTGTGCTGGCAGATCGTGCTGTATAATTTCTAGTTAAACCAGCAAAATGTCAGCCGTCAGTGGTTTTCCACCAATATTACACATAAAACTGACATTAGACAGGTTCTCAGAGACAGCCACTGCTCTAATGCGCCTGTCTGCCTGAACTAAAAACCACAAGCTGTACCTTTAAGAGCAGGACAAGAAGACTAGGATCGAATAGACGGACAAATAAAGATAAAGATGAAAACAACGAAGGATGAAAAAAAAGATTAACATGCTACAAAAGAAAGTGTTGAAGTAAGAGTGTTAGAGAGTGAGCTGGAGTGATAAGTAGAGGGAGAAGGGAAGGTGTCAGAGGGAGTGCACAGGATTAAGAAGAGAGTGTATTTGAGTTTTCATAGCAATATACACCGACAGGCTTTCAAGTCCGTGTAATAGATTTTAAATGTCAGCTAGGCCTGAAGAGAATTGCTGGTGTGTGTGTTTGTGTGTGTGTGTGTGTTTGTGTGACTCAGGCCTGCAGGGATGTATGATACCTGCCGGCCTGTAGTCAATGCGAACAGCTCCTTCCTGCGTCCTTTTATCTTGCACACCTTATTGGGTTTTTAATTCCCAAGGTGATTTTACCCAGGGAGATATTAAAATACCCAACAAGTTAAATTAATCAGGGCTTCTTTCTTCCTCCTGCTCATTTTTTTTATTCATTAACCATCCCCTCCTCTTCCTCCTCCTTCTTCTTTTGTTTCTCTCCTCCTCATAGTTCGCTTTCTGTTCATACTTTAATTCAATCAACACCCTCCTCTTTTTCTGATGCTTTTTAAATGACTTTGAGTCATTCATCCTGTTGTCTACCTCCACTCTCTCACCACTCTTACCTTTATTCTTAATTAATACCTTTTTTCTCTCCTTATCTTTCTCTCTGCACCTTCATCACACGTGAATCAGCCCTACTGTAAATCACTCCTTTGCCCTCTCTCTATTTTTTATCCCCCCCTCTGCCTGACAGCCTGTCCATCACTCTCCCCTGCTGTCAAGTGTTGACTTTCACTCCCTTTTACCCCCCTCCTCTTGCTCCACATGCTTTACCTCCTTTTCAGCCTTCACCTTAAGTGTCAGTTACTCTTCTTTTTCGTTTTTCTCGTTTAATCCCTTTTCTACCACTCCTCTTTCCCACTCCTGTTTCCTACTTCAACTGGTTTCTCCTCTTATTCCTAGCATCCTGAAACCAGGCCTTTGCTTTATTTTGTCAAATGTCAGAAAGCATTACTGTAAAGGCTCATTTAAGCTTCCTTTATATATGTATTAAGATAGACATTAAGATGTACATTTTAAACAACATCACTACCCACATACTTCCACGTTAAACAAAGCGTCATGCACTTTGCCTTTGCTGTTCTGATGTAATTATCCGTCACTATGCCTGGACGAGAAAGCACTTTACAGTATATGTGTTCATAGTTTGGTAACACTCTATTTGACGCCCCTATCTATAACGCATTATAAATAGATGTATAATGTGTTATAATCAAGTTATATTAATGTATAGCTATAGTTATAAACACTCATAAATGATCATAATGCTTTACAACAATAATAATAACACATTATAAAGCATTTTATTATGACTTACAAGGTCAGGTAATGTAATGTGTTATAAGTGTTAACAACTCACTGACAATGCCCACATAGATATCTTGCTATAACTTGATTATAACACATTATACATACATTCATAATGCGTCATAGAGATAGGCGTCAAATAGTGTTTTTTACCAAGCTGCTAAATCTTGCCTTGAATGGCTCTGAAAATTTTCTTAAGTGCAAACTCATATGTTCCTTTGCACTTTCAGTCAAAGCAAATTTTTCCTTTCTACTATCCCTAATCTAATCTAATCTAATCTAATCTACATTAATCTAATCCTGTACTCTTCTTCTTTGTGTGTTTGTCTGTCTTGAGCTGTTGGCTACATTACTCAAACTGCTCCCACAGTTTTGGTGACGCAACAAGATTGGGTCTGTTTCTTTACAACATGCAGGAATACAAAATAAACACAGGGCCTTGCCTCTATAAATATATGCATCAGACATGGAGTTTAAATGAGCCTTTACTCTCCTAAACTTCCTTTGACATGTTTTTACTCCTTCTATCCCACTACTTTCTGTAACAGATGTCCCAAGCTCCAAACTAATCCCAATAAGATTACCTTTGGGAAATGCAATTAATGTTTAAGCTGCACAACAAGGCCCCTAAACTCAGTGTACATGCAGCCCTGCCCATGGGTGTGACTGTAAGAGTGTGGGTATGTTGTTTGGGATGCTTGCCCAAAGTGTGTCAGAAGTGGGCAAAGAGAAGAGTAGATGAGAGGGAGGCAGTAAAGATTAAAAGAAAAGAGGGAGAGAAGCAGTAGGCAAAAAGGACGACATGTATCTGACTGTGTGCCACTTATAAAAGTCCTTTAAATGAGTTCCTGCGATGAAGACGTTTGCTGAGATAAAAGCTTGTTGCTTTGCTCAGCTCTTCGTTTGTATCCTCTCCTGGAGGAAATTCTTGTCATGTCCTGCTGTTGTTGTCTTTGATAAACATCGGTAGAAGAGGAAAAATGATGCCAGTCACACCGTGTCTCTCTCCATGTAATTAAAATGTCTATTTTATCAACATAAATCAGCTACTCCCTCATCACAGTTCAGTGAGAGGCCAGCCAAAATATCTTGGCAAAATACAACGTTTTAATTACACAGCAGTCAGCATGAGGTTGTCAGATGTTTGTATCTGGCTTTATTTTCCCACTATTCTGGCTGTCTCTTCCTCTGTAGTTCTGTTCAACCTTGATAACACGGTTGGCATTTGTGATCATGTTTTTTGTCATTGCACCAATTTTTCACCCGGCTCTTTGAATTATAACAGAAGACACAAAAAAATAATAGTCTGTAGACATCATCTTTTAAGATTCCCCAAGCTAGGCCTGCCTAGACAGCCGCCTTATAACAATGCTTGTTATTAGCCGCCTGTAAAACACGCTGGCAGTTTTAAACCCAGCAGGACTATTTAGGTGATATCCCGAATACTCCTGGCCTTTGCCAACTCCAAGAGAAGCTTTATTTTGAAACATTGAGTGTATATGTGGGTAGAAAAATAAATCATTTTGACAACAGCAGATGAAGACAGACAGGCACTGAAACTCTCCAGGCAAGGAACGCCAGGTCTGTGTTAATGCAAATTTTCTAACATTTCTGATGCAATGTTGGGTATTTTGGAGCTATCTGTGCAAACACATGTGTTCAACTGAAGTCTTCATGCGAGTGAGTGAATGTTTTACATCTGTTGTTTATGCAGTCGCAGCTCATACAGGACTGGTCAGGACATTAACAACTGCCCCACCTGCCAAAAGACCGCCTGCATCATCTACAGGTAACCTCATCCACGAAACAAAGCTCACGGCATTACATAACCCACCAAAGACAACTCATTCTTTCCTGGAGCTCAACAAACACCCCTGAAACGTCTCCTATAGCAATCTGTGTGCCTTTTGTTGCCTTTGTTTTTCCCAGCGTTCCCAGGTTTTATCACTTATTCAGCACATCTTTTGTTTTTGTTTTATATTCATTAGCTTTTCTTCCCTGGTATCCTGCTGCCTCTGCCCTTTCCTCTCCCTCAGATAATTTCACTTCTTATACAATAAATTCTATAATATGAAAGATGCGCAACTGTGAGTGATCCCCTCATCCATATTAAAATGAATACATGCAGTTTTCTGGAGATTAAAGGATCCTCTCTCCAGGAAAGTTATTTACACACCAAAGAACGTTCTGTGCAAACAAGCAAATTAATTCAGCACCTAAATGATGCATCTTTCTTGATTTACTCATCCCTTGTGTGTGTGACCTAAATATTTGATTTCATTTTTAGATCTTTTCCCAATTAACAAAGATGTTCACTCACAATCTGACACCGCATACTGTAGTTTAATCCTCCCATCTCCTCCTTTCCAGCTCTCTTCTTTCATTATGCAAATGACTCCATATTTTCATCCCCTACCTGCTCAGCCTCTCTTTCCTTCATCTCTAGCTTTCTATCAAACTGCCTTCATCTGTTCATCTTTGCCTCATTCCTTCTATCAATGGCAAAGCTAAAATCACTTCCATGCCCCACCTCCATGACTCCAGGGTTCAGTTTCAGCACAAACTGTAAATGTGAGTCAATGTGAACACACAAGAAGCATAAATAAAACATTTACTTGCTGTTATCTTTTGTAATAGCCCCCTTTTTAGTCCAGCAGTTGTGTGCGTGTGTGCGCACGTCACACAAAGGCTCGCAGCTGCTTCTGCTTGTTTATAGTCGCATATCAACCTCCCTTGCGGGCCACAAGGGATAAAGACACTTTTTACAGAGCGCTTATCACTCCAGCTCTATATAATTCACAAAAACAGTTCCCAGCAGTTCCACATCTGCATCCCTCCAGTCGTTCTTCTGTCTATTCCTAAGCTGTTTCATCTCTCCATACTCTTCTCGAACTCCCCCTTCCTCCTCAACCAATTTCCTTCCCTGTTTCATCTTAATTAACACAGCAGGGTCCTAAGACATGTAGGTTGTAATGAACACCAGAGGGAGAGGACTAACACATGGCAACACATTCATCCACTTATATATCCATACAGATGTGTGCTAATGTAAACAAACACATGCAGATCCCCACAGCACAGACACCCAAAGATAGAAATAAGAAACTCAAACTGAAGTGCTCGATGATGAAGCCTTACAACTTGCTGAAAACTTGCTCAGGAGATCGACAAAGAACTAGCAATAATTTTTAACACTCATCAAGTTGATTTTTTTTGTGAAAACACCAAAATTTATCCGATAAAGCCTGAAAAACCCAAGAATTTAATGCTCAAGGAGTATTCATTGACTACTTTTGTGTAATAAATAACATTAAGTCAAAGCCTTTTTGTGTGATGACACAAGACCTTTAAATGTGTCAACTTCAGAAAGGTGTAAATGTCAAAGTAATCAGTGATAAAACTCTAACTGCAGTTGCACAGCAGTATCATTTAGCGGGGAATAATCTGCCCATTAAAAGGACTTCCACACATTAATCAATTTAACTGAATTTCAGAGACGCAACCGAGTGCAGATTTTCAATAAATGAACTCACGAAAAGGGAAACCGAGTTCTGTTTATATATTCATAAGCTCTCTAGGAAATTTGGCAGGAGAACATGAATTTTTACAAGACATACAGTTTTCTCAGGTACATCAGAGCATATAAACCTACTGTTATAAAGTAACCCAAAGAGAACATCGAACACAGTAATGACAACACTACAACTCTTTAAAAGGCCTTAAATTTTGATAACTCCAGACGTTTTTTTGGGGAGTTTTTAAAGGCCCTGAGGCTAACCCTGATCTCAAGGGTATGTGCTACTTCTCACATCATTATCATCCCTCTTATCTCCTTTTTTTTAGTGTCGGAGATGTTCTCTCCTGCTCCACTTTCCCTTTGTTTCTCAAGTGCATATGCAAATGTAGTCATGTACTTATCAACATTACACAACAGAAAATGTCGTTCCTCCTGAAGCTTGAAAAACTACTTGGGTGTTCACATGCCACATGCACACATTCAAGCACATTCTTACACATACATTAACAAAGGTTGTACATTTCTGAATCTTTGAGGAGGATGATAATGACTTGGGCAGATATTCTAAATGCTCCCTGGTCATTTCTCCGATACAGTGCATCGAGTGTGTTGCGTAAAAAAAACACTCACTTAAACACACAGTAAAAACACACTTTAAAGTCCCACTCCGATCGTTTTTTTTTACTACTTAAAGTGTTCTCAGTGGTCTTTAGATTGTGACAGTAAAGGTTTTACCGAAAATCGCTTTGCCTGTGTCATTTGAAGGGCTTTTCTTCTGCAGAGTTCCAGTAGATCATTAGCGATTCGCCTCTGAGTCGTGGGCGGAGACAGCGCTGCTCTGCACACTCATCTTTGTGTTAGCTTGCAGCCTACCATTGCAGGTGTAGTAGAAGAAACAGTTAATATAGGAGATACTCAGCTCGTGGACACTTATGTCTTTGGGGACATAATGAAAGCTATTATCATAATAAGCTTTCTTACGAGCATTGAAAACCACTACCACGCGCGCTTGTTCTGCGATCCTCCTCTCTATTTCTCTGAGTCTGGCCTGCATAGTAGGGCTCTGGGGGGAGAGCTTGAATTGGTTACGTATGAAATCTCACCGTTTCTGAACCTGCCGTTTAGGTCTGCCAGAGATTCACAGCGAATGAAGAAATACTCAGAAAAGCAATTTCACATTTAGTTTTCTCGTAATATGTCCTGTAGCATCAGAAAAATGCCATATGAACATGTAAAAAAACAAGAAAAACATGATTTTCATCTGAGTGGGTCTTTCAGTGACAGTCTTGCATAAAAGCTAAAAGTACAAAAGCTTTTCTTGTTTGATTGGGCAGTCTTTGCCTTAAGAAACCCTCAGAGAGGATTATGGGTAAAGAGGATGTGAGATAGGCAGAGTTAGACACACAAGCAGGGGGTGAATTACACGTGGGAATGAAACATCCTCGCTGATGATTGGTTAAGAAAAAAGAGGTTTTGATGTGGGGTGGCTGCCTGAAGATGTTTTGCTTTTGTCAGTCCTAATTAATCTGTGTGATGAGAGACAACGGCGACGGGAACTTCTGACGGCGGCTTTGTTTCCACGCAGAGCTTTAAGAGCTTAAACAAACACTCTGACATATGCAGACACCATATACTGTATATTTCTGCACTTCTGGGTAAGCTCTTTATAGAACAAATTCACTCATGTTCAACTTTCATCTCATCCCTGTCCGCTACATGGCTCACCTTCACTTCGACATGAACCAGAGAGTGAAGCTTTAAAAATTAAACAGGCCCGTCGCAGTTACATGTACTGATGCAAAACTGTTGAAAGATGATAGCCTGCAGAGCGAACTAAGAGCAGAAGCTTTTGCCACTGCGCTCTAACCCCATGAACAATAGTGAGAGAGGTTGATATGAGCGCAGAGGTTGTTAAGGAAGATTTAAAGTGTGAAGTGAAGTGTGTAGGTTAAGAGGACCCCCGCTAAGAAAAGACTACTCCTCTGAAATGAAGAACACTATAAATCGAGTGAATGTAGGACAGGTGGGCCACTTTATCTTTTCGTTACTCTGTGAGTATGTATGTGTGTTATCATTTATTCATGTCTCCCTTCCTCTCTCCCTTCTTGAGCTTTTATTTCCTCCCCTCTTCCCTCCATCCCTCGCTCTTTCTAGGGAAGCACAGACCTCTCTGCCCTCCTCTCTCCTCCTCCTCTCCTGTGGCACTCATCCTCTCCTCCTTCACTTTTCTTTCTGTCTTTACTTCTTTTTTTATCTGAACTGACCTCTCTGCCCTGTTTTATTAAAGCTTGCCCTTCTTTCATTTATCCTTCCCTCCATCTCCCTGAAGAGACACTTTCCCCACACGTTTCATTTTTTTTTTGCCCTCTTCAGCCACTTCTGCTTCTGTGGAAGATGTACACGTTGGACGTCAGGGAGCAGGTTTATGTTTGTGTAGCGTGTGTGTGTATGTGTGTGTTGGGATGCTGGAGGTGGGGAGGGTGGGGTAGTTTTTCTCTGCTCCTCTTGCCTCATCATTTGGCTCATTAACTCCAGATGCCAGGCCCCTATGCTGCAGCTCCACCCCTATAACACGACTCAGCACATGCACACACACACTCCCACACACAAAAACACATTTATCTCGAGGGGAAGAAAACTCAAAGTCTACAACACTATGACCCGCAGCGGTGGACACTTCAGAGGGATATTGAGAGAAGGAGCTTCAGAGTAGAGGGAGGGTGAGAGGAGCATAGAAAAAGAAAGCCAAGAGGGTCTGCTTTGAACACATCACAAGAACAGAAAAAAAAACTCTGCTCCTTCCTTTTGCTCCCCCGTTTTGCAAATTCTCTTCTCCTTCTCTTACCATCCCTCACCTTTCCTTTCTTGTCTCCTTTTCATTCTCCTACCACCCCTCCCATCCCAGCAGTCTGTGATCTATGGATGCGTGAAGCACAGAAGAAAGCTACAGACGTGAAATGAGTGCTGAGTTGGGACCTGTGTGAATGTGTGTGTGTGTGCTGAAGCTGCATATATCTGAGTTGAGAACATAACATGGTTTTACATCTCCATGTAAAACTACATTATGCTGAAGTATCACCTCTCTTTAAGGTGTCAGCACTTTGTGACTCCTTATAAATGTCACTTAAACTCCTTCGCTCATCTTTTCCCTCATCCCTCTCTTTCTAATCTTTCTGCTCCGTGGACCTCAAATCTCCCTCACATCCCTCTTCTCATTCCCCCCTCCCACTCTCTCTGCCCCTGCATCTAATCTCTTTTTGGGGAAAATGAGCTATATAAATAAATTTGCCTTGATGTGGCACAACCTCTAAATCATGCTCCCTCCTCTCCCCCTTCAGCTGTTCTCTCTATTTCTCTCTCCCCTCCAGTGTGGAGCATGATTTCCGACAGCAGGAGGGACGCTTCCAGGGGGTTATGGAGGCCCTGGAGGGGGAGTACGATGTGCCTGCACCAACCCTGCCCAAAACTCCGCCAGTCACTTCCACCTCAAGCCGTCCCAGCACCAAGACGCGAGTCAAGAAACTCCGAAAGAAGTGTTTCTGGTGGCTGTGAACTTTAAAGAACCACAAAAAGACTGATTATGTAAAAGACCACCACCCGGCTTTGGGGTACGGCATCTCTCTCACGATCCTGTGGGTGTGATGTTTGGTTACCTGTCATTATCATCAGCTGAGGAATTTTCAAGGCTGCATGCCTGTAAGAGGCACTTTTCCCAGAGCAATCCTTCGGAGGCTATGAGATTATTCAACGTGGGAACAGTTAAGGAAAGAGTAAAATGCACAAAAAAGGAAGAGGACCAAAAAGCTGCTTAACTTTACTCTTAGATCTTTCTAAGAGGAAGATCCCCGGCCTCATTGGCTGACTTGTGATTAACTTTTCACTCTGAAGTGAGGATACTGTTTTCCCAAAACAATTTTATGACACAGAGATGGAGAACAGTCACTTTGGATGACAAACTGGCACGCTGTCTGTCACTTGGATGATTGGTTGTCTATACAAATAGATATATGAACCGATTCGAGCCAAGACTGATTCCACGCCTGAAGCTGGGAATAAATCCTCATAATAACTTTGGCTACATCACAGCAATAAGCAGGAAAGCTAGAACAATTCTGGAGCCACACGACTAATAGGAATACTGTGACTTCAGAGAGCATGACAGCCAAAAATTTAATGTAGCAACAACCGAAGGGCCAAGAGGATACGGATTAAACAAGCTGATGAGCTCTCTGGAAACAAAGAGGAAGCTGACTGGATGGGTATCAGAGTGTCGGAGCGCAGCGTGCTGATTGTATTAAGAATACATTAAGAGACAATGTGACGGGCAGCTGATCGCAGACTGACAGGCCCTGTCAGAACATCAAAATTCTGTCAATGCTGTCTGACAGGATGATGGATTCTGTCCTTTATCATAATTCAAAATGGAGGCGTTTTTTTTTTTTTATGTGTGCTCAATTATACACGTGTGCTTGCATCCAAATACGAGGCAAACTTTAAAACATATGCAGTATGAACTTAGAGAAATACTAATATTTGGAACAGAGGCATACACGTGTAAACACACATACATGTCAACCATTGCAAACCAGGCACAGAACAGCGATAACTGTAGTTCGCTGTTTTTATTAAACACATTTTAAAGCTGTATCAATGTCTGCAGAATGTGAGTTTTAGATTTTGCCTAATTTACATCCAGGCTACATTCATGTGTCTAAAGTTTTTCTGAATTTCACTTGCTCGAGTTATGCAGAAGTTGAATCCAGATTTTCTAATGAACTAATGAACCACAGAAAAATTCAAACATATCTCATCTTAAAAAAAAACAAAGTTTATATCACAACCATCCATTTTGAAACCAAATTTAACACAGATATTTATTCTTGCATCTACTCGATCATTATTTGTTCTGTAGCACTCAAGCCACACTTCTGCCAGCTGAATCATCGAGCTACAACAAAACACTTCAAGTCACAGGAAAACTGACCCTGCTGGTCTATAAATCAAATCCATGTTAAAGCTTCCAGGAGAGCATTATTACATTCAAAAGTGACAGTTTTCCTCAAATAATAATATCTTCTTAACACTTAAACATCACAAATTGTGATGTTGCAGATCAAGCAATTTTGTCAGACACACCCATCATCAAACCTCAAAAACCTGCAAAAACATCTGTATGGATCCATCCCTGTTGCAAGTATACATCCACACTATCATTTTGCACACATCACACATGGACACAACCATTTGCACACTGCTGAGATTACAGCAGTTTAAGCGTAACCACTAATCTCACAAGGGCCTACTTCAGCTGCTGCTGGAAGACAAGACGCCACAAATTAGAGTCCCAGATGACACCACACTCGCTAATTAATCAAAACAATCTGTAAGCTCCCATGATGCCCCAATCTTCCTGATCTTCCTCTTGTATGTACAATAAAAGTGTGTATTTTAAACAAAATGTGTTATTGTTGACATAATTTCCTATTTAACATGATATTGCTCACAAGTAGGGGTGGATTGATGGTTGTTCATTTACAAAGAGTGGGGAAAAAAACGCAACAGCTCTGCAATTAATGACCCAAGTGTTCTAATCAAGTCTGGAGATGCTTATATAAAGTTATACTTACAATAAGAGCGTGCTCTCGACCCATGGTGATGACAGTCTGGTTGATGATCCTCAGCAGAGACACCACAATGTCCTGGATGTGTTGAAATGTTTCCCCCTGTGAGAACCAGTGAGAGCAGAGCAGAAGAAAGAGAATGACAAAGGAGGAGGAGAGAAAATATACAGAAAAAGAGTGTTAGACTTTCTACGGTGCACACACCAAAGCACACGTAGAGATTTTAAACAGTTCTTTGTCCTTTTCTTGAAGTGTCCATTCAAGCATAACGTCAGAGCTGCTTCGAGGGACATTTCAGAACCTTTCCTCTGTAAAACTTTGTCCAGTCTTCAGGTTTTGTTTGTTCTGCAGTTCTGACCTCTTCTCACTGTAAAGGCAGGTTCATTATACAGTCCACAGACTGCAGGTGGTTGGTCCAATTGATGGATGGTAAAGCAAATGAAACAAGAAAAGGATGTGTCTTATTGTCTTGGTGTTTTTTCCTCCCCAAAATGTATTCAGAGTCAAAATCGGTTTCCTTCATCTGATAATCTTTACACTTTGTCATTAGCCTTGCTTGGTGTTGTTGGTCCTTCTTTCTTTCCTCTTTAGCTGCGTTTATAGCTACAGATAATCAGAATAAAAGTGCGTCATGTAAACATGTCGATCGGAACTTTCTGATACAATTCGGCTGATCGGAAATAAATTGTATTCCGATCGAGAGGGTGGTTCATGCAGATCGTCATGCCGAAACGCGTCCATGTAAACACTTATTCCGATCGTGACTCTCTTACCTGACTCGATCTTCACTCTTTAGCCTTTGGTTTATTTATTGAGGCCAGTCCAGGAGATTTCATTATTACCTCTCTGGCATAAAACACAACCGCAGGTATCGTGTCTGCTCTTCCGGTAACATAACAAGGCGCACACACAGCTAGTGATATCACATCTGCACGCACAGTGCAACCTTTGACAGAACAGTAAAATAAGTACGTAAGGGCGCCATCTAGTGACAACATTTAACAGTGTAAAACTCCTGAATTGGATGGAGCGAGCCACTACCGCGTTTGTTGGTTTGTTGACAGCACAAGCGTCTATACAACTCTTCTTCTGCGGTTGTTTTAGCGAAATTAGACTACTCAGCACATGTCCAAATGCTGTATGACGTGTGCACACGTCATGATCGGATTATTTGATTTTGCACCCATATAAACAGTGGATTCAGATTATCCGATCCCTCAAATTCTTAATCAGATCAATAAATTTTGCCTATGTAAACGTGGCTATAGACAGCAAGAGAGAGTACAGCCTTTACAAGTCTAGTTCTCATGTATTGGTTTATATTATAAGATAAGTCTTCAATCACAGTATATGTATTTCATAGTATTTTATGATAAGGGATAAACTAGATGGCAAACTTTTGATAATATTAATTAAAACATCTCAGAAGCTGGAAAAGTCAAACTCCACACTCTTCACTATACTATTCCATATTTCAAAAGACAGATATTTCTATATTAAGATAAACAAATTGTAAATTGTGCTTCAGCTTTCATCACAATTTCAATATCACAATTATGGAAAAATGACTGTAATTAAAACCCCCGAGGGTTAAAAAAGGGCCTTTAATTGGATCATGAATATAAATGTATTAAATAATTTTTGAAATCGCTTTCACAGCTTAAACAGAAACGCTCTGGCTAATTTGACACTAAATTTTGCAAAAGATGACAGAATAAAATTGATTATCGATGACCCATGGAGACTGCAATTATAGAGAAAGGATGCTTGGTTGATGACTCACATAGAAAAACAGAAAATCCTTTTCAAGAAATCAAAGCATGCACATATCGAATATGCACTTTCAAAGTGATAGAGCTCGAGCCCAAATACAGGTTCACACTGACGCACACACTCTCTTGTGCGTGCAAGCACACATTCACACTATCTATGCTGCAGTGGAGTCAGTCAATGGAAGCTGAGTCAGACTTGCCAGGGGGTATAACTCACAAGTTCAGCATCTGCTACATCTACACACCTTAGCAATAACGCTGCAAGGCGCCTGTGTGTGTTTGTGCGTGAGTGCGCTTGTGTTTGTCCCTGTTTGCATAATCTGACCCACATAGGTGTTATGTGTGTTCTGCATGTGCGTGTCCTTGTATGAGCTGATCAGCAAAGCATGAAAGGAAAAGTGAAGGTCTAAAAATATAACTAGAAGTAGGTAAGAAGTACTGAAGTTCAAAAGCTCCTACACACCACTCTCTCTTCATTTGTGTGAGTGTGCATGTTTCAGTCAGTGTGAGTGTGTGAGTGTGTGCGTGCCGGCCTGATAGGCGGATGATTTGTAAAAGGTTTGATGAGAAATCAGGCCATCAAGATTAAACCATATTTAACGCACTGACTCACAGCCGCAGGACGCAGAAAAGACAAGCTGTAAATGTGTGTGATCCAACATATCATCCATACTTCCTGAAACTCCAACTCAGCCACACACACTCTCTCACGCACACACAGACATGTTGTGGGTTGAGGCGCAGCTGGTGATCCTAAATAAGCTTTAATCTTTCAGGCTCACTGTCGGTATTTTGGTCTCCTTGAACGATAACGTCATCAGAGGGGAGGAAGACGAGAGATGAGGCACAATGCTCGCTCGCTCTCTCTCTCTTTCTCTGTCTCTCTATATCGCTCACTCATTCACTCTCTCTCTCTCTCTCTCTCTCCTGTGGGATACAAACACATGAAAGTCAATACTTTGTTCATTTGTTTCACACTGTAGCCAGACTGCTTTATCATCTCTGCTGGCAAAAATGATTTAAGAAAACAAAGAAAACAGAAACAGGGTTTGGGAGGAAGGGCTAGAGAAAAGTTAAATAGCTCTGGAGAGCCGTGTTTCTCATGTCTCTCCCTGTTAGCATCCCTTCTCTCTCTCTCACACACACACACACACACACACACACACAAAAGTTAGTTGTAAATTCGACACAAACTCTCCCACAGACATGAGCATCTGTCTAATGTGTCGTCTTCTGTTCTATCTCTGTCCCTCTCTCTGCATCTCTTTCTAGTTTGGAGACATCTGTGGGGTGACAGCTTAATCAGGTACCACACAGAGCAAGGAAAGAGAGAGATGAGGAAAACAAAAGGAGAGGATGCAGAAAATAAAAAGGTGGAGGGTGAGGTGAGATCATCCTCCGTCACCTCTTCTGCCCCTCTTTCTGTTGTTTTTCTTTCATCTGTTTTCTCTCTCCCTTTTCCAATTTGCCGACTGCAATCTCTCCAACTCCCTTTATTGTTTTCTTGTAAAGCCCTTCCACCTTATTGTCCACGACACAAACATCTTCAGCGCCATCTGTTAAGCTGTTAACTCTCTGTCCTTCTTTTCTGTCAACCGTTTGTCATCCTCCTTGTATAGCCGAGAGCCATGTTTATTTCTCCGGCCCTTTCCACTCCTGTCCTAGTCTGTTTTTAAGCGCTAATCCATAGTTTGCTTTATGGGCCAAGTAACACATCTCTGTGTGTGTTTGAGAGAGAGAGAGAGAGAGAGAGAGAGAGAGAGAGAGAGAGAGAGAGGCCTTACACTGCTATTCAACAGGGTCAGGGTTTAACAAAGAGTAGTACAGTATAGAGAACAGAAGCCTTATAGAGATGTCATAGTGAAGGTTTCAATAGGACATAGTATCCTCTACAGTCAACAGCATTCACTGTAAAGGAGTGGCTGTTTGAGTCGGAGCATTTTGCCCTTAAATAGTTACTTTTATATATAGAATATCCGGTAACACTTTATTTGTTGTTTACATAAATATGTATAATGTGTTATAATCACGTTATAACACTGTATAAATATAGTTATAAACACTAATAAATTATCATAATGCTTTATAGCAATAATCATAACACATTATAAAGCATTTTATCATGACTTACAAGGTCAGGTATTATAATGTGTTGTAACTGTTAACAACTCACATAGATAATGCAATGCAACTGTTGTTAACAGTTATAACACATTATCATACCAGACCTTGTAAGTCATGATAAAATGATTTATAATGTGTTATAATTATTGCTATAAAGCATTATGATCATTTATGAGTGTTTATGACTGTAGTTATACAGTGCTATAACGTGATTATAACGCATTACATATATTTATAATGTGTTATAGAGATAGGCGTCAGATAAAGTGTTACTGAATATCCAATATTTACCCTGAAATATTTTTATTAACATGGTGTGTTTGTGTGTGGGGATTTTAAGAGTAAATATTTAAAAGTCGAACACTCATGAGCCATCTTATTGACCAAATACACAGCAGCCTCTGCCATCAGACATCACAGTCAGGGAGAGAAACTCCAATTTTGTTATAATGTCACACAGTTGTGGTCAAATCACAGTTTCCCACTCTGAGTCTAATATCAGGATGAAATGGTCTCACATACTGAGTCGCGCATCAAAGGAAAACGTATGTGGCTGTGCGTCACTGGTTTAATATTCTGCGCATGAAGATGTATATCATCATCATCATTAACTCTGTTATATCCCCCCACTGTCTTTGATATCTCAAATGACACAAAATCCTCTCATCATCTTCACTCCACTCCTCTCATCATCCCTCTATCTTCTCTGTTTGCTTCATTAGTAATATCCAAACAAACAAAGCTATAAAAAAGCCATACCTTCGCTTCAAAGCATCAGCATACTGTCAACAACTTGCAGGAGCAATTAAAAAGCCCTCAGCTGGATACTGACGATGTATTTGTTCTGTGTCTGTGTGTGTCTGTGTGTGTCTGTGTTAAAGGTGTTTAGTTCAGCAGTTAACTGGATTTTGTTTCGACAAGCCAACATGCAGCGGCCCACGTGAAACAAAATCAATTAGATTCTAATTGGTCAAGGTCCGCTCCATTGCACGACTGGATGACTGAATGGAAAGCAGCTTAAAGCTATTTAGACTTCACTCTTTCAGTGAAGTCCAGTTTCTCTGGGGCAGCGTGTATCTAAGAGGCACTGCACTTTGAATTACCCAATGATGCTCAAAGGATAAAAGACGAGTCCTGTAGTTTATGGCCTGTACATCTTTACAACTCTAACCTTTGTTTGAAGTACCAACATGCTCTCTTAGAGCAAATTGCGCTTTACAGATCAGCCACTCATGAAATCCTGTTGACTGTCCTGCTGCAACTATGTCAATCCCCAGTGTCCGGCTTCATTGTACTAATCTCTTGGCCTCTTTCTTTGTTGATAGTGTCTTCTCAAATTTGCCACAGAAATTTGATTTAAACTGAGGAAACTTAAACCACAAATCAACAGTTACAAGGTACTTGTTTCTGGGATCATTCAAAACACAGAAACCTTAACAGCTAAAATGAAAATAATCAGATGACACAAGATCTTGGTTGGTATTGTATTTCTTCTTTAGCAAAGATCAGCCTGCCCTGATGCATTGAAGCTTTTCCTCCAATAATTACACTCATTAATATTCATGGGAGACCCACATATAGATTGCTTGTCAACACTGAAATAGACGATATAATCTTGTCTTGGGTAAATTCACATTGTTTGTCAAACTTTGAATCAATGCACAAGTACCACAAGACATGAAATATGTTTCTACATTTCAAATGCCTTTAAACTTAGTAACTTTAGTTACTTTCCATTCAAAGTGTGACCACATCAAACATTTGTGAATCTTAAACCAATCAAAACAGACATAAACACCTGCCTCTAACATAAGCAGCTACAAAGACAGGCCTGATATTTACCTCAGTTAGAGTAGTCACAGGTTTTGATCTCTATTCTATGAAATATAGTATCTGAACTCCTTCTTTATCTATTCACTATTCATAAAGCATTTCCAAAAGCACTTAGATCTTGAAACTCTTATATACTGTGAACTTTTAAACCACCAACAAGAACATATTCAACAGCTGTTAACTGTGAAGAAGGTGTTTAAGTGCCTCAATACAAACAAGAGTTGAACTTACCACATTGTCCCTGCTGAGCACTTCCAGGATGTTGTTGAGAAGCTCCAGACTATTTCTTCTCTCATCATGAGGCCCATCAGCCATACTGGCCAGAGCTCCACTCAGCTCCCGCAGCATCATGGGTAGCAAGATATCACGGCACTCTGAGAAGAAACAAAACCCACACACAGGGAGAGTTTTTGTATTCAGTACACAATGACATAAACACAGACAGACTCAGTGAGGACCGATTAGGCTTTCAACAACAGAAAATAAACTTGTCAGTCTGAAGGATAAATTGGATGGAGTAAAGCCGAGAATGCAAGAGTGATGTTTTATTTACTTCTTTTAAGCCCGGCTCTAAAAGATGAAAATGATTCAAGAAGTTTCAACAGCAATATCAACAGTCACAACATCAAGATTTACTTTAATGGGATTCCTCCTTAAAAATAAGAAAGCTTCAAAACCAAGAGCAAAACCTTTCCATCAATCGACCCAGCACATGCAGAGGCAGCTGGGCCAGTGATGAGTAATGATGAAACGGCACAGCGAGGAGGAATTCAACCTGAACCTCGACCCCACACGGCACAATAGAGCGACATCAATCAGGTGTCCATTAACAGTCTAACAGCTCTGTCAGCCAAAGCGTTAACACACTGGTCACTATTGTCATTATTATTTTTAACTATTTCATTTTATTCATGTGTTGATTTGGACACACATACAATTCATTGTCAGTGATTACATCTACAAAAGATAATGTTAAAAGGAAAAAAGACATTTATTGATTACAGCAAATCGAAATGGACCACATGTGCATGGGTGTATCTGTTGTGTTTCTATCCAATTACACTCGCTGCTTAACCAGTTTCTAAACTCATCATGGAAGTCAGATAGCCACATCTCTTCTCTGGGAGGAATTATAGGAAATCACTTTGAAACTTAAGTGGGAAAGCACTGAAGAGAGAATTCCAACCCAAAGCAGACCAGAGTCAATTACAGTACCTGTCTGAGTCTTTTGGACCTCTCCATATAAGAGGTAAATGGACTGTATTTACAAAGTGGTTCTTTTTCTGAACACTTTAAGTGCTGCTGCATTACAAGTCATGTTCATACAATGATGGCTGTGGCACCCAACAGTAATAATTAAACCAATTCACATTGAACAGCCACAAGAGTAAGTAAGCAGGTGGACAGTGGGACCAACCCTAACCCTTCATTTAGGAGATAACTGACTTTACCACTGAGCCACAGCCATCCCTCATGTTCTGACAATCACAATTTCTGACAAAATGCTGAGCTTTTAAACCAGCTAATGTTTTTAATTTGCCTCTTCTGCCCTGCCATCTACTAATAACTCTCATTGTCCTCTCAACACATAGACGACACCTGGGTGGCCTGCCCAGGTAATTCATGGCTGCCCAAGTCTATTTAACAACATCTTGTTCTTGTTTCTTCTTTCTATGGTCGCTAAAGTAGCATTCACAGCATGTACAGGCCATTTCTTGAATTTTCACCCCTCCAACCCGACCACCACCACCACTGTAAGTACAGCAAGTATACCATCATTTTATGAGACACTGTATCTGCTTATGAAAATGATTAATGGGTTCTTAAGGATTTCATACTCATTTGTTTCACTTCACTGAAGTAAAGATTTTAATGGCTGGAAACTATGATATTAATGGACGATATCTCCATCATTTGTTGTGTAATGTACTTGCCAGTCTAGGCATGCTCTTACACATTAATCAAATCACTGAATTTCTAAATTAAATTCTCCCCATCGTTGGTAATTTAGTCACAGCTCTGATCCTGTTTGGACGTTTGCGATGCTGTGACCAATTTACAAAAGACAAAGTCCAAGGCTATCGGAATTTGATCTAAATGAACTCTGCTACAGAGAAATTATTTCATTCACCCCAGGGTCAGGAGTAAATAATAAACTGCCAATCAAATTTGTCAGTGTTGTGAAATACATAATTTAAAAGTAGGATTGTGAATGTAATCATACAGACCATACTTATTTTTTTATTTCTATAACTCAACCTAAACTCTTGTACCCTTCTTGTTTCCTTCTCTTTTTATCTTTTCATTTCCACCACGTCATTCTTCTCTTATAGCTGCAGGTAGACAGGACCCATTAAAAGCTCATTTGGACCGATGCTCGTTAGCTCCATTATTAACTGAGCCGAGCCCATAAGCCTGCTGAGTGGACCCTCACCACAACATCCACAGTCTGTCACACAAACAGGCAACGAGGGGGAAAAGCATGAGTCCCTGAACGCCCTCGGTGACTCAGACACCTAAAGAGAGACGGGAATGTGGACAGGTAAAAGATTTCCCAATGAAGCTTAAAATAATAAAACAGCGAGGAAGACAAGATGAGGAACAAACGCTGTATCTCCAAATATTTGTTGGAACTTCTTAAATGCAAAAACTGTCCGATCAGTGGAGGTACAAAATATGAGACGGGGAACCTTTGAGGAGATACAGACTTGTTTATTAAGGCTTCCAGCTTTGTTGGAGTCAAAACATGACTTAATATGATTAATCCATCAAAGCTGGAACTCATCAGCTTTTGTCCCTTCAGACTCGGGAAACAATGAGCTGTGTATTCTAGCAAGCAACACTGTCGGGTTAGAATTAATCCATTTCTCTTCTGGGGGGCTGGATGTATCATTAAACCTTCAGAGACCTCCATTCCCTGGTGTAATGACCTTCCAGACACTGGCTTCTTTTTTTTTATGCTATCGATTCATAAAACAAATTCAGCTGGTATTTTCAGGCACATCATGTTCATGGACTGCAAAGAGGGTGGGGAGTGACAGTACTCTGTAATGAGAGACTGTGTGCGTTTTGTTTTACTGCATCATGAATAAAGTACAAGATAAAAAGGAAACCAAATGTTGAGGTCTACAGTTTCTTGACCCACATTAAAAGTACTATAACTGAATCTGCAGGCATTGTACTTTAGGTAACAGGTCAGATCTAGAGCAGAAAAAATAATGCATATAATAAATACTGCTCAGGCCAGCCAAATGCCTGCAGCCTAGTGTCTGGTGTTTGCAGAAGAGTTAAGGTGATTGAGTAGAACATGTCAAGGTGCCATTTCTGGAGAGATACATAAATCGTGTCTTAAGTTAAGTGGATCTGTCTCTCTTTATTATCCTTTCACTCAATCCACAAAGTGCTGCCTTGGCGGGAAAATGAGGGTTAGAAAAACAACAATCAGCTTGAAACAACATGTAATAGAGATTTGTTGGACAAACAAGCTTTAGACATCCTTTTTCACATAAAACAAACTGCTGAAATTTTGCAGAAACTTTGCGCAGCTAAAAATCATGTTTTTTTTGTTGTCTACAAGTTCATATGGCATTTTTCTGATGCTACATGACATATCATGAGAAAACTAAGTGTGAAATTGCATTTTTGAGTATTTCTGCATTCGAATCGCTGTGAACTTCTCACAAACCCAAACAGCAGGTTCAGATACAGTGAGAATTCTTATGTAGCAAATCCAAGCTCCGCCCCCCGAAGCCCTGCTGTGTCTTCTTGGAGAAATTGAGAGGGCGATTGCGGAACAAGAGTGTTCGCTAGCGGGTTGCAATTCTTGTAAGAAAGCTTATTTCTACACCACTGACGATGTTAGGCTGCAAGCTAGCATGAAGAGGAGTGTGCAGAGGAGCGCTGTCTCCGCCCACGACTCAGAGGCGATTTGCTAATGATCTATTGGAGCTCCCAGGTAACACGATTTTGGCTAAAAACTTAACATAAAATAACATAATCACAACTTAAAGACCACTAATAACGCTTTAAGTAGTAAAAAAAAAAAAAAAAAAAACAATCGGAGTGGAAGTTTAAGCCTTCCCTTAAGAGGGAGAGGTGAGTCTGAAGAGGCATCAAAAGTTCACCCTGGAAACCACAGAATAATGTTTACAAAATGATAATGAATATAGCAACAGGCAACTGTGCTGTGATGGCAGTTTTTCTCTTGACATCAACACAATGTGTAAACTGGTGGATGCACAGACATCTATATTTTTCTTGTTCTCCTTTTGCATCTACGGTTTTCTTGAGTTATCCTGTTGTGTGTCACGCTTCCAAGTTTGCACCAGTCTTATAATATCAATGTCCACCCCAACACCCACTCACAGGGATTTTTTTTTCCTGAACGTTCCTTCACAAACAAATAAAGGGAGACTTTCAGCAACAGTCACTGGAACTGGCAATTTTCGTTCTTACCCGACTTTGATTGCTTGACCTGCTCTTTACAAAAAAAACAAAAAAAAAAAAACGCTGCTGTGATTGTACCCAGGTTACCCTTTCACACTAACATCAGGAAAGCATATGAACTCAGCAATTTATGAAGTAATGGAAAAATAGCAGCATTTCAGGCTTATTGAATTCTCTCAGTACAACCTGTGCACTACTGGGAGCTTTTGTATGCAGAGTAAAACACCTTTGGTCCAGTCAGCTGCTCTTCACTCTTCGATTCAGAAAACCAGGAGCACCCTAATAGCTTGCTCATCTCCAGCATCCTTCTTTGAAGGACCTGTCAGGGTGAATTGTCTGTTTTGCCAAGGTTCCTTCTTCCATACAAAATCCCCCGGAGCTAATGAATATGTGAATCTAAAATGGACAACTACAGGCTGCTTCCGGACTCAGTGGCCGGCAGTCTTCACTCACTGATGCAGAACAGCTTTTAATTTTGCAGGTATTTTTTTGCACCTTGCTTGACCTGAAACAACATCAGTAATGTTAATACCAGCTGCTTCAGCCTGAATAGTAGCTTTCTCACGGAGTTCTTTGAACTGCATCATGGTCCTCCGGGCTTTCAGTCTTGTAAGAACACCAGCCAATGTGGTGTGTGCAGCTTCCCAGGTCATCCTTTAAGAGCGCTGGAAGTGATTACTATTTAAAGAAACTCTCTCTTTGGGGCTCTGCGCTGTGGTGGAATGTACACTCCAACCTTCATGCAGAAAGCAGATCCACCAAGACAGGGACGGGTAAAAAGAAAAAAAGCTCAATTGGTATTCATTGTTATGCAGTTTTCTATGTGAACCCCAACCATCTCAATCTTTTGTGTTTTGTTTTCCATACTGTTGTTCTCCCGTTGCACATTCTCATCCTCATTCATTTACATGGGTTATCTGTGTTTACATGGGCACAAATAATCGGAATAAATGGACAATCCGAATAAAAAAGCGTCATGTAAACATGTTGATCAGAGGATTCTGATCCAATTCAGCTCAATCGGAAAGAAAATATATTCCGATTGAGAGGGGTGGTTTATGCCTATCGTTATTCGCGTCTTTAAACACTTATTCCAATCGTGTCTCTCTTACCTGACTCGATCTTCACTCTTTAGCCTTTGGCTTATTTGTTGAGGCCAGTACAGAAGGGTGCCGTGTCTGCTCCTCTGGTAACATAAGGCGTACATAGGCATACAGTGTAACGATGTCACATCTGCACGCACAGTGCAACCTTTGACACAACAGTAAAATAAGTACGCAAGGGCGCCATCTGGTGACATTATTTAACAAGGGGGAAAACCCCTGAATTGGATGGAGCGAGCCAGTACCACATTTGTTGGTTTGTTGACAGCGCAGGCATAAATACAACTCTTCTTCTGCATTTGTTTTATCGTAATTAGACAATTCTGCACTTGTCCAAATGCTTCTAATCTGAATAAAGATTTGTGCATGTATACGCACGTCATGATCGGATTATTTGATTTTGCACCCATACAAACAGTGGATTCAGATTATCCCATCCCTCAAATTTTTGATCGGATCAAGAAATTTTGCCCATGTAAACGTGGCTACTGTTCCACAGGATTCCTATTACTCATCCTCCAATCACGTTACTTATTTGATCGAGTTTTTGATAAAGTTCATTTCACCATAAACTTCCATTTATTTATGATCCGTCCACCTCTCGAACCAATTACTAACTAGTTTGTCCAAGGATGTGTATCTTATCTCATCTCTGAGAGTGCAGAGCAGAAATGCGAATTTTGTATTCTAGATCTGCTGTGACTTTAGTTCGACACACAGAACTGCCTCTCAGGCAAATCCAGCATCCTTCTCCAGGATTTGTTGGGTCCAACCGCAGTCGTAGCCCTAATCCTGCAACCCTAAAACCATTTGAGGTATGTTTGGTAGAGTTTGCTAGAGGCTGTTTTGTAAGAAAGAAGCCTAAAAGATTCACAGCCTTAGAGGCTCTACTAAAGGTAAGGAGGAGGTGTCGGGGGAGATAAAGAGAAAAAGACACCAAGGAAAAAAAGAGAAAGAATTTAAATCAAATAATCAATTTGAGGACATTTCACAAACATTTACAAGCCACTTTATAATGGAACAGCAATCAGACACAAACAAACACCTATGCATTAGGTAAGGGACTAATAGCTGTGCACCTGTGTTTCTGTGTCTGTGTTATACTTGCATGCGTGATTTAGCAGTATGTTATGTGTGTCGACCAGCAGTGCAGCAGCATAGTAAATCAATTCATTCATGGTGCGGTAGAGAGTCTCACCAACACGAACAGACAAATGGAAATCAAGGTCTTGGGGCGAGAATTGAGATAAATTCTAACTTATTTTCATCTAGCTTTCACCGAAAGCAGACAGACACACACCTGTTCAAAGAAATCGAAATACACACAGGTGCTGACATGTAACACACAAAATATTCATGACACAAACCAACACAGCTGCAAGTACTCATCAAAATTCAGTTGGAAATGTCTGTTTATTCAAGCTGTAATCTCAGCCTTTGATTATTGATGCCAGTGTGTGCCCAAGTGTGAGTTGTCCCTTTTGTGTCTGATTAGGTGCTTTACTGCCATTTGATGTGTAAGAGCTGAAAATCTCTTTGTGCCTGAGCGAGAGCATGGTGTTGTGTTTGGGTTACCAAGTTTTTGAGAGCAGACAGCCGCTGCTGCTGCTGCTGGCAGACCACCACAGAGAGAGAGAGAGAGAGCAGCTTTGATGGCTCAGCATCCTGCTCATCCTTTCTCTGTCCCATTTTTTCATTTGACAGCCAAACACAATAAACTACAGCAAATGCTAATGAGATGCAATCTCAGTTTGTATGAGGCGCGTAAATCAGAGGTGCCTCTCTATCTCTCTCCCTGCCTTGCCTTGGAGAAGCTGGAATGATAGAAAAGATGATAATGAGGAGGCTTGGAGGCGCAACGACAAGTAAATCTCCTGCTTTGAGAGGGGGCTGGGACCACGCCAACTGCCTTCCCGCTTGGTGATGACTAAATGTCTCTCTCAGCAGGTTTTTCGTCTTTCTGTGTCACTGTGGGTGTCTTCTCGTATCCACTCCCCCTCTGTACTTCATTTGTCTTCCTCCCTCCTTTCTTGGTTTCTCTCTTTCCATCTTTGAACCCCATTAGAAATTTACAGCCGCACATTTTCTGTGTTCTTATTTAGGCTGTGTCTGACTGATGCCACTTCTCTTAATCGCCGGCCCTGCCTGGTGTGTTGGTGAAATATGTTCGATAAAATGATTTGTAAAAGTAAGAAAACTGTCTGAGAATGGTTTAGCGTTGTAATATTTTCTTCATAAAGTTGTCTCGTATGAGTAAATGAGAGAGTGCTAATCCTTAAGTATATGCCCATAAGTTTCGGATGATGGAGTGCACTTGTGAGCGATGGTGATAGACAGTGGAAGCGATGCCTAAAAGTACATTTTTCTTTCAAATAATTGCTTTGATGCTGAGAGGAACCGGCATGAGGAAAAACGCACTGTCAGCAAAACCAAAGTAAACACAATCAGCATAGAGGATGCTGTCTTGAGCGAAACTGCTAATCTTTACGATTCCCTCCAAGAATTCATGCACACATAAAAATAAAAACCAGAGCAGAGCTTATTCAAAGAGAAGTTTTGTGTAATTAGTATGGATTTTTATCACAGCGCAAGTGCTTTTTGGAAAAGACGTACGAGAAACACTTGACACTTTGTTCAGAGGAGAGGAGCCTGAAAATGCAGCTTTTATCTTTTTGCCCTCTGTTTCAAACAGTCAGTAAATTATCTTTCTAATCCTTCCCACCTGTTTCAGTCACCGTCACCGAGTCACCCTCTAATTGCCACATCTCATCTCCTCCTCTGCTCTGTCTTCCACATGACTACTAAATTGATTGACCAATTAGTCTGTTGCTAGTGTTCAATGCTAAAGCGTTTTTAACCACAGCAGGTGGATGGTGGATGAATGTCCTGCGGTGACTGATGGGCAGACTTATTCCCAGTGTCCTCTAATAGAAAGGTAATATATCACTCAGCTCCGAGCTCCACTTAAGCCAAAATCTGATTTCAGTTATTAAATCTTGCTTTGTATTTGTCCAGAACAACTAAAAGAATAAGCCCCACTGTGATATAAACACTCCACCTGTACATTTTTATTCACTTCTTCTTTATAGTATCATAAATTTATTGAAGTGTGGTAATCATTTGTCTTGTATCTTCTGTTACCTCTGCTTTATAATGTTCCTGTGTACCACTGGGGTCATTAAGCTTCAAGCAGTCCCAGAAATTCGATTTTTGCGCTAACTTGACAGACAGCCACGAAAAGTTAACGCCACCCTGTGCAGTGGAGAGCCGGTTATCGACAGCAACATGCTGGTTTGTCAGGTTTCTCCTAGTTTACATCTACTCTAAATGAATAAAAAGGTTATCGTATTAATACTCTGTCTATTTTGTCCCTCTGCTGTCCTTGTCTGGATCCCATTTCCATGGAGATCAACCCGCTGACATGAGCATGGATCAGAATTTAAATGAGTAAGAGAGAGGCATTTCCCAAAATGATTAAACTCCATTCACTTTGCTTCATAAGATGCATCTATCTTTCTTTTCTTCTGCTGTTTCATCCACATCCTCCCAAACTGTAAGCCCTGCAGACTCTGTATACCAGTGACAGACACTTCTTATCTCTCTCTGTCTCTCCATCATTAACCATCTGGATCCCACAGCTCTAATGAAAACACTGCCAGTTTAAGTCAGTCTGTGCATCAACAGTCAAAAATCATTTTTGGCAGATGTCTCCTCTGAGGCCCGGCAGCTAAACATACAAATTACTGTAACGTCCTTTCAGTATTACCCATTCTCTAGCAGGTATTGTGGACAGTTAGTGTTTTGGAGAGAGCAGAGTCGATGAGGTGGTCGAGAGACGTGACGAGAATATAACCAAAGCTAATGTAACAAAACAAAGCAAAAATAATATCCTACAGCACGGCAACGCAGGTGTGAGGAAAGAGAGGAGAGGAGAGGAGAGGAAAGGAAAGGAGAGGTAAACAAAGACAGAAGCTCATCAGGAGCAGAGAGCAGCCTGGGGGTACACAGCAGCCATATGACAATAATGTTTTCTATGATTCACACACCTGTCTCTTAATATTACTATAAAACTCAGTATATAGCTTCCATGCACATTAGGGCTTACTGGACCTCCAAACAACCTGTTACACATACAAGCACGCTCACATCCGTACAGCATTGAAGCTGACAGCTTTGAGAAAAAAGCTTAAGCAGGTGCTTTGAAAAAGGCTGGAAACACACAACAGTAAATGAAGGCTCCTTATGGTGCTAACAAACAATTGCTCTCCCTCAGGGTTACCTCCAATGTTTATCACCACATCCTGTCCTTCAGCTTTTCAAGCCTTTTTTTTCCATAAACTCTCAGTATTATTTGTGTGAAAATAAGACAGTAACACAGTCTGATGATACAACACAACAGATTCATTTATGTTTTTGTGGCAGCTACCTTACTGCCATGCTGCAGCAAAACCGCGGAAGGGGTTTATTTCAGATGCAAGGTCACAGAAAAATATATGAAAAGAATGTGTCACACTGCAGCGTATTTCAAGGCTACACTAAATTGGATATCTCATTAGCTACAATCAGGAAGCAGCTAATGTTAACGTTCAACCTCTTCTTTGCTAACATCACTTCATGACAGGAGTTTACACCTGTCTTACCAAACAGTAATATGTTGAAATGGTTTCGGTTTCATTCGCAGTTGCTCTTTATAGGCCTCTAGAGGGCGCAGTTCACTTATTTATGTGTGTCTTTTCTTAAGTGGGCTGCCATTACCTAGTAGGAAGTGACGTAATGGAGATATATTCTTCTTCTACTCATTACCTTTTCAACTTACAGTTTCAGCTCTTGGAGTGGCAATATAAATAAGCAAGACATGAAGTATTTCTTATTTCATTTATTAAACGTTTAAGTTACAAGTTACGAGCGATTTGTTAATTTATACCAGATGTGTTCCCGGTCCCTGCCGCAATCTCATGCTGTGTTCTATTTACCTCAGAGGTTGGATGTCGGAGCTGGGAATCACGTTACACCTGAGTTGAAGGCGATCCAGTAAACAAGTCGGTAAACCAAGATGGACGCCTACTGTTAGCCATTGTTAGCTGTTGTTTACAGTTGTCAGCTGTTATTGGCCATTGTCAGTCGCTGTTAGCAGTTATCAGCGGTTGTTAGCGATACCAGTTTTAAACAACACACAACACAGTATTTTACTCTTCAAATACCATAAAACTGTGTTCACAGTTGGACGTTGGGCAGCACAACATATACCACTAATTTAATTTCACAAAAACAAAACAAAAGTGCTAATAAATAATACATTACAAGAGCTCGTCAAGTCGGGGTTGGCAAGGATCGTCTGACTTTCCGAGTCAGAAATTGGACTTGGGGGGGTTCCAGGAGCATTTCAGACTCAGAGCTCGGAAAATCCAGACTGGAATGCAGCATCATTCATTCATTTGAACTTATTTATGAATTCGTATCAGCCGTTAATCGATGCTGTCTGTATTTTATGTTTCAGTTTCACTATTTCTGGCATTAAATCTAGCCCAAAATCAACTCTGCCTGTCCCTTGGTGGATGTGATGCCATAAAAAGTTTAGCTGGCTGTGAATCCCAGTATACGACAGGAGTCACACTGGGTGCAGCAGTACAAGTAACAATGGCATACAGTGACACTTCTGCTCCAACTTTCAGAGTGTCTGAATGTTAAATCACTGACAGATAAAACTTGTTAAAACTTGAATTATAGCCAGATGACCTTCTAAGTTTTAACTTTCACTGTTTCCCATCATGCTTTGCACTGAACTCAATGTCTGGTTTGTTGTGCTTGTTCATGTTTTTGAACATGTAGTTGTCATTTTACATCTTTATATCGATGTCAGGATCCAGAAGGTGCCATTTTATGCAGTTATATTCCATTTTGTGCTACTGTGAGTGTACCCCATATTTCAGGACACTGTTCCATTTCCTGACCATAGCTGAACTGTCTGAGTTTGCAGCCCTAGAGTTAGAAAATGCTCCTCCACTCTCTGACTGACTGAGAAAGTTACTACAATTTTCCCCAACCTGGAACATGGCAGCACATCATTTTCAAAGAATTTAGCTCTCAAGCTGAACGTGGCTTGAAAAGAAAATGGCCACTATGCGAAACAGTGAATGAAGTCAATAAGCTAAATTCAGATTTATATCACTCTTGTCGTCTAAAGTCCCTTGGGAAGCCGGAGGTACAAAGCCACATTTGGTATCAATATGGGTGAGTCCCAAAGTGACCCGTCACTAATGCTGATTGGTAGAGAATGTGCTGACAACCAAAATCACTCAGCACTGATTAAATTCTGTTGATTATGACTGTACAGTACATTACTCATCCATATTCATCATGCCCTGGCATGCATCTGTTAAGTAATCGCAGCAGCAGGGGGAGGTATAAATTGGTGTGAATGATGTCAACAATACTGTGGCAAAAAGCAAGCAATTTAAGAAATGAGACTGCTGCGTTACTGTGGGTTCATACGAAAGATTCATTAACACAGTTTCACACCGGAGGCAAGGCAGTGTCTCTGATTTCTTTATGATGGGGTGGTTTGTTTTTGTCATTGCCATATCAGCTGGAATAAGTCTTAAACGACACTTCTCTTGAGCTGGTAAACGTACCATAAGACGGGTTACATGAATGCTGTGATTTTTTTCCAGCTGTACAGATGGAAAGAGAGAAATGGCTGAGAAAATCCAGTTATTGGATTGTATCAGGGACTTGGACAAGCTTTGGGAAATGAGTGGGCAAACAAAATGACAGATTCATCCCTCTGTCCTTCTGCTCTTTGCTCCCCCTGATCTCTCACGCTTTCACCCCCCCAATATAGCGAGTGATGCTCTCAATCTGTCATAGTGGTTGCGGCAGGGAATTATAATTTGCCTAAATTGAGCCATAATGCGCCTTGTAAATTTAATTTTGTCTCAAAACCAGATTAACAGGACGCAAATGTGTATCTGAGCATGTGTCCCTGACCAGCATGTGTGTTATGTGTAACTGTGTGTGTATGCAATGTGTGCTCGCCAAGACCCATAATCCCAGGAGCGTATGCTGAATAAACCAAAGTATTTTTGAGAGAGGGGGAAAAAAATCCAATCCTTTCAAAACACTGTCCAGGGATGAAACCAGTCATAAGAGAGCCAACCAGTTAGGAGGAGGCTGAGCAGAGAGAGCAAACTCAGCAGGTTGGACACAAACTAGTACACACACACACACACACATACACATGCACAGAAACACATCTACATACATTTACATACATTTTAAACCAGTGATGGAGAAAAACAAAGACAAGTGATCATGTGACAGGACCTCATTATAAAAATAGAAACTGTGTTCCCTTCGAGTCACTACAAAACAACCGAACATGCTGCACACACTGAGTGGTTTGGGACTGTTTTCTGGTTCCTGTGGGTTTTCCTCATTCAAACCAATTTTCATCCACACTCCAGTCACCAAACACCTTAAAGCCATCATCTTTTCTTCTGATAAAAGATGACCGACATGGTTTGCTGTGAACGAAGTTATCTTGCAGTGAAAGACTGATCAAGTATTTTAGTAACAGCATTTGAGGAAAAGATGAATCCCTTCCCACAACGTGAAGCTCATTATACAACACCAAGGCTATCAAAACATGATTTGAAAAACAAACACTGACTAAAATACAGCATTGTTGCATTTCTTAGACAAAATTAGAATCGAATTACCTCTTAGATCTTTGTCTTGTTTGATTTGATATCTCTTCTCTGATAAGGCCTACTAATAAAGAAATCTTTAAAGATAAAAACAAAACAAACACCATACCGTCTTTTATTCTGACTCTGTGTGAAACAGAAAAAAGTGATCCTCCAATCTCACACACACAAACAAACACAAACGCACACTCATGTCATCTTCTTCCATCATCCCACCTCTGCACTGTCAGTGGCTGACATTTTTCCCTGGAGAGCGAGCTTGGCAGGCCCGCTCACACAGACAGTCAGACAGACAAGCAGGTAGGTTATTAAATATGTATTGCAGTGCAGTGATAGGACACCGGGGGCCATTAGCTATTATAAATATATAATTTTACTCTGCTGCATATTTCAGCGTGCTGGGCCAATAGCACCATGGCATACAAGCCCTCTGATTAGCATCCCAATGCAAAAATGCATCTCAATTAGACTGAGTGTCAGCCCTCATTTGTTGAAGCAGGGATCGAGATGTGGAAGACCAATGTATAAATGAACAGCTAAATAAATAAGCGCTGTGCTGGGGGGGTTGGGTGCCGGGGAGGGGGCGGCCATCACTGGCTAAGAGCATGCAGGTCTGCCGATAAATTACGTGTGAGGCAGGCCTGAAACTTTAATCACTTTTGGACTGTTTAATAGCAAAACAAGGCCAGCCTCTCCCTGTCTCTCACTCTCCCATCTCATGTCTCCCCAAGCTATTTGGTTGTCTCCCAGCACCACCATCCACCTGTTCTTTTCACTCTCTATATCTGTCCAAGAAACTTTTTCTCCTTTTTCAGCAGACTTTTGTCTCTTCCCCACTCCTCTATCATCTATCTTTTCCCTCCCTTCACTTATCCCCCTGCCTCAGCTTCACCTTTGCCAAGTTTATGTTATGGTTGCTCCCTGCACTGTCTCAATTAATTCTTTTCTTCCCATGATTCTTTCCGTCTTCTCAGCCTCCCTCTCTGTCCTTTTTATTTCTAATACCAATTTTTCCCTCTTCTGTTCCTTCTTATCTCATTGGTTCCTCAGCTACCTGTACCTAGCTCCAACTCTATCAGTATCTCATTTGCATATGAGAATGTTTCCAAAAAGGAAACTTCCAACATTTCAGAAAAAGCACTCCGAATGACTCTTGGCGTGTTTTCAAATCACTGTCTGAACTCAGGCCGATAAAACTAATTTTCAAAACTTAATTTCTGAAGTTGGAGGACATTTGTCTATTTTTCACTGACTGGAAATTTAAAGGTCCTTTGACAAAACATAATAAAGCGTTTTGGTTCAACCCACTAAACCACTTTGCTTCTTTTCTCTGTATTATTCTATCGCTTTTCCTAACTGCCGTCTCCATCTCTCTCTGCAGCGACTTTCATCACTTTCTTTCCTCTTTCTTTCCTCTCTTGGTGACAGAGTGTGACTCTGAGTGTGTTGACAGCTCGCCAGTGGGCCAAGCCCGTCGTCTAGATCCCTAAGGAATCAATCATCTGAGCCAGAATCAATACTAAAGGACCGTATCCTGGACCAACTACTGACTTTGCTGGCACTGACTGACTGATGAGCTGACCCACTGCTACACTGGCCAAAAAACAATAACAAAGTGCATGCAGGCATTTTACATGCATTGCTGCACAAACAGAAATGCACATCACAGCAGGATTTAGTGTCTTCATTTACTCTGTAACAAATACATCGGACTGTATCTGCAGGTTGCATGTGGAAATGCGTTGAGTGCACGTCCATGGTGTGACTGAGACTACGTTTACACGTGCTCGGCTATTTTCATAAACGGACATTTAACCCTCTCTGTTTACAAAATAAATGTGTGCACACCACTACGTTTTCAGAAAAGTTTTCTTTTACACTAACCCATGTATAAATGCCGTCAAGAGCAAATCAAACAGTGTAGCCAGAACACATTAGCCAATCAGAATCCCACATAGCAGCAACAACATCTTTTCCTTCTTTCCTGCGCACACTCTGCCAAAACAGCATTTTCCAAAATCTCTACTCTGGTCGGAGTTTTTAAAATCCATCATTTTTAGGGGCAAAATTTCTATTTGCATCCAAACGAAGGGTGCAAACGATGGTTAATGTCCCCATTTTTAAAAATAACTGGGTACGTATAACCGGGGCCTGTATCTGTTGAGCGCAGCCCAGCGTGTATCCTATACCAGACCCATTTCTGTCTGAAACTAAATGCCATCTACTCCAATCACTTACAGTCTACTTCCATTTCTTCAGTTTGCTCCGCAGAGGCTCGATTATGGGCTCCCTTATCAAGTCTCTATTATCCAGCAGCACAGTGCTACCCTATTCTATCCGTCACTGTGGTCCTGTGCAGGGGGAAAGCACCACTTATCAGCGTACTACAAGCAAATTAGACAGACATAATAGGGCTAAACAGAGGTAGGGGGTGATCTCAACTGGGGCGAGAGTGCGTGTGATCACTGATGTGCAGTGAGCACTTTAGAGGTACAATACAGAGTAACTCGTGTCATTGGCAATTACATCACATCTGTCTGAAATTACTTTTGAAGTAGATTGGACATGGTGTGAAAATTTACACACTTCCGATAATGACACTGAAAACACTTTGTGTGCCTTTATCTGTCCGCTTCAAACACGGGGTAATTTCAGTTCTTCTTTTTAGTGAACGGCAGCTGCCACCTGTGACATTTAACATAGAAAACACTCATTTTTCTTAATATTCACCACCAACACCTGCTGAGACATGAGTGGTGTATTCATTTGAAGGTTCATCAACATTCTCAGATTGGTTGTAGAGGGAATATTAGTGTTGCAAGGACAAAAATATCAGATACGGCCAATGACTACAAAACACCATTTAAGGTTGATGTTTCATTAGCCTCTAAACTATTTAATCTCAGCATGGATGACTTGCAGTGACCTTAACCATTGCAGAGGAGGGGTACATTAATAGGTACCATTTGTGGTGATTGTATTAAGATGGTATCTGTCTGTTGTACTAAATATAATTTCAGTGGAGGTCAACAGCGGTGCACTGAAATTGTGTATTACAGCATTAATATCAAATTTCTCTGTTGTTGTTTTCTTTATCTGAACAGAAAATAGTTCTCGAGAAAATGAAGCAAAAAGTACTTGAATGCTGACTGACTGTAAGAGAAGATGGTTTTTCGGGAGGTAATTCCCTATTTAAAAATATCTTAAAAACCAGCAAACAAACAGAGTAAAAGACAAGGATGGAAATGATGTGGCGTGTCGGGCAAAGTCTATAAAATATAAATCAAAGTGACTGGACTGTTTGTGCATGTTGCAGTAAACCAAAGAAAAGATAAATGAATAAACACCAGTATATGCCTTTCCCATTTGCCTGATGCTTTTATCCAGAGTGCTTAACTGGATTGCCCTACAGAGACAGGAACATTACCCCTGCAGTATTAGCAGCACACTTTTATCCACTGTGCTGCATCAAGATAAAGCCTTTACAGCAAAGAACCCCCTTACTGATCATAAAGTACAGTGAAAACAGCTGTCTGCCCGGTCTTGTAGCAGAGCAGGACTCACTCACTGGATAATAGACCTTTTAATGCGATCTCAACCCTTAAGTGAGAGGCAACTAATGCTCTGCAGGATTTCACACAGGATGGGTTGGCGGTTGTTTGGTGCTGTGCACATCTCATCACAAACGCCAAATCTGTGACTGGTTGGAAGCTGAGTGCTGAGGAGTGAAACTGGAAAATTGACACACCTTGTCTCTGAAAGAGTTGGCTGCCCACGATTTCAGTCATGGAGGCCACCTTCTGTTTCTGGAGTTTCTCAGGAGGGATGCAGGAATAAAAATCATGCAGGAGTTCACTTGAAAAAGAAAGAATAAATGGTCAGTCAGACTATTATACCGGAGAAGCAACAGGTCTTTTTGTTTGAAAGATGAGCCCAATAAATAATCAAGAACTATTGTCTCCAGGTTAGCGCGCATAATGCAATTCAAATAAATTGCACTATTTATTTCCTTCATGAAACTGATTAAAAAAAAGATCGAAAAACAACTTGAGTTAGTCAAGCTTTAAACATGCCTCCTTAAGAGTCATGAAATATGCAACAACTAAAAGCAAAGGTTGGAACAAAGTGTAGTGCAGACATGGACAGAATGGTGTGCGCTGTATGAAAACAAATGAGCCAAAGTCCAAACCCACTTTAATGAAGACACAGGTTTGAGTCATCCTCCGCCCTGAATTCAATTTCATAATAATTAAACAGGCTGGTTGCGAGCTCCGACGCCACTTAGAAAGATTGAATGCTCAAAGCAGGGCAAACCCTTTGTCTTCATTTTTTCATCTGTCTCTCACTTTGTCTCTGTCCTCTTAAATTACTCGACACAGGTTGTGCGAGCACTTTCAGTAATGGCATAAAAGAATAAAATGAACCACCTCTGTTCCCGAACTCAAACACAACAAAAAGCCTTGTGTGACTTTTGATGTGCATAAGCTGGCACAAGGACACACTGGGGCACAGAGGCTCAGAGCAGACTTATCACGCCCACTAATCATCTGAGCTGAATTTAATTAAAACCAAAAATGTCAGACGATTCCCACATGGATATGCAAAGGATGCACAAAGCAAACACATGCACAGCTGACAATGTATGCACTTGTAGTACTCTGCAGATCACACTGCAGGTGAGTTTACAAGGTGTCGAGATGTGACTGTTCAGAAGACGAGACAAAGCTTTGATGTGCACCTCATGCACGGTGATTGTAATTCACACAGGCTGCTTTAGGAAAGGCTGCCTCAGGCAATTCTGATCAGGCATTCAACAGGGACTTCACTTTCAAGTTCAGGCATCTCTGCGGTGTTTGTGCATGTGTGTTAAAAGTTCAGAAGTCACAAATTAAGGGCGAGGGACGGCTTGAGAGGGAGGAAATGAACGACAAAGTGAGAATACGTGCGTTTATCCTTCAGTTTACTTTTCATTGCCTTTTCATCCATGTCATGTATGTGTGACTGGTGTAAAAGGCAGCACTTTTGTGACACTGTGTTGACATGGTGCCACTTGAGGGACTACGATAGCTGATGAGGATGGCAGACAATCGCATATGTACACACAGGAAAGCACACAGCGGTCAATGAGCGGTGAAAAGGGAAACAGCAGCGATGAGACAATGGATCCAAGTTTGGTTGTGGAGTTGCTGGAGGTAAAATAAAGTCTCTGAAATTCCTATTTTTTAAAAGTAGTTCTTACAAAAAGGGCTTCACAGTGAATTTGGAATAAGGATCCAGGTCAAAAAAAGGTTAAACAAGCCATTCCTGTTTTTTTTCCTCTTTGGTAGTCAGGGGATAAAACAGTCGAGGTTTAAATGGCTTTTGTTCGATGGTTTTTCTGGAATTGTAATTTCAGTCGGGGGCCCACCACGGAGGTACAGGGTGTATTTGAATGTGTGTCCTTGTGTTTATGGCAGTCTGATGAGATTTTTATCACCTGATAAAGAAAGTAAGTCTTGAATGGGATGGAATGTATGGCGGACAAAAAGATGAGGGTCACTGAGCAGAGCCTAGAAGAAAATTCGAGCCAAACAGATCTAGCCTCTCTATGTCCTCTCCGTCAAAGCCCCTGACTGAGACCAAAGACAAGGTTGTGAGTTGAGCTTACCTCAGGAGTTTGGCATCAAACACTTTCTCGACATCATGGAGGACAGTTGGAAGGTACTTGAGAGCAGCAACCTGACGGCACACACACATAACAAGTAAAAATTGCTTTATTACCATCTTAATAATCTCCTTTGGTAGATGCTTTTAAATGGAGGTGACTTTGCCATAAAACAGTTTCTCAAAGAGTGTAAGAAAAGAAAAGCTAGTTTTTTTTTACAGGGCCACTTGTCTGTCAGCCTAAATTTTTATGACTCCTTTTGTCTGAACATCAGTGTAAGTAGTAAGAATGAGGGGAAGACATTAAGCAGCAGAATCAGATTTAGAGTCCCATCATTGAGGTTGGAGCGTGAGAGGAAGCGGAAAAATCAGACAGGCATATGAAAAACTTAAGAAGCATCAGAAAGATGTGAAGAAGAAAGGTAAGAAATTTTTGAAGAGGTGTACTGAGGTGAAGTATAGGTGTGCGGAGGATGTGCATGATTACCCTGAGCAGCAGAGTGGCGGTGTAGTCTGTTCTCATCAGGCTGTTGATGGACTCAAAAAGCCTCCTCAGTGAGTCCTCAAACTCTTCCTGCTCCTTCCCCTCGTACAGCCTGGGAGTGCATGGGGAAATTAATGGGACTGAAATAGGAACATTGGAGAACAGCAGTACGCGAAAAAAAGAATGAGAGGAACTTTTAAAAAACATGGCACAGCATGATGAGAAAGTAGAGAAGGGGGATGAAGGCTACTGATGAAGAGATGGGGGTAAATGATCAGGGAGGCCGGGGTGCAAAGGGGAAAATTTAAGAATTTTAAGAAGAAAGAATCACACAGTGAATCTAAACAAACAGAAAGAGTATTTTTTTGCATTTTTTCCTGATCAAAAGAAATATGAATAGATTATTTTGTAAGTCAAACAGGGGTAATGCTGCATTCGAGTTACCTCAGTAGTCAGATATCATAGCTGGGAATGACTTCACACCTGAGTTACCAATGTTTCAGTCACAAAGTCGGAAAAAGCAAAATCGGAGGCGGAAACAAGATGGCTACATCTTCAAAAGTTATTTTAGCGCTTGTCTTGCCTGAAAATAAGCAAGCATCAAAATAACTTTCGTAGATGTACCTATCTTATTTCCACCTTCGGTTTTGCTTTTTACCAACTTGGTAACTGAAATGCTGGTAACTCGGGTGTGATTCCCAGCTCCCACATCTAACTTCCGAGGTAACTCAAACGCAGCGAAAGTGACAAATTTAGGCACATTAACAAAATATAACAGTATGAAAGATGTGTCTTTGCTAGACCTACAAAGACAGGCAAGTGAACCGGGGCTCATGTCTGTATGAGGGCAGGATCAGTTTTATGTACAAATCAAACATTTTAGAGAATTCAGAGCCCAGTGTTTTATTAATTTAATTTATATATTTCTTTGCCAAAGTTCTGACAGCTCAATGTCACCTCTTCATTCCCGACTAATCCAATCAAGAAGAGGCAGGACTTCTCATATTATGAAGGTCTTTTCAGAGGAGAAAGTAACCAAAGACGTTTACACAACATCCTAGTCAAGAGCAAGTACTAATGCTGTAACATGATTCCTATATGTGGATTTACATTTCCTTAAAAAGATTTCGGAGTAAGAGCCGATAGCACACACACTGCATTTTAAAACAGATTTAATATCACTACAAGAAAAAGTGTAAGTGCAGCCTTGTTTCTACAATTACTAAACTTTTGAAGTCTCCACTGAGATGTAAATCATTCTGCTGCAGTTGTTTTTCATCAAAGTTTAAAATGATCCAAAGACGGTTATGACAATGTTTTTGGAAGTTATCTTCATCAAGCCAGCCCTGATTTCCTCTACAGAGAGTTATCTAGCAACAAGTGAAAAATTACAACTCGCTGTTTATGCAAATGGGTAATCAAATGCCTGGCTGAAATCCCGGGTATCTTTTTTTTTTTCAACATCTTGGGAGGGAATATTTTCAACATGAACGTGATATATTGTCGCCTGGCCTCATCAGACCAATTCATCTTGGTTAGAGGGTCTGGAACAGTTAACTTCATTTCAGTTTTCAAGGTGACATCAGCAATAATTGGATGTGGAAGCAAATGTACAGATCTGCAGCTAATCCGATTAAAGCAACATGCAGCATGGTGCATATCAGCAGAAATGTATACAGACAGTGGCCAGAAAAGGAAACAAACACACCTTTCTTATCAATGAACACCTTAAGAGTATTTTTCTGTTCTTGTTTAATGAAAATACTTCACACAGTTTGTGCTAGACAGCCACAATAAGATATTCCTCAGACCTTCTCGTCTTGGTTGTTTACTACTAAAACCTGCCTCCCTATATATAAGGAACTATGATTATCTGACCTAATCATTTCGAATTACAGTTCCAACGGATGCAGACCCATGCAACAGCGAAAATGAAAAGGCCAGGCCAGACAAACTGCACTGTTAGCCGAAAAATATTTTTTACTTTTTCATATACAGCTGTAAGACCACGACAGCAAAATTAAAGAGATTTAAGAGCTACCAGCAAACGACTTCTAGAGACTGCATTACAACCAGTACAGCAGAAAACAAGCGCGGTATATTGTTGAGGAAGTTAAACTAAACTCTGGCGGTGCAATGCTCACAATTTACCTCGAACTAAACAAAATAAACTGAGATCTCTGTGTTTTACTCTTCAGATCACATCCAAACACCCACTCATTCCTCTGTCATCCCTTTGGCCCAACTTTCTCCTCCCCTGACAAACTTCCCTCTCATTCATCTTTCCGCCCCTTTCCTTCCCACATCTATTCCCTAACTCAGCGTGAATCAGTGGAGCTGTGCAGATGTTAATTAGAATAGAAGTTAGGAGTGCTAGAGGGAAGGATTAGCATGTGGCACACAGCAATTTTAGCGTGTGGGGGGAGGGATTAGGTGGTAACACACAGAGGTATTATCACTCAGCTCTTTGCAGAGTACAGTTATGATTACAGATGCATTGTCCTGCTTAATCCAGCAGTATACTGTCTGTGCATAAAAGTGAGCGTGTCCATATGTGTGTGTGTGAGAGAGAGAGATAGGAGATGATGTCTTGATGCGCTCGGGTCAGTTTTGGTGTGATAACACCAGGTTTTGCTCTCACACCACACATATGCACTTAGACCCACCGAAAATAGTTGTGTACCATTAGTACAGTATTGCATGTTGCAAGCTGTGGAGTACTTCTCTAATCCAACTCAGATGATGAATGTGGAACTAAAAATGACTGTAGGCTTTTTCTACAACATATCCACAAACGCACACAAACACACGCACATAAACACAAGCGCTCAGCACCCACACATTTTTACAACATCGCATTAGCTCAGCAAATTAATAGCAGAGACAGATGGAGAGGAGAGAGAGGGATAAAGGGATGTCAGGGGAAGGAAAAACAGTGTGAGGAAACTTTGGAAATTTTTGATGTGGGAGGGGAAAGTTTCGAAGAGGAACAGCTCAGCTGGTTGTAGATGTGGCTGACGGATGGAAGAGACAAAAAGGGAACAACAAAGCAGCACTTCACATGTCCCCTCGAGTGTTATGAAATCTCTGTCTGAGCAAATCAGTCAAAAATGTCACCTTGATTTGGTTTGTTATTGCTGTTCCCCCTGGACTAATCATGAAACACATTCAGTGTGTAATAAATCGCAAGGTGGTACAAGATTTGCCGCAGGATTCGCTAAACTCTACATTCTGATGTTTCTTACGAAAGAGACAATAAGTTATGCAATGATCAAAAATGCTGTAAGGTCCCCCCATAAGGAAATGTATTACTTCTGTAAAGGTGATGAGCATCTTTTTAAATGTGTAAATGGAGCAGTGAGTCACCACACAACCTCAGGTACTGTTAAATCCAATTCTAGTTAAGTGGTTTATTCATGCAGACAATTGAATACAGATTGTCGTCTCCCTTTGTCAATTTGTATGTTGATTCAAACACAAGTTTTTGTGTTTTGTAGAAAAAAGTTTTTTATTTATATTTATGAGAGATGGAGACTGGAAAATTAATCCAGAGAAATTGAAATGTTATATGAAATGAATGGTAACACTTTATTTGAGGCCTATCTCTATAGCGTATTATACGTATATGTATAATGTATTAAAATCCCTAATAAATGATCATAATGCTTTATAGCAATAATCATAACACATTATAAATCATTTTAACATGACTTACAAGGTCAGGTATTATAATGTGTTATAACTGTTAACAACTCACTGACAATGCCCACATAGATAATGCAAAACAGTTATAACACATTATAATACTGACCTTGTTAGTCATGATAAAGTGCTTTATAATGTGTTATGATTATAGCTGTAAAGCATTATGATCATTTATGAGTGTTTATAACTATAGTTATACAGTGCTATAATGTGATCATAACGCATTATACAAATATTCATAATGTGTTACAGAGATAGGCGTCAAATAAAGTGTAACAAAGTGTAATAAAGTGTTGTAAAGCTTTTGATGTTCGTAGATGCAGATGCTATTTCCTTACATTATGAGAAATTATAAAAAAATCATGAAAGGTGCCACTGTTTAAAACAAGGTTGAAAAGTTTTAGTACAGAGTGACTTAATGAATGACGGCGAGACAGAGGGCTGTGATTTCAAGACAGAAATAGAGTGGAGAATAGGAGGACAACAGAGCAGAAGATACTTGAGCTCTGGGAAAAGAAAAAACAAGCTGAGTGCAATAAGAGCTATAGGGCGTGAAGGTCAAAGACAAGGTGAAAGTAAGAGCAGAATCTGGTACAGCGTGCTTTACTTTTTTTAAAGTAAACATCACATGCTCCTAATAGACTCTGCATGACCACAAAGCTGCTTTGACAAGCTAATAAATCTTCAATGATGCCTGTTTAACTATTAATGACAGCCAGTCTTGACGGTGATAAAGCTGGAGCTTTGCAGATGCACCTACAGTGATGCTCGCTCCCTTGAATACCTGATTTTACTATAGGTATGATAAGGATTATTTAAGAGAAGAAACATGATGAAAACTTTTGATAGATGCACAGAAGCTGGAGCTGATCGCTGCAGGAGGGACAACAGATAGAGGAAAGGGGAGGGGGAGAGGAATACGGAGAGGGAGAGACAGATTTATCGGTTCAGAGATGCCCTGGAGAGACTGGAGCTCATTCAATCCTGGCAGTTTAGTGATGATATAATGCATGTACACGTGCATAGACATATATCAAAGCATATGCTTGAATGTAAAAGCTGGTATACACACACATTCCCTTGCACATGCAAATGAGCGCACACAGACTCTCAAACATTTTAAAAACCAGGGTAAAGCGACCCCGTAATTCTCAAACTCTGCATGAATAAATAAACAAACTCATCGAACAAACACATTAATTCAAACAAACGAAAGCAATGATGCGCCCTAGAAGATTAAAAAGAGAAAAATTTGTTGATCATCCGACTTCAAATGAAAGGCGCACGCACAAAATGACAGAGACCTCCTCTTGTCTTAGTTGTACAACCATTTAGACGCCTAACAGAGACTCACAACCCATAAAAAACTCACACATTAACCTGACAGTGTGTGAAATACCTGCAAACTTACAAACACAGGCACTGCAATCATCTACAAGCAGGGTGAATCACAGCTGTGTATCATGTTTCTCATCTGTCAGCATCGGCTCCTGAGCCACAGTTATAAATAGTGTTTACACTTATCATATAGAGCAGCTCTTGGTTTGGCACAGTGGGTGTCATAAGTCTCTCCGCAGGTACTTTATCTGTCTGGTGTTTGGTTGGTGCCCCATTCAGCAGCACTGACCTTTCATTGTCTTTCACCTGGACAATTCACTTTATCATCAATGTATATTAGCAACATTAGAGCTGTAATCAGCTTGTTTTTTTTCACAGAGCTGTCCGAAACAAATACGCCAACAATGCAGAGTCACTGAGCAGTGTGTGTTTGAGATTTCCTGTTTGCATAGCTATAGATCGCTAAGAAACAAAAAGTCATTAAAAAGAGAAAATTTCACAAAAAGGTGCATCAACACTCACTGGGAATAGAGCATACGTGAACGCACGATGAACTTGAAGATGTACTCCAGGGCTTTGAGGGTGCGAAAGATGGGCTCACACTGTTCCCCTCGACTGGACACATCCAGGTACCTCTTCAAGACTGACATCAGCTTCCTGCCGGCGTGTGATAGAGGAAGGAGATGAGAAAGTGTGAGTGAGAGAAAAAAGGAAAGGAATGATTCAGTCAGAATTGTCAGCCCTTCCCTGATGTTCCACAGGTTGGAAAGTTAATCAACAACTCTATTTTTCACTTCCATAGAGCAGAAAGACTAGGTGCAACACGGAGAGAGTGAGAGAGGAAGCTGGGTACGGGGTTGGAGGTGAAAAAATGGCAAAATAGTATTTCACACCTCAACAGATGTACCTTTCATACAACTCACAGACATTTTATTTGCCCTGAGATGCACGGTGAAAAAAAATCATTCTCCAGCACACACACTCCCCACAGGCGTCCTCAGACACACATAAATATTCCAGTGTGTCAAAGCAGCCCCAGAGAGGTGTGGGTGGCACAGAGTTCAGTTTAAGTTTATGCCTTACCTCTAGTTTTCCGCCTGATCTCTGTCTGAATTACCTTAATGGGATGCAATAGCGCATTGGCATATTTACAACACTTGAAACTATAATGTCGGTCTCCAGAGGGTCAAGACATTTGGCTTTTGTTGGCTGCAAGAAGGATCATCCACTTACTGGAGTTAAAGCTAACAAATCCTCCCAAACAATAAAAGTCCTCATAAAAATTAAGTCTAAGCCAGGGTGGCCTCGAAAATACTACCATCATTATTACAATCTAGTCTTCCTTGATTTTGTTTTAGAGCGTGGCTTTAAGGTAAGAACAGGAGGGTTTTTATGAGAGAGTTTAAAATGTAGCAAGAGAGAGTTTAAGAGTTTTACATAACAGCTTCTGAGCTGACAGGCATTAAGCTGCCGTGACCCTCTTTAAGAGGCTGAACACCAACACTGGAGCAGGGCAGCAGACGGATGAAGTGATGGAGGGTAGATAGACAGGAAGAGAGACAAGTGGTTTGGAGAGGGGGCAGCATTCATTGGAAAAGGAGGTTAAAGGAGAAGAACGAGTGCAGAGGGGGACTAGTAAGTTTTTGTTTTAGTGAACCTCTGCCAATTCAAACCGATGTTTTGTTTAATACCCACTGAAAGAATAAGCAAAGTGAGTGGCAGACGGTTGTGTTTGAGGAGCATGTCTGAGTGCTTTGGCTGCAACTCCACAGAGAGGCAGGGTGAAGATTCTGCTCGATCGGTGAACAGTTAAGTAGAGTGGTCCTGTCCAGTTAAGTGCTTTTGAAGCCAACACACACAGTGGACACCAAATCAATGCAGTTTAGAGTCATTTAACGTTACATTTTCAGGTGACGTTTAAATCACAACTATGTGTACAACATGTGTATTGTTAAAAGATGAACAGCATCACAGCTTCCAAAAAGTAAAGCCAAAACAAATCGGTCTTTCCATGTCAACACCTGAGCCACAAGTCAAACTGTAAAAATAATTTTACGTGTCAAAGAATTCTCTGTCTCAAACATTATTTCTGTTATTTTGGCTACTCTTTAATTTTGCTGATCTACTAACACCCAACACAATAGGGAGTCAAATACAACCAGAGGCATGGAGATGCCTTATCAATCTTAATGTATTGTCAGTGGCTAATCCACTTTGAAAGGGATTAGCATTAGTGTCCAACTTGGAGAAGCCATTAATATGACTATATGTACATATCAGCCTGTGCAGGTTCTTTTTTTTTTTTCTTTTTTGATGACAAAGATTTATTCAGGTTGTCTGTTGGGGTTGCGATCATTTCATGTTCTAGATGGGCATAGCAGTTAAAGATCACCTGATCCTCTATTTGAAATATTTGACGACTGCTGAGTTAAAGCTAAGGCTTCGCACAAAAAGAGACGGTGTGATTTTTTTTTTTTTTTTTACAATGAACTTGTTGACTCAAAGTCTTACAATCTCCTTACACATCTTTGAGGTCATAACTAAACAAAGCACTCAGCTGGAAGCTGATGGAGCCCTTAATGAACTTGTCTGAACATTTAAAAGCCAGCTATGCTCTGTAAGTTTTCAAGCAGTTGCCATTAGCAGACTTTTTCAGACATTAGTGGGCTTGATGTTGTGATTAGTGAGCATTTCTTCTCCTATTTGTAACCCTGATAAAAAGCAAAAGGTCTTATTTTTAAAATACTCAATAAACTGCAACATATTCTCTTCACGCCCACTGTGATTATAATCATCCTGTTTTTACTTAATAGGAGGAAAAAACACTTTTAGCATGAGCCCAACTGTGAGACTCAAAAGATCACATCTGTTGCAGACACCTTCAATAACAGCTCTGCCCACAGTCAATAAGTAAACCCATAACAAAACACAATGACGGGAAGTGCAGTGTGATCCAGGAAGTGACCTACTTGTAGGCCAGTGTGGCGCTGAAATGCTGCTTGATGTAGGCCTCCAACACCGTGTTAAAGTGCTGGAACTTTCTGTCAGCAATCAGCCCTATGATGTAAATCTGTCAGAGAAAGAGAAACAAAGATAGCGACTCATTTACATGGAGGCAGACGTTTACCCATTAGATCAGAGGTTATGTACATCGTCTGATAGACGTGTTTATTTAGAAAAAAAAAGATGGACAGGTGGAAATGTATGAATTGATGCACATGCAGACAAACTGTCAAGGTATCAGCTGCATCTGTCAACAAGGTACAGACACACACACACACACACACATACACACTCACCAAGGCGTCAAACACGAGGATGTCATAGTCATCAGTCTGAGAGTGTTCCATCATGATGTTGAACAAGGCATCCAGAGTATCCTGCAGGAACTACACACACAAACACAAACACAAACACACAAACAGACAGACAGAGAAGAGTTACCTTGAGAGTGCACACATACCAGTCTACGCACTTGTGCAAGGACACTCGTATTCACACCACTGACCTTCACCACCTCCTCTCCATCGATAATTTTAAGTTTCTCCAGGTTTTCTTTGAGGAGTTCAGGTCGAGTTCTCCACTTGAGCAAACCCAGCAGGCCGACTGCAGAGGTGTGGGGGGTGAGAACACAGAGGATTTGGTTTTCATCTGGTTGACATACATGTACTGTTCTGCTCTACAATAAATATGAATAAATCTACTTTTGTGAAAATGTGTTTCATTCATTTTTTGATTTCTTCGCTGGAATATTCTCAATACAAATAAACTCCTCAAACCAGGCAACAGGTGAGAGACTTCAGCCCTTTTAGTTTGGACACAAAGCTAGAGAGCACAGAGCATTTTGATGTTGTGTCATGATTATTTTCCTCAGTATTTTTCTGCTGTTTAGAGGACATATTAGTGAGGAAGCAAGATCAGCATGAATTTAAACGGTGCTTTTCTTTGTCTTTAATAAATAAATCTGTTATTGTGTTGATACAGTGAAAATTGTGTTTTTCTATTAAGATAGATGGCCTCAAGGCGCAAGTATTCCCTTGTCTCAACACCACAATAACGCTCTCTATTTGAGTAGAAAGGCTGAAATCCTCTGAAGTGCCTGTCTGTAGGAGCATCTAGCTCTAAGGGATGAGCAGACACACTAATAGGTCTGTTACAGCCAAATTACACCAGTAAATAATCCAAGCAGTTAACGCAACCTTTTGGCACCCTGGGCCTCATATACAGTGCCATGGTAGTGCTTGATAAGGTTGTCAGACTTACCAAAATTCACTCTGCGTTGTGTGCTTTGGACTGTGTGTTTTAGATTGTTTAAATAGGCTTAATCATTTGTTTGATATTGATCATATATCACATATATGTAACAGGCAACAAATGTAATCATCGCCAATGCGGCATTTGGAATTTTTTTCTGCTTTATAATCACAATTTATGAAGTTTTGGGGGGTTTTGGTAACTGTGCAAACACACTAAGTGATGTATACTTTTGATTGGAAGATATGTAATGTTCAAAATACTGTCTTTTGTGTCCTTTTTGTATTTTACAAATATCTGAAGATAAGTGTGACAGCTGAATTGTTTTATTTCTTTGATTTACAACACTTTTGTTCGTTTTTTTCTGAATTAATCACACAGTGAGAAGCAGCAGTGATTAAGATAATTTGTCAGGTATACAGCCCCTGTTCCTCCGCTAAGAGAGACTTCCAGCCCAACATTCTCATGCACAATTTGTGTCATTAATTCTGCTGCAGTTTGACACAGGGCAGACTTGCACATCCCTGTAGAGCAGTCTGCTTGAAGCTCACTGCTTTCCCTGACCAGTAATTTCTGACTCACCAAGCCAAACTGCACATCTGGTGGGTGGCCCCGACAACACCGTGTGCCTGCAAGCCCAGAGCCTTTGTGTGTTTGAGATTGCATGTGTCTATCTGTAAGCCAGTGTATGTGTGTGAGGCTGTCTGTGTCGCTTTGTGTCTTTGTGCGTGAGTGAGTGTGTCTATAGTACAGGTGATTAATACTGCAGGATAATATTCATTATGGTGATGGACTGGCTCCCTCACTAACAGCTGTTGCACTGCACCTGTGTCTGATGCACCATACTGTCTGAATAAAGAGTGTGTGAATGCATTTGTTGACGTGGCTGTACACTCTGTGTGTATGTGTGTGTATGTGTCCCTTCTTGTGTGTCTGCCAGCCAGACTGTGTAGGACAAAATGGCAACTCTCCCTGGCAATAAAATCTATGAATACACAAAGTGTCCCTGTTTTTGCTTACAAACTGATGACCATACTTAACACACACACACACATACATAGACACTAAAGTACACACACAGGCAGTTCTGGCACCGTCACCATCGCTGTCATACTGTTGACTCATGGCCAGGTTGCTGGCTGTCTCTTTCTCTCTAACCTCAGCCCTCAACTTTTGTAATCCTGACTCAACTTTTAGCCCCAGACCTCAAATAAGCATACAAGGTCATAAATATTTCACCACCAGCACTCACTTTCAATCTCATGGAGTTTTCTGAAGGCAAATCTTTATAAAGGAAACATTTCATTGACAGCATACATACACCTGACCAATTGCATTTGTTTAGATTAAAAAAAACTTCTAGCTGATGGTTTTTATCATTTTCCATCTTTGCTGCCAACTGTGACTCATTGTCTTGGCCAGACAGAACTACTCAACAAAAAAAGTGTTTACTTTTTTTGGCATCTCAAGTAAATTTTAAATACCCCCTTTCTCATATTTTTTCCTTAACCCCCAATAATTTAAGCAAGTAAATTGGTGTGTGTGTGTGTAATTGGCCCATATTTGAATTTGGCACACATGTAAAAACACATATAGCTACCGTTTTGGGTGAGTTTGGTGGAGCACACCAGGGTGGAGATACAGAAGCTATCTCTAGAGCTGACTGACAGGCCTCCTCCACTCCCTGACACGTTGCTGGAGCTGCGGCTTAGCCCTGCCACCTTGTGGAGGTCACCGTGATGGTGGCGGGTCGAGGGCAAGGACAGATAGCAGTTCACATCTTCCATCCGTTTGCTGTCCCCCTGAGACCAAAGATTTGGAGAAATATTTCAAATTCAAATAATGCTGATATTACAACCACTTTCATGATGGCATGGATGTTTGGTGTGTCTCATAGACAAGAAGACTTGGACTAAGAAAGAGCTATCCTGCCTGAAATGGCCAAACTGTCTTGATATAAAGGAGATGTTAGAGTTTGAATTGATTTGTCAGGCCAGCACTTGAGAGAAATGGCGATGATTGAAGTTGCAAGATCCATAAAAGTAATTCATAGTGATCTCTGAGGCTCAATCACTCCCCTCCCAGTTTCAATTTGTAAACTTATAATTCTGAAAACAGTGGAGCCAGAACAGGTTCAAAAACACTGACAACTGTTTGCATTTCGTCCAGAGCGGTTACTTCTTTTTTCCTATGATCGCTTGTTTCTCTGATTGTACTCAAAGTAATTCATTCATAAATCATAGAAGTTAAAGATTCATCCCTGACTTTTCCCTCTTAAATGCCAGACCGTACGTCAACAATGAGTGAGTGGAAAAAAACAGGAGTTAGAGATCAAAGCCAAGAATGGCACTGACAGGGAGGGGTCTGCAGAGATAACCAGAGACAATCGAAACAGAGGGCTAAAGGAGACCTACCATTTGGTCTTTAGAGTGAATCGCAAGTAATTAATCTTCATTGCATTTGGCATTTAATCAATAAGGTGCATTCAGCCGTAGCTCTGGATGATTTGGCAGGAAATCTATTTGGCTTCACTCAACCTGTCCAGGTGGCTGTAATCCCCAGTCCAGAGTTACTGTATTACCAGGTCTGCTTTGATGATGGTCTTCAGGCTCTTTCTCAGCTTTAGTATAAACTCAAAAACTTTCCTGGGAGTTGAAATAAGATCAGAGTCTCCTTTAATACATCCAAGTGACACTATTTGATAAAACTGCATTTTTTAAGACTGATGTTTTACTGTGACAAGCCCATCACTCTTCTTTTTTCATCAGACCAGTCAAGTTGATAGATTATGTTGGTAAGGGAAACATTTTCAGTGTCACGGGCTTCAAGAAACCAAGGATTACAATTTCAAAGGTTGTTTGCAGCTTCTTTGAACATCAAGAAGCCTTAGATCTCTGATTAAAACTTATGAAACGAGGCAGTAAATAAGTGATTGGCTCTTTTTTTGGGCTTTAAATCAGTAAAATCTATAGAATTAGACAGGGTAACTTTGAGCCTCAGTCTGGATAAACTTTGTGAATTTCATGGGTTATGAGTCAGTTGATTATCGTCATCTTTAGACGTAAATCTTAAAATATTTTTTTTGGCAAGTATTTTGGAAGGTTGAAGTCTGTTCCTCCTGAAAAACAATTAAGCTGTGACCTCTCGCTATGTCCTTAATTTATACTCTGAGTTTTTTTGCATCTTCAGCTTTGCAGAACTGTTGACAAGTGAGAGTTTTTGAGAAACTTTTCTGCCTGATTCTGACCTTAAAGACTACAAGCTCATGCAATCCATCTTGAAGAACAGTCCCATCGTCTTTCATCAGTCGCACAAAAGCCATGGCAAAGTTCTTCTCACTCTTGTCCTTGGCTGGAGTCGAGGGAAACCGATTTGTAAACAGAGGAAGAGTGGGTCAGGGGAAAAAACACATCAGAGGAATAGGAATGAAAGAGGCAAGGGTTAGAATTCAGGCATGGGAACAAGTGCGTCTGTTGATTTGTATAATCGAGTGTGAGTAATGAAACCTTAGGTCATTTTCTAAATTGCTTCCAATCACTTGGTCCTTTCAGCATCACATAATGCCCTGGTGATCAGGGAGCAGGATTCAAGAATGTGGGTGCATTCAATTCAATTGGCAGACAGGCAGAGGACAAGGGGCTGATACTCACACTCCTGGGAGGAGCGGTGTCTGAACATGAAGCGTAAATGAATTCTGTGCATCTCCTCCAGAGGGACAGCCACCTGAAGGACACATGCTGTTATAAGTATAAAATAAAAGATAACTTCAAATCTTAAAGGTAAAATATAACATTTTGGTTTTTCACTCCAAGTCTGGAAGAAAGAGACAAATGCAAATGCTATGCAAACAAGTGAAAATAATATGCAAACACCAGACACCTGCAGGGAAACTGAAAGAAGTACCTAGAGTAGATTGAGTGTTTGCAGCTCTGCGACTTCCCCAACACACACATATGCACACACAAATACACACACTCCTACCTTAATTGTCTCCATCCAGCGGGGCTGTTTGATTTGGTAGTAGATGACGGATCTGTACTCACTGACGGCCTTATCCCCTGCTCCAAGACAGATTGAGTTCTGAGAAAGAGAGAGGCAGAGAAAGCATGTGTGATATTGAGCCAAAGAATAAAATCTACCTGTTAGAGTCTGTGTTTGTGTTTGTGTTTGTGTGTGCATCTACATACAAAGGCCTGAGATTTTTATACTAGGGACAAAACCATGTCTGAGTGCCCCTGACCAGGAGAGGGTGAGTAAGCTCCTGATCATTTCATGCCTGCTCACTGACCCATATCATTTCTATCGCTCAGAGCACTGCATTTACGGCACACGCACATACACATTCTATCTCAGACACACAAACCAATCCCTGTTTACACAAACCCCTTTCCTATCACACACACTGACTAGCTCTTGCTTCACGCTGCTTACCTGTATCACCTTGCCCTCCTCGTCACAAACCCACATGATGACTTCCACATTTTTTTGTGTTGTCTTATTGTACTTGTCAAAGTCCCCCGCCTGTAAGGTGAGGTAGATGTCATTGCGAACATCTCCCGGCATAATGATCTCTGGGAAGCCAAGCTTGCGGGCCACCACTGTGCTCCTGTCCACCAGGTGAGGGTATTCTTTTCGGATCTGAACTATGTCCCCTACCAGAGCTTTCATTGTCACCCACAGACCTAAAAGGGGGAGAAGAGTAGAAAAGGCGAATTGAAATGGGAATAACATCAGATTTCAGATGGCTGACTGATCACACAATGTGAGCAATGAATTACTACCTCTGTATTAGTCATCAATCTACGAGTAAGTCAACAAGTTCACTGTAGCCAAGTTTACATGGGTAAAATTTGAGAGATCGGATAATCTGAATCCACTGTTTATATGGGCGCAAAATCAAATAATCCGATCATGACGTGCGTATACATGCACCATACTTTATTCAGATTAGAAGCATTTGGACATGCGCAGAGTTGTCTAATTTCGCTAAAACAACCGCGGAGGAAGAGTTGTTTTTCCGCCTGTGCTGTCAACATACCAACAAACGCGGTAGTGGCTCACTCCATCCAATTCAGGAGTTTTCCCCTGTTAAATGTTGTCACTAGATGGCGCCCTTGAATACTTCATTTACTGCTTTGTCAAAGGTTGTACTGTGCGTGCAGATGTGACATCATTACGCTGTATGAACGCCTTGTTAGGAGCAGACACGGCACCTGCGGTTCTGTCTTACGTCAGTGTTAAAAATGAAACCTCCTGAACTGGCCTCAACAAATAAGCCAAAGGGTAAAGAGAGGAGATCGAGTCAGGTAATAGAGACACGACCGGAATAAGTGTTTATGGACGCGAATAACGATCAGCATAAACCACCCCTCTCGATCCAAATACATTTTTTTTTTTCGATTGAGCCGAATTGGATCAGAATCTTCCGATCGACATGTTTACATGACTCATTTTTATTCTGATCGGGCATTTATTCCGATTCTTTGTGCCCATGTAAACACAGCTATTGACATCAATTAAGAAATCCATCATTAAATGATTCCAACTGTAAGTATAAAGTTGAGTAAAGCTGTTGGTTATTGGTTTGCTCCTTTCTGCATAATACAGTACAAGCCTTGAAAAGACAACAATTCGTCTGTAATGAACAAAGTTGATCAAACAAACAACTTGTGAGGACAGAGCACTTTTCAAATTTGTGTTAGACCAAAACTAATTGATTCAGGAACATTCAATTGGAAAAGCACATGTCATGCTGAGCTGTGATAAACAAGAGAGGAGGTTTCCAGCGAAGGGTTTTCAATTTTCTCTGCAGGTAAGTAAATCCATATTACAGCCAAATCGATGAATTAAGGATTCCAAGGTTCAGTACAAACAGAACTGAATGTAAAACATATTGAGATGTTTTCATAGCGCAAAGAAACCCTGAAAGGCGAAGCCTGAAGGCTGTACTTAAAGTGAGGCTCACGTTGTGTGAAATTTTATTGCTTATAAGGGGACTGTTTTGTGTAAGAGTTCCAAGATGAATCTGGGAAGTAAAAGCCTCTGCTGTTATCGCAGAATACACCGTAATCAGAACTATAAATTTTCAATGTCCTTGTTGTGAAAGAATGCAAGATATGGGTAAGAAAGAGACAAAGGCGGGATAAAAGTTTGATTATAACAGACAGAAATGTTTTTCTAAGGTATGTGAGCTCTCAAAGCTTTGAAAGAAATTATGTGAGAGAGAGGAGGACACTCTCAGAGAAGAGGATGAGGAAAATACAGAGCTGGTAATTGTACCATCATAAACCAACAGTTCAGAGTCTAACCACATATATGCATAAAAGTTTTGTTAAATACAGTGTATGTGTGTTTGTGTGTGTGTGCGCACTGTGGCAAAAATAAATCCCAAAGTGAGAGAAAGAGAGATTAGAGGTAGGCAGTGTTAAGAGCAGACATCAGGTGGCCTGAGGTTACGCTTCCATATCTCCATGTCCAAATGCTCCTCTCATATCTGGGTTATGCTGGGGGCCTTAAGGAACAGGAGGAAAGATAAAAGCTGAGAGATATACCAGTGCAGTCCAACTTACAGGGTCACTCACTATATGAGGAACAAGACAGTATAACACACAAGGGATGGCAGAGTTAGCCTTGAGCGTGAGGTAGTGGGCATCACAAGTGTAGGCAGGAAAAATTGAGGGCAAGTAGTATGAAAAAATTGACGCAGGGGAGTATGCTATCCATCAGTATAATGTCCTGGTTTTAACAAACAGTGCAGTGAGAGAAGGTGAGGATGCAGTGAGAAATGGCCATTTAGTCTGCCCACAAATGGCTCCAGCATGCACAGTCCAGTGGGAGCAATTCAGCCAGCCATGCACACCGGCTAACTTTGGCAGAGCAGTCAAATGGCTCACACTGGGAAATATAAAGCAAAGCTTGTAAGCGTGGGACAGTACCTTGGCCTCCACTGTCCCCTCGTGACGCTGTCACTTTGTTCAGCAGGTTGTGAAGAAAGTCATTCTCAGCAACTACCCTGGAGTCAAACAAACACACAGAAACAAACAGCAAATGGAAATACATATAGTACACAATTTTTTTACATGGATGAAATATGAACAGAAATGTTCCTAATGGTCCCCTATGGCTCCAAATGATAGAGCAAGCAGCAACATACGGAAAGAAGGGGATGAAAAACTGCTTCTCCTCGTCAGATTCAATCTTCCCTTTGATGATATCAGTGATGTCCATCACTGTGGAAAGAAAAAACAAATCTGTCTGTAATGGGATATTAAAGTGTTTTCTATATTTCACTTTCTGATGTAGATTCAAATCAAAACTGTGACAGCATCTGTGAAACATCAACTCTTAGGACCCAGCCTACTATCTGCTTTTTCAGTTTAGATGAAGATACAAGGCCGTGTTTTAAGCAAGTGGGTGCTACACTACTTAAGGGTTGAAACCAATGTGCACAGTCATCATCAATATTTAAGCTTTGGTTGTCTCAAGAGTGCAGGGGTCGGAGCTCCCAGGTGAAATAATTGGCAATAACACCTGCGGTGGCTTCTGCTGCTGCTGACAAATCAGACAGAATTACTCTGACCTTTAGGGAGCGGGTAAAAATGAGCGAGGAGGCAATTAAAGGCCATAACTGTTGGATTAAGAGGTAAAAAAAGCCTTTCTCTGATACCCTGTGTATTGCAGCTTTAACTAAGGATCTTGAAGGAAATACTTAATAATGTTGACAATTCATGAAAACGTAGCTGATTAACATTTTGGTGTAAAAATGAGTCAACCCTCCCATTTTTTTACAAATCAGATGAGTGATTATGAAGCATTTTCAGCCTTTAACATGTTTGTATGTATGCTACTTTGGAAATACCTGCCACTCCAAACGGCCGTCTCAGACCCTGAGTCCACTTCTTGTTGTTCACCTCCTTCAGATCCATTCTGCCGACCCTAACAATCTGACAGATCAGATAAATCTTTTCTCTGCTTAGGTCCTTGTTGCCCAAGTCCTAAAAGATAAAAAACAGGAAAGGGGGAACAGATTGAGGAAGAGCAACAAATGTCAAGTTATGCGTGAGAATGAGAGATATGTATGAATGAAATGATGGTGGAAGTGGAAGATGAGGCAAAAAGTTTGTGGGAGTCGAGACCGAGAGAGAAAATAATAAAAAATGCAATCTTCAACAAGGTCAAATAAATCCATTCATTTCCATGCAGTTCTGTGTCAGTTATGCTGAAAAACGATGTGCTAATGCCCTCTTGTGGCCACTTACTGTAAAGACAACCTTCAGGTTATTGAGCATATCAATCTCCTTTGGGAATCCCTTGCTGCCCCATCGCACCAGGTAGTTCTCACTGCAGCAGACATTGAAAAAGTTAAAAACACACCAAATTTCCAAAAAGTTACTTTTCTGAGAATTCGAGCTTCTAAATAATTTAACATGAAGCCTCAAACAGCTTCACAAATGCAGGTACATTTGAGATCTACTCATTGCTCTGAAGTCACACTACCTGTAAAAACCTGTTTTGGGTCATGTATATTTCTGACTACCAGACAAGCTGAATCAAAAACATAAAATGTTATCTGTCAAATGAAGGACTGAGTAAGTGTTTGGTACAGATACTCCTAGACTCTCTCATCATTCAGTATTCCAGAGCAGCCTGTCAAATGTACATGAGCATGCAATATACAGCTTACTGATGTGACATGAATCTTGGGATGCTCTCAAGTTCAAGTGTTTAATTATCCTCTGACAGGCATGAGACGCCAATGATGCCACCCCACAGCAGCTGCATAATAATTTTGATTTTCAAGAGCTAAAAATACAACCCCTCTATTCCCAAGTTTTTTTTTAAGAGACAGGGGGATGAAAAGGACACACAGAAAAGCAAGACAGACATGTATACACAGTAGATGTCAGCTGGTAGGACTGAGTGAATCAAAGCGAAGAGGAAGTTGATAGGCTGTCATAATATCACAGAGAGGGAATGAATCTTTTGTGCCAAATATCAGTATCATCAGAATATCTAATCAAAAAACTATACACAATGGCAGGAAATGGAAGTTGTGACACGACATCTGGAAAAATAAGAGACATGGAATAGCGGCAGATTTATTTTGATGTTGAATCTTCTTCTATCTTTGTTCACATAGCTGCAGTGTTTGAGGCTTAGATATAGACAGAGTGACAGTGAGTGACAGGGCTTAGCATCAGCCCTGTCAGGAACCACACAGCACTGCCAGTCACTATCTCCTGCCCTATAATTTGTGATATCTGTATACTTATTTTTGGCTGCCATTGTTCTAATTTTTTGAGTTTCGCAATAGTGGAGAGATACAAACGAGGGAAAGAGAGAAGAAGAAATAACAACACAGGAGGAAATACTGTATAAAAATATAAAGAGAGAGAAGTGAAAGAAAGGCTAAGACGTTATCAATTCATAAAGAAAACAATGGAGTCAATGAAGTCATGCAATTTGTTGAGGGACGAAAGCGACACCTGATGATGGCCTGTTTGAGGGGGTCATAGAGGGACATGAAGAGCTCGGAGTCCTCTCCAATGCGACAGACAAAGTTCCTGACAAAGACGTAGAGGCTGTGGGTGGGGGAGGACTGGATCCGTGCTGAGATCCCGCTGTGGTCTGTCTGGACGTTGGACTGCAGGACAGGACATAAGTTTTAGAAGGTTAAAGCAGGACAAGGATTTCATTCTGAACACAGTTTTATAGACCACAGTCCTGGGATGGTTGGTTTATATGAAATGTAATATTTCAATCTATATAGTTTTGTGTCAGCAACATAATCCTAACTGTGGGTTTGAAAGGGAGAAAAAAAATAAGAGCAAGAAAGTGTTAATTCTCTCCAACTGGGCTGTATGGAGCTGGAGCTGATGTGTAAGAACAGGAGGTCTTTATGAGGTTTGGCAGGCAGAAATGATTGGTGACTGAAATGTACAACCCACCGCAGCCACTTTCAAATCATGTTTCACTTTATTGCTTTTGTATGATTAATAAATAAAAGAGACAGGTCCTATCTATATTTACTTTTCTACTTTCAATGCTTTCCCCCCTGAAAGGTGACAACAGGTCAAATCCTAAAAAAGAGGAGTCTCCGTTGTTACCTGTTCCTCCTTGATACGCTCATTGATTTTTGTCGTTGCCGCCTCGTGAGCCCGGAAAAGACTGATGACGCTCGCCTGCTCTGGCTCCAAAATGTTCCCGTCCTCATCTCGAACCACCTGGTCCAGCTCCAGGATTCTGTAATGACAAGAAAGAGAGGTGGAGATTGGGGCGATTGATTGTCAGTGTAAAAGGACAGAAAAAGAGCCACAAGAATGGTTGGTAACAAAGACGAGAGCAAGAGAAAGAGGTGGTGGGAGAAAAAAAGGGAGGTGATAAAAAAACAAGGACGAAAGATAATGGGGAAATTAATGGTGTGAACATGGCAGAACAACAGAAGCAAGTAAGCTTGTGTGACTGATCTGAATGGGTCAGAAGATTCAACGTTAAACTGCGGCTATGATACGGTGTGAACAGACATACTTATTGCCATAGTCAATCTTGGAGGTGACTTTCTGCTTCAGCTCCTTAAATTCATCACTGGGCAGGGTGCCAGACAGGAGCTGTGAACGCCACTCCATCAGCTCCCACATCAGTCTCTGGACCTGTCTCACTCGAGTTTCTTTATTGGCCTGGAAAGGCAGACTAATGTCGTTATACTCAAACACACAAATATGTGTGGTGGTTTTGCTTCTTCATTTTTTTGTATTTACCACAAAAAGCTGCTTCCAGATAGTACCCCACTCCCTCAGTGTGGTGGTCACCTCCTTCACCAAGGGCATCTCTGCAGAGACCACTACCTCCTCATCTCTGTTTTGAATGAAAAATGAAAATAAAATATATTTTAGGACTAAAATATGCATTTTGAGGCAAAGCGATTTCAGATATTTTAGTCTGACTCACCCTCGTTTTTTTACAACGACCTCCTTCAAATGTATAAAACTTGCAGGAAACACTCCCTAGGAAGGAATGTAAGTTATGTGTGTGAATCAGGGTTGAAAAACAAAAGGTAGTTCTCATTTTTTATATCATATTTGGGAAGATTAAGCAAGAGATTAAAAGTTGAAAGAAGCACGCTAAATGTCTGACCTTATGAGCAATCTAATAAGTCTGGTGTAAATCAAGCTAATGTGTGATTGAGCTCTTACCTGTTGAGCTTTGTTTCTGGCCAGGTAACCTTTATACCATCCTAGAAGACAAAGGGACCGTCAGTTATATCAACATTTGCAGAAGACTTTTAGTGTTTCTTTGAAGAAATGTGGAGGTATATGGACTAAAAACTGAAGAGAAACATGACACACTGCTTATTGTCTTAAACTGAATAAACAATCTTAACCTTATATTCTAATTCATGAATGTATAGTAAAGGTTTATATAGAGTTTTCTACAACTAAATGTGATGAAATACTGCAATATGATTAAGAAAGGAAACATTGATAAACACAGAAACATTTGTAATTCAGGAAAGGTGCATGTGATTGGACTTTTTGTTTGAAATAAATAATCTCTTTTGTTGTTTTTGGATAGTCTTACCATCACAGGCCTCCTGGATGAACACCATATCTCCTACTTCGAGGGAAAGATGTTTCTCCCCTTGGCTGACGAAATTCCACTTCACTACGAAACATTATAGAAACAAAAGGTTGAATTAAAAAAACTGGGCACATTGGAAAAACACAAAAAACAGCCCCTGTTGCTACTGTTTTAACACTTACATCGAAAACACCCCTATTTGGACTACTGTGGACTATGGTCTTAAAGATGGGCTTTAGTATAATTTCTTACCTTAAACATCCATTCGTTTTCAACTTATTCAAAAGTTAAAAAGATAAGAGAAATCCAAAAACTGGTGTCGTTTTAGCTCCTAGACTTAAGATTGGATTTAGGACTTCATCACAAATTCAGTTTCAAATATCCATATTATGTGTCCAGAATAAATAGCCCACTTTTGGACCGCTGGGCAACTCAATTTACAGCAGAATAGGCCTATGGGCTAACAATTTATCACAGAAATTGTATGCACAGTGTATAACATTTTGTGGTTTCTGTTTTTCTCACAGTCACGCTTTTAAACGGTACCAAACTTAAACACACCACCTTCCGTCCTCTACTTCCTGTGTTGTAGTAGGTCTGTAACACTTAACAGGAAGACACCACTCTAGATACAACACAGAGACGTTATTCAGTGTGCTATTTTATAGTTATTTCATCCCAAGTGTTGTTTATCCCTTTAGTGTTAAGCCCTAACAATAAGCAAGAGAAATATTGCCATAAAAAACTATTTTATTCCCTCACTTTCAACAAAACTAACCATTTGCCCACCTTATTGCAACTAATGAATTCAGGCACTATTTGTGAAAGACAGTTCACCCCAAAATAGCTATTTTGGACAGAAGTCAGTACTCAGTTTCCAAAGTTTGCATGTCTTCCATATCTTCCAGCAACACATGCTAATCAACCCAGCCATATTCAAACCACAAACAGATAAACTGCTGAAAGCACAGAGAAATTGTCCCAGTCAGATTTTTTCCTGGTGCAAAAATCAATCCTTTCTCATCCAATACTGTCAGATTTAGGATTTATTTGTTATCTATTTTATGCATTTGTTAGCTGTATCATGTGTAATCTATAGTTGCTCACTCACACCTCTCTATCAGCTGTCGATGTATCACAGTTTTGTTTAGCTTTCATTTCATTTAGACTTTTATGAGTCCTGTTGCACTAAAATTAAATAGCCATAATGATTTTAGGTTTGAAGTTGTTCAGGGACACTGCTTCTGAAGAGTAAATCCTCGAGTCCCATCAGGCCGTATGCACCTGCTCACATCCTGTGAATCAGGAAACCACGGGCGTCTTATTTTTGTCATTACTTGTAAAGTTTACTATCATACCTTCACAGAGAAGCCCTGCAGCAGCATGTATATGTGACTACACACAAACAAAGGCACACACACAAATCAACAGACTTACCTACACCATACCGCTCCGATGTGGTCCTTGACCAAGGAACCATGGTTACATGTAATCTCCCACCCTCTTTCTTAGCTCTGTCCACCTGATTCTCCCCTGTTTCTCTTTGGCTTTCACTACTTTTTAGAGATGTCTGTTAAACTCCTAACTTCTGTATTTTTCTTACTTTAAATGAAAGCCATAAGCCTCTCCCCTTTTGCCTCTCTTCCTCTTCTGTCTCTTCTCTCTTCCTGCCTGTAAGGCCGTTAAGGGGAAGTGGGTGAGTACAACAAGGTGGAGTTCTGTTGAGCTTAGAGGCCTGCGCAGTGTGAAGTTTCCATTTTGCACATTTGGACTCAGCGGGTTTCATTATCTGTATTCTAATTAAAGGCTTCAGAGAGGATGATGTGAAACTGTGCAAAAACATTACACCTCTTTTTAAAACAAACCTTGCGAAAACACTGAAGAGTTTATAAGGGACAGTCAGCAGTAAGTGTTTTAAGGAACGCTTCATATTGTGTGTTGTTTCCACTAAAAGGTGTCAAACAAAGTAGCTTTCTGGTGACAAAGTAAAGCACTTAGAAATTTCTCCTTGCAAACACAAACACTGATAACGGTAACAGGCTTACTGGTAAAAAGTCCCTCATCCAATCTCACTTGAAAATCCATCCCTTTAAATGGGAGGACATTGTTTTACTGTGTGATCACAGAGTCACATTATAGGCAACCAAACTCTTCATTTCTAATCAAAAACTACCATTTACTACTCAGTCTACATTGTGCAGCTCTAACACCACCTCCATGTGGACTATTTGGGTTATTGACTTAAAGCATGAAGAGCATCTTGAAGTCAACCCTGTCTTGAGATTTTTATTTGGACGGCACAAACAGGTCTTGTAGAATACCAGTGCTGTGGGAGTGTTGCAGAATCTTGGAAATCTTTATTATACTAGAAAGGTGAGCTGTTTTACAACCATTTCACAACCAGTAGAAGTAAGGGGCATGGATAAGTCGTGTGTACAAGTTTTTTTCTGACCAAGTAGCATGTTTGCAGGAGCTGTCAATGAAAAATGATTACAGGCAGGTGTAAAACAAAATGTAGTGATCTGAATGTATTCACCTGCATTTAGTTATGAAGCTGTGTCAACTTGTTAATTTTTGTATGCAATGACTAGAGGGATCTTCTATATTGTCACAAATTTAGACTTCTGCAGTGTGTTTATTAGACATGACCATAGGCTGTATATACTATGGACAACTTGGTTCCGCCCTCCACCAGTAAACAGATTTGTAGCCGAAAAGTTCTCGGTAATTCCGCAATTTTTCTCCACTTGCTGAAACCAGCATTGCGCAGTAGCGTTGTACGCATTCGGCGGGAGTCGCCAAGAGTCGCTGTGATGACACTCGACTCAAACAGCATATTCCCCGGGTGAGCTACGCAATCTTTGTAAGCCCATAGGCTCTATCAGGTGAAAATAGAAAACATGAACCCCCTAATAACTTTTAAAAACGGAGCTGCACAGAAAACAGAGGACTTGAGCACAAACCAGTCTTACTGTAACTACATGTCAACATCACAAGCAGGGGGGAGAAAAAAATTATGTTCTGTGTAATAAATTTCTAAAGTTTGTCCACAGAGCCATAAGCTTTGCTGGAGGAGGCGAGATTTATGACCTATACTTCAGCCCGTCACCAGAGGGTGCTGTTCTCAGGGTGGCTTCACCCAGCAAGGAGGCAGACGGCATCCTTTCTATATACAGTTTATGGACATGACAGTTAAATTATGATTTGTTGTCCTATAATTAACCACTTAGTAGGGAAATACAAAAGAGGCATTTGTGAATATACTCACAGAAAGAAAACGGTGAATGCAAAGCTTCAAGTATAGCATGTTATTTCTCGGTTTTACACTCTAAAGAAACATATTGATTATTTTCCACAGTACATGTATTCAACTGTCTGGTAACTCATCTGCTTAGAAATACCTTTGAGATCTTGTTGTTATAGAAACGCAAGGTGAGATAAAGCTCATCATCACAGTATGGATTTAACAATGACACAAAGTTGAAGTGAGGCGACACTTAGAAAAGAGCAAGAGAAAGTGTGAATTTCAACATGTCTATGTGTGAAGGACAGGCAGACAGAAAGAGGACAATAGACGAGCAGCAGGAGAGAAAAGTGCATATAGTGTAGAGATGAATATGTCAGAGAAAACTGCTGTATAGGAGTACAAAACTAGGACAACGTTTCTGTGAACACAAGATGAACAGCGGGAGTCTGAAGTCTGTGGGGAAAAAAACAAGAAAAATGTAAAGAAAAAAAAAGAAAGAAACATAAAGGGAAAGAAAGAGAAAGAGAAATCTACTAGATATATGTAGTCACAAATACACAAAGAGAAGCATGAGAAGGATTGTCTATAACAAGAAGAAAAAAAAGTAAAATAGAGATTTTGATTTCAGCCTCAGCTTTGAAGGGAAAGGCCAGGGAGCCAGAGACAGAGCCAAACACAAACGGAAATGAGATAAGGAAAATGGCGTCAGGAACGGGCAAATTTGATGAAAAGAGCAGTGATATAGATTTTTGTGTCTTTTTTTTTTCTTCAGTGCAATCTTCAAGCCCTGGAGATAAACTGACAATGAAACGAGAAAAATAGACAGACAAGAGGCCAAAGTGCATAAAAAAATAGATTCAAAGGTTGAATAAAAGGCTGCACCAGAAATAGAGATTGATTTAAAAATCCTGGTGACCTATCGGGTCATTGACATCACTCCAGTCCGATAAGCAGTGCCAGCTCTCAGAGACTCACCAAACATCCATTCATCCACAAATCCCTCTGCTCTTAAAGTATAAACAATGAAGAGAGCAGTGGTATTTCCTGGCATATGAGACATGAGAAGAAGAATAAATCTAAACATAAAGGAAATGCTGCATAAATTAATAATAATTCTTAGTGAGTTTCTCCCTTGCTACAAAGCGCGCTTAATTCCAGCTATTCCTTCAGGGCTGCATGCAACAGGTTGGTTTTGTTATTTAGCTAGTGAGATCAAGTCTCTAAAGGGAAGAGTTTGTTCAAAAGAAACAGCTTGATCACAGCAGCTGGATAAAGGGCACGACAAGAGAGTGGAGGAGCAGTCGAAATAATTTCAAAAGAAGATTACCCTCAAGAGATGGAAAAGAAGAACAGAGACAGAGACTGAGAGGGACACAGAGAGAGAGAGAGTGAGAGAGGGAGGGAGAGAGGGAGTGACACTGATGCTGAGTCGCATTCTCTTTCTCCTCTCTTTCCCACATCCACTTACACACTTAAAACGCACACACACACAATCATCATGAGAGAAGCTGTGGTTCTCACAGGGAGCAGAGCAGAGGAGCAGGGCAGTCGTCACAGAGAGGATAAAGCTGCACTGAGGTGAGTTTAATGACTTTAATCATTCCTACTTGATGCTTTCTAAAGTTTACCAGACATGTATTTAAACATTTGACCTTGTATTTGCTGGCTGCTGGCATTTTTAAGCAGAAAACAGGAATATTTCAATGGCACTTCTTGTGAAAGTGAATCATATTAGTGATCTGAATGTAGAGTATATCTATGGTTACAATGTCTTTATATATTTTTGGGTAAAGACATAAAAAAGCACCATAAAAGGTGAAATAAAACAGCATGCTGTGCGTGTGATAAAAATGAAATGCAGCATTTGTTGAGATTAACATCATCGCAGGTTTCTGCTCTTAGCTTTTTTAATGAAGTGGTTTGTTTTATCACTTCTTTTCACATCTCTAAATAGTGTAATAACTTCATTTGAAATGCATAACTTGGTCAATGCTGAGAGTGTAACTGAATCAATCCAGCTTTTGTGTAAACTAATGATTTACTATTTAACTATTCAAAGTTTGTTTGGTCAGCACTGCATAGAGGAAGTAAGATTGTTCACCCTTTGTATGCATGCTGCAAAAACCTCATCTCTATTCTATCTGTTGTTATATCTGTGTCCCTTGCTTGAACTTCAACCTAAACCATATTTTCAGAACCATCATATCACACGGAAACATGTCACAGAAACAGATGAATAGACAGATATGTTGATACAGAGGCATGGATCTTTCCCATGTGCTGTTTAAGTTTAGTTCCTCCCACTGTTGCTCCTTTTTTTCACGGGTTGATGGGTTGTGAGTTTTAGTTTTAATGCTATCCTTCATCTATTCATGATAAAAACAAGAAAAAAAACCACCCATGTAACAAGTTTAAAAGGACCATGATCTGAACAAACTGTCTGACATTAGTTATTTTCAATAAAGTGAGAAAAAATCTCATGACACTGTAGCTCTATTTTGGCATTGAGCAGCTTTTGTAGAGCCTGTTGAAGCCGATGCGCTCAACAGAATAGAGAGAGGATGTGGTTAAGTGTCACGACGTGGTCAGGGACCAGTACTGTGCGACTCAGAGACTGAAGATCCCTTTTTAAAAGTTGCTACACGTAACGCAAAAATACGCCAACAGAATTGTTGATTCAAGACCAATGTAAGGGCTTTTTTCTCTTCACGTTTCCTGCTAACTCCTGACAGATGCAGTTTCGCTTAAACATTATGAGCTCTTGACACAACAGAGGCGTAATAAGGTCAAGACTGAGGTATTGTAGGCAAGCTATTATTCCCATCTACATTAAATGAATGTGAACAACAATGCATGCTGGGAGAATCTATGCATATTTTATGTGTCATAACCTGCTCCTGTCTGTGTACCTGTCTGCTGGTGTATATTCCACCTACTGTGTTACATTTTCACGCTGCAAAAAGAAGCCACGGCGTCCCTCCATCAGTTAGGACATGTAACTGTTACCAGGCAACCCGCCATCCGAGACCCACTTCTCTTTTTCTCCAGTGTTTCTGTCAAGGACAAAATTAAGATGAGCACATTGTCATGACCAAAAACTGCAGACAGCCAAAGATGTCTTTACAAAAGAGGAAGAGAGTAACTCAGTTAATGTGTCCTCAATAGGGTAAAATGGGGATAGATGACTCGACAAGCTGTCTGATTGCATGAATACGCTCTCATTGAAGCTGCACGCAGAGGAAAAAAGTAGCTCTTAACATCTTTAGACCATTTCATTTTTAAAGTCTATAATTATTAAAGTTCATTACAGTAATAAAAGATTAAACTTCCTGCTTTTTTTTTTGTTGGCGAACCTCGAATCTAAAACTTTTCAAAAAGTGAAGATTGCAGAGTCAAAGCACGGTTCTTCCAGTTTATTCTCTCAAATAAGTTGCAGTAGATCAAGCTCAGGCAGCACTCCTGATATCACGTCATTGAGAATTGAACTGAGTCCCTGAGTGTGCTTCACTGCTGACTCACAGCTCATTGCAGACAGATACTCCAAATATGACTGCATCTTACAGGGTGAATAAATTAATGTGTGAATGAATGAAGTATTTCCCATTGATACAAATGTTATTAAATGTGAGCTAATCTCATCACTGCTGTAATTTGAGAAGGCAGAATCAACTTTTACTTTAACTTTGAACTCTATTTTCTCACTGAGTGAATCCCCACTGCAGCACATTGAAAAACACACAGATTAACCGATCGATACATCGATCGTTTCCTTCCCTTTTATGTCTTTGAAGGTTAAATTCACATCCTGCTGACATTCAGAGCGCCTGCTGTGATTTGATGAATCAGAAATAAACAATTTCCTTACTCTGCAGAGGTACTGACACTTTACACTGTGACAAAACACACCATTACTAAGGTTGCTCCTCCGGCAGAAGAAGAATGGCTATTTCTTGTGCATCTCTTTCTATAAAGACATCTGGCTGGTTAAAGAGGTCAAAGGATGAACACTTATAATTTGGAGAATTTTACAAACGAGGCAGCGAGTTCTCGCTGAGAGGGAAATAACCTCATTATTCATCCCTAGGCTCAGACTGTGTGTGCTAAAGAGCCACCACTCCAAGTTCTTTTCTGCCTGCCTTTCATCTCAATACTCAAATAGGGCTCTTTTTAGTCGATGCTCACTGGGTAATGGAAGGTCATGTTGTGGCAGAATGAACTCTTTTGAGCTTGTTTGCATCTTTCTTAGGTTAAGAATGGGAAATGAGGAGATGCCGCTGTCAGGAAGTCCCTTGAAGTTCATCACTTTATTGTGTTCATCTGCTCTGGAGTGTCACCTCAGGTAGTCCTGTACCGAAATGAACCCCTCAGGCACTCACGTCATGGACACAAACCCTGTGCTACCCTTTGTTGTCGCTTGAAGATATGAAACAGCACTGTGCTGCAGAAAGAAAAAAACTCTCAAAGTAGAGCAGCCTTTACATCTAGTGTGAAAAACAGAGCTCTCAGCAGTCATTTCAGTCCATTACAGTCCTCTAAATCCATGACTAACACATACGTTTGGGTTGTGTTTGAGTCATTGCCAGCAGGCCTGCATGTTCAGTTTTTATATTTGTGTCTACTATCGACTGGGGCCATTGACTATGATCTATGACATATATGTGAGTCTAATTGTCCAATTGACTTAATTGTACCCACAGCCATCAGACTTAATAATTCTTCTGTAAATATAAGATGACTTAAGACATCACACATGAGACTACAGACAAATGAATTTCCCTTCAGGGATCAAAAAGTTCTTTTTCTTGGCTACATCGTGGAACTCACACAGCTCCTCCTTAAGAAAAAAACAGGCGTAAGAGTGACGCTCAAAAGTGCAGACCAACTCAACTAACCAGAGAATGGCTGAAACATGATAGTGCAAATAGCTTGACTTGTATCGACCTTATCTCTACTAACCCAAAAGAACCATGCTCTGAAGTGCTTTCTTTACCTGAAGGGTTTATGGTTGGAGTTGAAAAGTGCCAATCCCTGGACCTAAAGTTATCTTAAAGAGATTTTACAAGACGTTTGATCAAAAGGAATTTGTTGAAGACTTGAAAAGTGTGAATATGTTAGAAGAAAAAGATCCAGAAAAGGTACCTGGTAGATGTGGTGAAATCTTGATGCTGGTGGTTGAAAGAGATGCCCCACCTAAAAAGTTCACAGTCAGAAAAGTTACAACTCTGTGGTTCTACAAGGAGCTTAAGGAGTATATGTATAAGTGAAATAACAGCAAACATGTCTGATATTTTGTTACCAAGTTACCAAGAAAAAGAGGTTGTATTTTGAAGAAGGATTATAAAAAATATTTAAAATGAAAGTTAAAAAAAAACAATTTCAATCAAGTATTTAGAAATTATGCACAAAGCACTTTTTTTTTCAATCACTTTTGTTTTATTCAAGACGGAATATACAAAAAAAGATAAGACTGGGCACAGTGTACATTTTCAAGAAGTTTCATCTGAATAAGTGATTTCTTTCCACTACTGGAGGATTTTCATGATATCGAAGAGAATGAATTTATCTAGCTGTGACTATATTTTTATTAGCAATGGTTAAAAATAAGATTTGTATCTCTCTTTTCTTTGTCGAACTTTTTTTGTCCCTGTCTTAGCCAGAAGAAAAAAAAGAGATTTCTTCAAGTTTATTTTTATGTGTGGACATTTCTCACAGGCCACGTTGGATCCGAGCCAAGAGTCCTCCAGCGGTTTGTCTTAGCCTGAGAGAGAAAGACAAAGCAGAGCAGTGACAGACAGTCAGAGATGATGAAAACTGCTGTAATATCAGGTCTCTTATCCACTCAGCCAGATGTGACGACTCAGATACATTTGGATTTTGGAGCTACACTTCTCACATTCATGCCTGTGTTATCAGTGATTCTCTGGATGACGTTCAAAGCAGAGGGTCTCAGACAAAAATGAGTCAACAGAACAAAGAAGAAAAGATTAAAAGAGTTCAAATATTACAGATGGTGGTCTGGTTTCTGTTGAGTTAGATTTAATTAAAACCTCTCTTTTCATTGGTCCAATTTTCATTTTCATTCCATATAAAGCCAGCGTGTCCAGCTTTCACTGTCTCCCTCTCCCTCTCTCCCTCTCTCGCCCTCTCACCCCCTCTCTGTGATTCTGTGTGGATAAGTGAGCTTTCCTGGCAAATAACTCAATATTCAGGCCAGTGCCTGAAAATGGACAAAAGCACCTACTCACACACGCACGCACGCACGCACACACACACACACACACACACACACACACACACACTTTCTTTCATCAATTTGATCAAGCACACATTCAAAACTTTTTCCAATATGCCAGGGAAGATTTAACTGACTAGATTAAAAAAAATACTACATACTACAACCATGTAAAATATCAAAACTGAACCCAAAAAATATATATATATATTTCATTTGAAAAAATAAAAGGTGCTTATTATAAATTTGATAGCAGGTAAACCCTTTAGAGTAGAGCCTTGCTGTTTGAACAACAATGAGCAAAGGGACAAAAGCACCTAATCTGTTGTGTATAATGCTGAAAACAACTGGGGGAACACGAAGGCTACGTTCATCCTGCAGGTTATGATGCACAATTCAGATTTTTTGTTAAATCCGATCTTTTTGTGCGGTTGTTCACATTACAACAACGAATGCAGCATCTAATGTGAACGGAATGCGTCCGTGAAGTGACCTGAATGTGCACAAAGCACAAATTGCTTTCCGTGCCTGTTTGCGTTGTCGAACAATGGTGACGTTTGTCGCATATTGATGACGTATAGGTTGGATGAATGCGACCTGAGCATCCACACTGCAGTCACATCGATTTACATCCACATACAAAAGAGGCCTGGGTCGGATTTGAAAAAATCTGAATTGCACTGTTCACATGTACATGAAAAAATCAGATATGTGTCACATATGGTTAAAAAATCAGAATTGACCTGCTGTGTGAACATAGCCTAATAAGGTGAATTAAGTAAGGTTACTAGGTGTCTGGGTGCTAAACAAATCAACTGATGCATGATTCTGGTTTTTACCATCTCAGCTTCAACATGCCAGCCAGGCCTGGGTGTGTGTGTGTGTGTGTGTGTGTGTGTGTGTGTGTGAGTGTGTGTGTGTGTGTGTGTGTGTGTCTGTGTGTGTGTGTGTGTGTCTGTGTCTGTGTGTTCTTGTTTTATATTCCCCATGAAGACCATATAAGGTTTTTATACCGTGGAAAGTGGGACATTTCTGCGTTGTTAGCAGATCAAGGCATTTACTCTGTTTGAGGTCAAGCATTCACTTGTGGTTATCATGGTCAGGGGGCGGGGACAGGGTCATGTGTGAGGGAGACCTTTTCCAGGAAAAGGCTGATGTAGAGCAGAAGTTGTATAATCCTGCTCTGTGACTTCAAGAATTTGGTAATTTCCAACAAACTGATTCAATTTGTCAGGAATTTGGAGGTGATGATTTTAATCAGTGGTCACTAACCAGGTGCCCAGGCTGTGCTTGATAACTTTTGTATGGTTATACTTTCTTATTGTTCCCCAGCTCAAGATGGGGACTCCATTCATCTGACGGACTGGATAAAATGATTTAAGTGCTCCACGATTTGAATGCATGCCTCAGTATGCTCATGATGACCAAAAGTGACATTAAAGTTACTGTTAGAGGTTTTAATATTTTATCTAGTTGTAGTTTTGTTCTTCAGTGTAGTTAAAGTCTAAAAAACAGTTTTCAATAGCCTGTCTGACCTGGATTGTGGTGAATTTACTGTCAATTATGGATAAATTAAAGTTAATTCCTTTTAAAAGTGAAATAAAGTGAGTGATCTTTGTTGTGTGAGATTTGCTTTGCAATGTATGTAACAATGACACAATACACTGTGTTTCTTGTCTTTGTCCACTAGGTGTCAGCACAGCCAAAGAAGATGGCAGAGACGACACTGTGTCACTAAGGACCACCATGAATCTGCCATTCAGACAGGGGGCTGTTAAACAGCCACTACAGACATCTCAACAACCCAGTGTAGAGCTGATTCACAATTCTCAGCAGCAGCATTTATCAAGCAAGAGACATCTTTGGTTCAATCACTTTCATGAGCTCCATCGTTGATAAATGTAGTATGGACTGTAACTCTTTTAAAGGCTCAGGCCTGAAAAAAACGCAACAGTCACAGTCACACTGTTGGCAGCTTAAACAAAAAGAATAATGTAAAAGAAAGAAGATAAGGAGATCACCTTGGAGCAAGATCTCCAAGATGATGATTAGGTTGTGTGCACAACATTAAATGGCATACCAAAAAAATCTGTGAGAACAGATCCAATCAGATAATACAAGAGCAAATGCTTGTAATCGTTCCCTGAGTAATTTTTTTAAACTCAAAAAACTTTACAACTGCTTACATTGCAGCCGAGCGATGACATCAGGTTGTCCTGAGTAAAGCTCCAGCAATGACACTGTCCGACATAGTGCTGGGTATCTTCTTGTCCCTCCTCATCCTCCTGACTGTTGGTGGTAATGTTCTGGTGTGCCTGGCTGTCTGCGCCTCCCGACGCCTACGCTGCCTCACTAACTGCTTCATCGTGTCGCTGGCTGTCACAGACTTGCTTCTAGGCCTCCTGGTCCTCCCTTTCTCCGCCCTCCTCCAGCTCAATAGTGAGTGGCCACTTGGTCCGAACTTCTGCAACTTTTACATCTCCATGGATGTGATGCTCTGCACTGCTTCCATTCTCACCCTTCTGGCCATCAGTGTGGACCGCTACCTGGCAGTGACCATGCCTCTGAGATACGCCTCACTGGTGTTGCCAGGGAGAGTTGCTGTTGCTATGGCCTGTGTCTGGACGGTTTCGGTGGCTGTGTCCTTCTTACCCATTCAAATGGGTTGGAACACTGTTAATGGGACGGTTCAGAACCATGGGCCCTGGGCTCCGGAGAGGAAATGTCGTTTTGAGCTGAACAGGCCTTACGTACTCACTGACTCTCTCCTCACGTTCTTCCTTCCTTTGGTGGCCATGTGCTGGACCTACCTACGAATACTTCGCATCGCACAGGCACAGGCCAAACGCATAGGAAGTGCACGACCCACTTGTATCACCACTTACAACAGCAGGAACAATCCCACCATCAGCACCACGTTGGTTTCCAGTGTTGCAGCTGTGGCTCTGCGTGAGCACAAAGCCACAGTGACTTTGGCAGCAGTGATCGGAGCTTTTGTGGTGTGCTGGCTGCCATATTTTGTCTTGTTCACAGTGTTGGGCCTAGAGGAGCATCCAGACCCCAGCACAGTACCAGCATTTCCATATGTGTTGTGGCTGGGTTACATTAACTCAGCACTCAACCCACTGCTCTACGGAACCCTCAACAGGGATTTCAGGTCAGCCTACAGCCATCTACTGAGATGTCAGTGCCCTTCTTACAATGGGTGGAGGAGTGCACAGCAATCTTCAACTGGAACAACAGGTACATCTACAGAAAGTACATCTAAATAGATGTAGACCCTGAAGTTTGACAATGTGTCTCACATAAAGGAGAGCTGTTCTTCTTTCTTTCAAACTGCCTTTGTGAATGTACTATATGTTTAAATTCAACGCTTTTAATTCTCCCACATCTACTCCTGCTTTCAGGGAGAGACCACCTCACAGAGGTGACACTGCTGTGTGGCCACACTTCCATCTCCTGTCGAGCCGATGAAACAGATCAAAACGTCATGCTTGGGGACAAGAATCACAGTACAGGCCCAGAAACTGTCCAGTCTACAAATGGCACTGCTGCTATAGATGCCAAAAGCAAGGAAAGGTAAATGACACTTCAGCATTTAATTATCTTTAGCATGATAACAGAATGCAGAAAAAGATATCAACAATGTTGATTATTCATGCAAAATTACAAATAGATGTGTATTACTCTCATATCTTTTCTGTCTTTTTTTAATATACACAGTTGGTGTTGAGTCTTCTCTTATGAGGCGTCCATTCTGGGGTTGCATTCAGTGACTGTCAAAGAAAAAAGAGGAGTGGACCGAAGGAGGAGCAAACAGTACAGGAAGTGTTATCAAGTGTTTATTGCCGCAGCAGATACAGCAATGGTACAGTCTGTAAGTCGACATACGTGTCTTCCTTCTAACCCCTGCAGACCATGTCAGGCCCATAACAAATGAACTGTGACACACAGATCCTACTGGTGTCATCCACAGCGCATCAGGCCATATGGCATTATGCTTATTAGGCCAAGAAATGTGCTTTCAGGACAGACAGAGTGCATTATCTAGTTTCACATCCTGCTTTCATTTCTACATTTACACTTTGAGAATAGTATCGACTTATTAGCCTCCACTACATACACATTATCAAACTCAGCATTAGCAAAACCACAAATGTAGTTTTCAAACCTTTGCTTTAAAACAACACTCCATGAATTACATACAGAGGAGTTTTGTGAAAATGTCCATTATTGCAATTTACATGTATGTATATAAAACATATGTCATTAGAGCTGCTGTCTGTTATAGCTGTATACAACGTTAGCATTAGTAAAGATTTTTAAATACATTAAATGTGGAACATCACCTGTTACCAAAATTTGCAACACCAGTCAACACAAACGACCTGTAAAAAATGTGTGCACAAGATTTTTCCTGCTTAAATTTGACAGAAGCGGTCAGGATAATTTCAGCAAATTATGTTTGGTTGTGTTTAAAAAAAAAAGAAAAAAGGAGAAATCTTTGGAGCTCTCAGCAAAAATCTGGGGAGGATTTAAAGTTGTGCAAAAACTGATAAAAAAAAAAGATCTCTTAAAAGGCTTTCATATGGAGCAGTTTTGAAAGAAGTAGTAACACAGCATAGATAGATAGATTGATAGAAAGATACTTTATTAATCGCAGAGGGAAATTCAAAAGAGAGTTACATTAGAAAGTACACAGCTATACTTCCACTCTCCAAAACACCTAAAGTGCAACACTTAATTTTATATTAAACTATATTTACATTAAAGAAACTAATCTACATCATGCGGTGTTAATAAAATGTCTTGGACTATCACAAGTTTTGCATTTAAATGACTGAGCAGCTTTTTTATGTTTTTTTTAATTCCTCAGCCCTCAATCATTTTACTTCACACCTCTTCAGCATGTTTCAACAGTACGCGTACTCCCAGCCTCTGCAGGACTGAAAAAAATTATGATGCCTCTATGTGGATGGAGCTAAAAGCTCCGACTGCATCAAACCTTAACAGGGAAAAACAACAGCCAAGCTCTTAACCACCAATGCTTTTGGAGGACTGAATGAGACCGTCTGATGAACTTGCCTCGAATTGGTTTCATGAACAGTTTTTCCTATACTGACTCACAAGTGCACTCCTGGATAAACAAGACGTGCCACAGCTTAACCTGGACAAAGTTTGTGGAAATGGATTTTGCATGCAAGAAGCAAATGCAACAGTAAAGAGATTGATGCAGGTTTTGCACTAAATTATTGCTCTGAGGTACAGTGGGCAGAATTTAGCAGGGTTAACAGACTTTGAATAGAATAATAGTAAGTCTGTTTGAACTCATGAACAGTCACCTGAATGTATAAACTGTTTTGTTTCCATTTACTCAGAATTGTTCCTTTTTACACAAGGAGCAGGTCGCCCTCCTGAAAGGCCTCCATCTTGCACACCTTGTTTCTACAGCAGCACAGACCGGGACCAACTGTGCCGTGCAGGTTTTTAAATGAAATGAATTTGAATTCATAGAAGTTTTTGATTAGCAAAACTTGACAACTGGAAGATCCTTGTAATTCTGCATCACAAGGCCACCAACCACCGCACCCTCACTAACAGAAGGGGATCTCTCAATCGTGAATGTGACTGCAAGCTAACACTGGATATTTCTATTTCTATACACTGTACCTTTAATGCAGAATGAGTCCAATTGTGTGACATTTGAATGTGAAGCATGCCAGCTAATGCTTTGCATCTACTTGAAAAATGCTGCTGTCTCCAGTTTTTGTCTTGAACATTGCTCATTCTGTGACATAAAAACTGACAAATGTATGTACAGTATCACTCTGTAAATTAAACTGAGAAAATGCCATGCACTGTTCCAGCAGAATAGAAAATTACCACAACACTGTACCAATAAAGAGCTTCTTTAATAAAGAATGTAATATATACTGCAGTTCAGGGGTAAATACAGATAGGCTGTAGTTAAATACAGATAGGGATTATTATGCGGCATGAAAACACTGTATGAATGGTAAGAAATACAAGAACAATGGAGTCAATTCATCACAGCTGTCAGCAAACATCGCCTCAAACTACTCCCACATTAACACCTAACCTTTTCCATACTTCAAGCTATTTCCTAGAGGACTGACACAGAAGTGTAAATAACAGAGTGCACATCTATCTGCATGTCAGGTACCAGCTGGAAACCAACCATTCAAGCTTTAGACACCCCTATTTGGTATCTATAACATCGAGGATAGTCATTCAGGTCCACAGAAGTTGATCCCTGCACTAACATGCCAGATTTGTTGTAAGTATTCCTCTTTTCTGCCGAGATGTGACCCTTTATTCTCACGACCACAATGTCAAATATGAGTGACAAAAGACACAGTTTGACATTCATAAGTCAGGTGTTTATTGGTTTGCACAAAAGCCTCAGTTCTCTGCGGGACCCTCTAAAGGGATGGAGTAGCAGGGAAAAATACTTCCCTCAACCCATACAGTAATGACAGAGAAAAAAAGAAAGATGTGAACATTTATTGACATTTAAGCTGTACAAAACAACAACAACAAACCCCAAATCACATAAAGAGGGCTTTACATGAAGGAGGGGGCTTAGGCAGAGAGCAGTGTCTGCAGCTGTAAAAAATGGACAAAGTCTCGGAAGAATCATTCGTATGAATGTGATTGAATGATTAATCTGTAACAGATGATGCACCAGTAAGAAAATCTAGATCCAGAGCAGCAATGGCAAACAGCTTACATGAAAGCGTCATGCCAGTGAAAGCCAAGTGATGTAATGACTTCAGTTCACTGACGGTGTGGTGTAAAAAATGGACATATAGACAGATAGACAAACAGATGGATACATAAATAGACAGATGATGTTAGTTGGAAGTTTTGTGGCAGTCTTTGGGCTTCATTCTACCTTTTCAGAAATCATTCTACCTTCTGATGGAGGTGACCCAGCTGGGACTTTATAGGGGTTGCCTGAAGTAGTAAGCCTGAGGGGTTTACCCCAAACTGTGAAGGTTATCTCCACCAATCACATTTACTGAAACTCCTTATTTTAGAGAATTCAAAATGTTAGACTCTAAGTGCAAAGACGCTACACCCACTGTCTAAACACAATGCAAATAGTTGATAGTGAGTGCTGCCCTTGGCAAGGCAATTAGCCAGTCCCGGTTTGGGATTTCAGGGAAGCTAATTAGATTTCAGGGGTGGCTATGGCCTCACCTCGCCAACGCCAATGTGTTCCATGCAGTCTATGTAGAAAATCAACATGAGGCCGCTACATGCTTGTTAAAGGAATATGATCTCGCTTTTATGTGTTAAATGGCTGTTCTGTCACACATCACCTCCAACTTTGCCAATACCACAACTAGTTCAAGGGCTGATTCCTCTGTGGGCGCAATATCTGTCCATGAGATTATCACTTTTGTAAAGAATCGATTCTGAACAGATACAGGGTATGACATGCTAATGTTTGAACATTTTTATTACTTCATTTGTTTGATTAAGTTCAACAGTACAACAGTAGCACAACATAAAAAAAGCTTGACTGTGGCTCCTTCTCCACTGCCTGACAAGTGAGGCTGCAGGTTTGGCGCCATTGGCGAGTAAGAGAGCTGCTTTGTACGAGGTCGAGGTACAGCTCTGTCTTTGTCTTTTATTCTGCCATCTTCAGTGAAACAAAAATATTTTCACACAGCAGTACGCAGATGTGTTGACGTCCCGATTGCTGGCTCAGGATGACTTTGAACGCTCACATCCTTCAATTTTGTAGAAGAACATCACTGTTTTAATTTACTGAGGTCAAGAGTGTGTGCAGTGGTCAGGTTATCCTGAGAGTGCCCTCTGCTGGATCAAACAGCGCAGTTGTTCAGATGGCCTGGTAAAACTAAAGTGGCTCATTACAGTTGAAATGTGAACTTTCCTCCCCAAGTTTGAATGAAGGCGTTAAGTTTGCATAAAAACAGACAGCTCTATCTGATCGGCACAAGTTGATTTGCAGGTCAAATTTAATCATTCTTTCACTGTGTTAGTTTATCATTGTACCATAATATTTCACTATGCATATATTCACTTCCCTGTGCGCAGGCTCTTTCATATTTGTAACTCTAGAGGATCCATCAGATTTAGGTAAGAAATGCTGCTCTTCAAATCTAAAAGTAGACATCTGAGCGACTGTAGCCCTTCTATCAGCCTCGAACAGTAATAATTCTCTGTTGATTATATCCCTAAGCCCCGCCTTCCTACCAGAAAACCTTATTTGACTCACCAATGCTCACTGGATGTTTTTCTCCTAAAACCCTTCAGATGGTTCTACAAAATCAGAGCAGATCAGCACTTTCTCAAACCAGCCTGTCTGGCGCCAACACTGAAGTCACATCCAAAGCCTATTTAAGGCTCACTTTGTCTTCACTTTTTGTGTCTACCACATTGCTACCCTGTAGTTTGCAGATAACATGCTCCCTTCAAGGTTGGTTAAACAGGTATACCTGATGTAAAGTAGATAGTAACTGTATGTACCATTTATATTGTATAGTATCACACAAGGAGTGTTGCATTGCTTTAAAACACTTTGTCCATATTGTTTTGACACTGCAGCATTTCTGTTGTCCTTGCACATAAATCAGGACATTTTTTTTTTAGGTTGCCCGAGGAACAAGTTTTTCAAAGAGAACAAAACCGGGACCACAACTTTGGTCTATAGCTTCTGAGCCAGCAGAAACAGACGTACAACCATCTAGATACAGCCCTCAAGCTTGGAGAAAATGCTGCTCATGGAAACAAAAAGAAGAGACTGAAGTGACGAACTCTTGAAACTATCTATTCCTGATTTGACTCTGGGTGTATTACTGATGTTTCTTTGCAGGCGGAATACTGCAAAGCCTTTTTGCTCAGTCATAGACTTTTTTTTTTTTTTTTTTGATGAAAAATCTTGAAATGTGGATTTAAAGGAGACACTTCTTAAAAGGAGTGATCACCATAAAAAAAATCTGTGTTTTTACCGTTGCATTTAGAAGTTGATGGTTTTTTTAAACATGACTCAGGATGTTCAGAAAAGGACAAGAATATAAAGTACTTCATTCAGTCTCTTCATGGCTGAAAGCAGAGTGGTTAATAACTTGGCTTTATCTGTCCTCTCTAACTGAAAGACATTTATTACACTTTCATCTCTTTGAGTCCCTCTCCTCCCACATAAACATCATGTGTCCCTTGGTAATTCTGGTCACTTGCCCTCCTTTTCCATCTCTCTCTCTCTCTCTCTCTCTTTCTTTCTCTGGCTCTCTTTTTCAGGGTGACCATTGACAGCTGAAACTACATGAAAACCATTCATCATTGCTTCTTTAACATCAGATTAATGTGAGGAAAAACAAAACATATAGACTCTCTCTCTCTCTCTCTCTCTGTCTGTCACACACACACACAAATACAGTGCACACACCCGACCTGCTCTGTATGAGCTATCAATCATAGATATTGTCATTATTCAAGTGTGTCATCGACAAACCCCTCTCCTCTTCTCTCTGCCTTTGTCTCTCTTTCTTTCCTCCCTTTTTTCTTCTCTCTCTCTCTCTCACACACACACCAGACAGAGGAGAATCGTGCATCATAAATCTTATGAATGCCATCGAAAGACTGCTCAGCGCTATGAGGAGGAGAGATGATTGATAGATGTGAATGTCTGTGACGAAACCAGAGAGGATGGACAGAGGGTTCCAACCAGCAACGCCGGGGTCAGAAACTGCAGTTCAAGGGTCAAACGCATTGCAGACGGCACAGTTTGGCCAAAAAGGGAGGAGAAAGGAGGGGGAGTAAATGGTTAAAGTGGAAGGGAGGAAGGAGGAAAGAGGAGGAGGAGGAGGAGGAGGAGGAGGAGGAGGGATGCTGCCACAGTGAGGCTAAAGCCATAACTCATCTTTTATTAAAAATAATGAAAAAAACTTAATGAGTTAATAATATCATGGAGAAAGAGATCGAGAGAGAGACGGAGATGGAGGAAGGGACAGGAGGACAGAGGAAAGGAAGGAAAGGAAATGAGAGAGGAAGCAGCAGGGCTAGAAAACAGGAGAGGGTCAATAGGCATCTCTCTCTTTTCACTCTTTGGTCATTTATGCAGTTTTCAAAGTTCACACTCGATCCATTACAGCGGCAGGGACAATCAGAGTGATCCCCCTCTTTCTGCCGACCTAAATCCCAAAGCCTGCCTGGTAATTAAAGGCACTTAACAACCAATTAACAGTGATGAGCTAAATTAGCAGGATATTGTCTCCTTTGACTGGGCAACTGCATTATCAGTGTATTGAAACAGCGATGAACAAACCTCAGTGGCCCGTGTTTGCATGTAGGCAAATGACAGATTAATTACTATTAAAACATCAGCATCTTAATGAGCTTGGAAACAATTAGAGAGGTCGTTAGCATGTGGAGAGCGGCTGAGAACAAGGGAAGGGGGGAGCGAGCAAGAAACAAGAGAGAAATCTTCATCGGGAAGCAATACTGATTAAATGGACGTACGGTCGCACTCATCGCCCAATATCCACGGACCTATTAAATGCATGACATCACCATTTGTCTTCTCCACCATCTAGCCACTTTTCTCCTGCATTATCTTCCCCCCTTTCTTCTTCTTCTTCTTCTTCTCTAGCATCCCCAACTCTCTCTGCCTCCTCTCATAAAAAGCCTTTTTCTTGCTCTTCCATTCCTTTCTCCACTTTCTGCTTTTTAACTCCCATTTCTTCTTTCCCTCCTTCATGCTTGGGGGGCACAGTCCTGTGAAGGAATTTAATATGCAACTTTTATATGAGAAACCAATCGCATACGTCTGGGTCTATTGGGCTCGCAATCTATCGGCCCGGACGGCTAATGCAATAGAGAGAGCCGGGGCTATTTATCACACAGGGAGCTATCTTTTCCTTTCTCTCTCTCTCTCCCAC